TCCAAGACGTGCACGCCCTGGCTTGGAGGAAGCTAGATTTTTGTAGATTTAGCAGGGTTAGTCGTCTGATGCTACATAAACCAACACTCCGACTTTCAAGAAGTCGCCCGTGCCTTAGTATCCATAACAGAAAATTAGGAATAAATAGAAAAAATTTATTGATCGTAGGGGGCCGAATTGCGTTTTAGTGGTGGTAATCTCGGGTGTTAATATCAGGGAAATTATTGACTCTCGACCCCCAAGTATGTAAATGCGCAGCAAGACTGCCTCCCCAGCTAGCGAGACAAGCGAACCAAACAAATTAAGAGAAACCCTGGGATAAACTAACTGAGCAGTTGAAAGTATCTTGAGGGAAAACCTACGCACTGTACACGGACACCTAAAGAAAAGGAAAAGAAGCTCGCTTCTGCCAGGCCTCAGCCTCCCGCGACCTGCAGGGTTAAGTAATGTTAGGAGTATACTAGGAAAAAGCTCTCCGCGACATGAATGGTGTGGGCGGCATTATTGCTAGCTAGGCTAGGATGGAACATTGTAGATCTGGCGTGGAAGTGGATAGCATGGCATCGTATCGCTATAATCATCGTATTGCGATCATACGGGAGCAAAATATATGGTACATTAGTGTACATTAATGTATTACCTATGTGGAGATGTCTTGTATGGACAGGTAAACATTCACTGGTATATATATACGTAAATACGGCGGTATTCTAGCGCTGTTTAGCGTAATCGAAACAAGGGGTAGCCAGGATCTAGATTTCTGATTATATTTGACAGGCGGTAACCACCGATTGTGATTTGATTGGTTTATTACTACTTAAGTATGCAACAGCCAAAACAATGAATATCCCTCAACTAGACGATGCCCAAATTTACATCAACTGCAACATTGAACCTTTTTTGGTTCTTACTGAAGCCGTCGCTATGAAAGAAAAAAAAATAGTAAGCCAGTTCGTAGTGCCAGTTTCAGCATATGATTCATTTGTCTAGGTGCAGGTGGGAGCGCTCACTTAAATTGAGAATTAAGAATGGTTGGCCGTAGTCTCAAGTCTTAGCTTTAGCTTTAGGATGTTCTTGTTCGAACTCTATCCCGAGCCCGACCCGCTTTTAGACTCGAAGCTAGACCCGTTTGATAGCAAATATAAAAAAATTATATGTTCACTACAGCTAGCTAGGCATACACACCAGCAGATCCAAGTGTCATTAGTGCATATTTAGGATGCCGTGTCGCGTCGACACTTCATATAAATTCATGACGTGAAAATTTTCATGTTGCTAGGTTTATGTCCCCTGTTCCGACCCCACTCCCCGTCCTTTCCGCGAACGGAATACCTCTCGCTGTTCAACTCTAGGAAAAAGAAATAAAAAGATGCAGAGATATATTTAAAAAAAGAAAGGAAGGAAATGGGAGGAAATGAAAAGAAAGGGAAAAGGGAAAAGGGATAAAAGCCAAAAGGAACAAAAGGAACAAAAAGTACATTACGTATTTAAAAGATACTTCAGCGCCATTAATGCACAAAGCGATATCTTTCCAGATGGGATAGTATATGATGCACCGGCTGCGATGCGTTTTGTTCTATGATATAGTTTTCCCAAACTCTCAAATTTGCAAAGCGTCGAGCCGGCCCCCAATTACTTACCAGGACTACACAGTGGTATATCATCATGGGAAACTGCGAGAAACCGATTTCGGCTCCCTTGCTAAATGTAGTGTACAGGTTCGATCGAAGGTATACTTACAAAGTCTGTGTGATTTTAAAGCCGACTATAGTCTACAAAAACAAAGAAAATTGTATGCTAGCTAGCGCTAAAAAAAAGCGACCTCGACTTTTATCCACATTTTCATGGGAAAGGCTTCTGTCTTAAGCCTGGCCCCCAAAAAATAATATACATTTAAAGCGGCATTACTCCTTGAGCTTACTGTATACGCGTAGCATCGCTATCCGAAAAAGCAATTACAAAAATACTGGGCATAATTACCTGAGCTGTATTTGTGCTGATGATTATATTATTTTAAAATTTGTTATTAGAGGCCAGGTAGTTCGCCAACCCAGGCTAGCCCGACTCGTCTAGATAGGTTATATTTGCCCCCACTGCCTTTTGTCGAGTTGTGCCTCAGTCAAGATGAAACAGAAGAGGAACGAACACTCTAAAAACTACTACATATGGACAGAAGCTCGATAGAGCGCAGCTAGCCAACCTAAACTCAGACGTGACAAGGGAGAAGTTTTCTTCACGTTGTGCTATTGCAATCAGCACCGGATACCAAACTGTTTGAGGTTAGCGCAAACTAGGTACTGTGTCTACATACCAATAGTCTCCCTGAGGGGGGGCTATAAGGTCTCAAAAAGTTAATGCTAAATTTGTGAAGGATGTACGGACATATACAGTAACGAGTGGGAAAAACAAAAAAATCTGATGTGGCATAGGACAGTCATCACGCTAGCTGGAATCCCAGTCCTCAGACAGGGACAAGTTTCTCCTGGAGCGTGTATGTAGAAATTCAAGTTAATAGCTAGAGCGAATCTGACGGGCTGCGGAAGTTGTGTAGAAGGTGGACCCCACCCAACTGGATGCTAGCTGGACAATCCAACCAACTCGTTTAGGGAAGCAGGATCTAGCAAGCCTGCTACCAAAGAAGGGGTTTTGCTTTGCCCAACCATTAATGAGGAAAACTTGGACATTACATTCCTTGGGTCAGTCAGGTATAGTTTTCAGGGCCATTTATGGGAACCGCCCCCCGGCTCCAAGACGTATAGGGGATGTATACCACAGTGGCTTTGCTGGACCCCCAATATTTAATGTATTTGGCTTCCTCCATAAACTTAAACTTAAAGATAAGTATCAGAAGCGTGCTATACAGTACGCTTTCAGAATTTCAAAGGAGTGTCCCATATCAACATTCTCAAGTCTCTTAAGATCTTGTGCAGAGTTCTAATGATACTGAGGCGACTTACTATTTGTCTTCTACTTCTATTGCAACATCGACAATAAATTCACTCCGTGTCTAGTTTTGGTTATACCTTCTAACGGGAAACCAAGTTGGCACTCGATTCTAGGTACGTCTCTAAAACTAGACTAGGTACGTCTATTGTTCTTTGATTCATTTTCAATATTTTACAAACACACTTTCTTGCGGAAATACGGCCCCGAGACTACGGAAATACCAGAAAATTAAATGGCCCACAATTCAGTATTTTAGAGAGATATTTGAACAGAAAGGTATAGCTTTTGGGGTCATCATCATCGTCCGTAGTTCAATCACGTTGGGCGGAGTTGCACAGCCCCCTATTTGAACATCCGACGCATACAGAAATTCTGGCAGAGTTTTAATTCGGTATGATGATTGATACGATTTCATTCTTTCATTGAGGACGGTCTCTTGAATCGCTAGAGATGTGTGTAAGCAGCCCAGACGAGGTAGACTTCAGAGCGTTGCTGCCTAAGATTGTCGTCTCGAGGAGGTCATAAGCGAACGATGCTGCGAGAAACATTGTTGACCTTATTCAGTTTGCGCGAGGCTTTGATGGATATATTGCTGACATGATAACTTAGATACTGTATTCCAGAAATCATATTTCCAGCCCCTCCTAGAGTACCGCAGATCCGAAGTCGACAGTGAGATAGTCTTAATATTACGACCACAGTAACGGGACGATTGAGAGTGATCTGAAGAGGCGTAGATATTTTCACTAAGATAAGGTACGTTGATATGAATCTTGTGAATGTCTGATTTTGGTGGCTTTTTGGTTCGTACTTAGGAAGTCCGTTCCCGGTTTGGCTTGTGTCGATTCGGAAATTCTAATGAGATTCTGAACCCATTCGTATTACTGTCGTTTTATCAGAAGCTGGTCTACCAAGAAACACTGGTGTCGGGCTTCGAATCTTTTTCTTCGGAGCGTGCAAGTAGTAAATGCTAGAATACTTGGAGGCCACAGGAGATTCATGCTAGCCTGTTTGTCAACTTTTGTATTAAAAGAAACTAAACCCCTCTCATTTTCTGCTTTTTATGTCCTACGGGCTTACCTGTTTACTCCCCACTTCACTATCACTTAAGACAGGACGCTCCGAGGCCTTATCGGATAGCAGTTTTACTACCCTAGCTTAGTCGCAGAAAGGTCGTTTAAATTCTGGTATTATCGTTATACCAGTTTCCTCCAAGCATCGAGGCTTACCTTGACTCAACTGAGATACTACCGTTCGAGTTACCAAGGTAGGATTAAAGCTTCACTTCTCATTCGTCGTGGTTCTGTTGGAAAAGAAGGTTGTGGTGTATTTGAAATATATATGGAAACATAACCCGACCGTGCTGATAGGAAAAAAACTGACTTCAGACCATCGGTGTCGCAGGAATAAAGCTTGAGAAGGAGTGTTGAGAGGGTGTTAAGCCACCGTTTATATATTTAAGTATCTGTCAAAGAAGAAGTAAGTCCATGGCCATCTGCTGTGCTAATACACGCATCAAAGAAACTTCATATTCTAACGGCCCAGATTAGGAGTCTCCATTTTGACACGCTCTCAGAAGCGTCGTTGCTTACATTTGAAGGCGAGCCCGAGATCGGCAGCTACCCTGCCCATAATACCCCCCCGATCGATCTTTCTACCAGCCATTCCAACGCTCTTTCGAACAGAGCGTTAATCAATTCAAGTGCTAAGCACGCGGGTCGATTTTAGCTTGCCTAGGGAAGCTTCTATCCTCCTGTGCCGGCTGGTGTCGCGAGGTCGTACTGCTGAGAGGTATCCAAACTTTTTACTGCTCAAACAAGGCCAGAAAACTCCCATAACGAGGCCTGTGTCGCAATAGTCACTCTGACGCAGTCTTTCTGAGCCTTTGTGTTTAAAGTTAAAACGGATCAGTTCTTGGATCTACTCCAGTGACACCTTGTTATAATTATATGCGTGGGCTAGGAGGGACTAGCTTCGCACCCGGTATTCCTGAAAGTTTTCCAGAGCGTAGGGAAACAAGAGAGAGAGAGCCGACTCTGAATCAAAGGAACAGAATGAAGACTTCAGGTGATCGAAATGGTGCTGGTAGTTCTCAAGAGCCACCCCCGTCTCGTCGGACTGAAAGCAGAGTCCAAAAGCTTCGACGAAACCCGAGACCGATGGAAAATCCTTGCAATACAAAGAAGAGTGGCCGCACCCGGTCTTCGGATCACGTTCCCAAGCCACATCCTGAGTGGACTCTGCAGAAGGCGATACTGGCAGCGAATAATACAGTCATCGGTATCCCTGTATTGAATAATGTCCTGAACGAGTACGGTAACAGTGCGGTGTATGGCAGCGCCGTTGAATATACGGAGACTATGATGAAGATTGATAGCGAGGGTAGTCCTGGAAATATCGAACGCCTCGAGATCCCCTCAAGGCCTTCGGAAGAACTCCCCCTCAGTAACGTCTCTATCTTCAATGGCGGGTCTGGGAGCCTCCCCACCTCTTCCCTTGAAATCAAAAGTTTCTTCATCGAGACCCTCCCTCTGGGCCCAACGAGATTTTATAAAGGTCCAGGCCAAAATTTCCCTGCAGATTGCGGTCGCGGCCCAACCGTGGACCCGTATGGAAATCCTATCCACCCAGGAGACAACTTCCCAAGGCGAGCGTACGGCATCAGAGACCTCAATGTCGATATGATTTTTCCGACTGGCGGCACCCATACCGTAGGGGGAGGAGGGAGAAAGGGGGCCCAAAGCATCGGGGTTAACTCATTAGATACGACAATGAGTAACGGGACTACTTCAGACCGACCGCCCTTGATTCCTTACAGGCACCCTATCCTCTTCGTTGACGTCGAGAGAACTTTTGATATGTCTGCAACCGAAGACATGCTCGACGCAAGCGAGTCGGGGATGCCATACACCCACTAGGTCATGGGCCTGTGAGGCTGCTTGAGAGCTTCTAATTAGCGCTGGTCATTGACATGAAGACTCATTCAAGAAGCCTTCCCAGGACTACCTACCTACCTACTTCAACGGGGCCATACCAATATGTGTTGCCAGTTGGAGGCAGCCAACAAAACATTTTCGTTTCGCCATTCCGTTCTTTATCTGTTGAACGCCTTCTCTCGGTGTCTTCTCCTAGCCTTTCTTTTCCAACTCCTCCACTTCGAACTCTTCTGAGTATATTCTTTTGTCATTTTGCATTTTGGCGGGAAACCTGCCCTTAATGATCGAACTGAACAGGCGCTTCCCATCTGAATAAGGGGTTGACGGCATGCTACGGCATGTTTCAGCCAGCTTCTCGCACACAAAAAGCAGTTATTCTCGGTGAGGCACCAAATAGCTGAGGCTGAAGCGGTGGTTGACTGAGGCCAGGTCAGGAAGAAGAACTAGGAAAAGTCTAGGTCAAACTTGGGCCGAATGGGTGTCTTAAACCAAGCTGTATAATCAGACCTCGTCCAAAGAACCCAGTCAATCATACCCGTATTCTCCTCAATTGACGCCTGTGGCTTCAAGCATGCATATCTTTCCTGGGTTCAGCCGTTGATTTTCTCACATTCTGTGCAACATTCATATCACTTGCCCCGGTATGATTTAATACGCTTATACACCCATCTCAACCGACTGCCTGTGGTTATCAGGCTGCTTCCTTTCGTTTATGCTGCCCGACTCCTTTTCCATGCCTCCCCAATTTCTCTTGAAAACCGCTTATGATTTTTCTAGTTTATAACGATCTTCTGACCCTTTCGTCGCTTTCTTTATTTCTTTCGTTCTTTTTATTATTTTTTTGGGAACCGCAACTCCTTTACCCCTCATTGTTTTCCCCCATCGGGCCTTAGAATGAAACCTATTGCTTCTTTTTTGGAAAAGTGGCGTCTGCGGCTAGATATCGAGGTGCATAAGAGACGACCTCGTGCCCTCCTTTACCACAAGCACAGACCCGTATTCCGAAGATCCCCACCAACGAAAAGTTTTATTTCTTCTTTCACAGTTTTCTTTCCTTTTCTTTCCTTTTCTTTTCTTTTCTGGCTCGAGCCGATTTCAATTTCGTTTCCGTAATCATTATAAAGATCAGATTACAATCTTGTGGTTTGTTCTACCTGTATTTGGGCCCTCGGCCTCGTTAAAAAAACATATATATATATATATCAAAAAATTTGTATTAATATTTTGAATCACGTCCTCTCTAGATATAGATAGTAATTACCCAAGGTACCCATGTTTGGCAACTTAATATCACAATGAATCGATTATAATTACTTATATTACCAGGGGAAAGTTTGATATATGGTTGCACACGCCCCGCTTGAATCCGAAACTCTGCACGCAATTTGAGTACTCACATAGCGCCATCCCGCATCAAACATTCTCATGCAACCAAACAAAAGAGTTGGAGCAGCGGGACACTCAGCCGGAATGTGTGCCGTTCAAAATGCATAAAGCGGCCAAGCATGGTGCTGATCATGTGGTCATAGAACCGAAACTGAACTTGTCCCTCTGATGGCCTCATTCCCCACCGCCATGTCATGTATACTTTATATCAAAAATTTTTTGGAAAAGAACTTAGGCATCTTGAAAATGGCCGGCCATCAGCTTATCGAAGTTAGAAAATTCGTTAAGGCCGACTTTAATACTTTACAATTGCACAAGAGGTAGCCAACAGCATAACACCACAAACGACAAAGCTAAAAAAAATCAAACTACTAGCTATCATGAATACGGGACGTGAATTTGAACAAAAAAAAAAAAAAAAAAAAAAGAGTAAGATCTAGAGGGTACTCCAGAAACCCTGGAGGTTGCAAGTTAAACAAGGCTTTGATAGAACGAGTGGACAACCGGAAAGTTCGATCTCGACCGAGTCTCCCAACGTTAACCCCACTGGTCACTTAAGACATCCCCAAGCTATCGATATCTGTCAGAAGCTTAGGGTGAGATCCCAAAAGCAAGTCCCACGCAACATAAAGGTAATTACACGAACAAAAATAATAAACCCGTAAAGGAAACTATTGCTAAAAATCCATAGGAGGTAAACGCAAACAAAAGTAATGAACAACCAAAGTGAAATCGATAGAGAGCACGAGAGCGGGGTTGCAACATTTATTCGAGGCTGCGAAATTCCAACGAAACAACACATCCCATATAATTTGATGCAAATCCGGAATATATCCACCGGCACGAGACCACCACCGGCCCATTTTTCAAGGACCTCGACTCTCTTGCGATATTTAGGTCGAAGATTGCTGATTACTCGTTCAGAGTGCTTTCTATCTCTCTCTTTTTTGAAGAAAGAAAGAGATAGAAGAGGGAGGGGAAAGGAAGCCATGGTTGGCTGTATAGTGCTTGGCTAACGAAAAGAGGCTGTGACTAGATACCCATATATGACCAGGTATATGTTTTAGCGTTATAACTATGGTTTTTTGGTAAATGGTACGGCCCGTTCTCACCTTAGGTTAATTCTGATCGAGGTCATCAAGGATAATGCAGCTGACTTCGACTCCATCAGAATTTTTGCGGATATCTATTGATACGTTGATGTAGTCTTCTTGAAGACCTCTATCCTCGTCTCCTCCCTCCACCACAAGACTAGTGGTCATTGGGTCTCGGAGCACGTCATCTAGGATACTCAGATGCTCAATAGGAAATTCGGCTCGAGGGATTTGAACGCCAAAACTAATTCTGTGCAGGCCGTGCGCGTCGTCGATTGCCTGAAGACCGTCTTTGAACCGCAACGCAGCTCTACGCTTGGAAATATCGGATGCAGCTTTCTCAACATTATCGAGCGTCATAGATCTTATCCTAGCCCAAAACCTCTTCACCGTATCTGATAGAATAGAAGGAGGTTGTTTGATTGTTGTATCGTCGGATGCATCACCTTCGGAACTCGCGGTAGACGTCTCGTTATAGACGAAGACGGATCGGAATACCGGTACCTCTGAAGACCCGGGAAATACATCACTCCTTTCAAGGTATTCTGATCTCGAGAGGGGCATGTTGCCACTAAGCGATAATAGATCGGAGCAAATAGAAGATTCCATAGGAATGGTCATGGTAGAGCTTTGGGGCTCCAAGGCTATAAAGAAAATATCGCTGTTCGAATATTCTCAGAGTTATTCCTCAAAAGTGAATATAGAAGAGGGTCGTTCGAAAAAGGTGTTTTTTTTTTAGGTATAAATACAGCTACCAGTAAGAAGACAATCTAGGGCAAGCTGACCAACTTCTATAAGAATTTCTCCCAACTTATATATCTTTTAGTTCCGCTGCTACGCTAGGATCCTAGGATACCTCGGAACAGTTCTACGTGTCAATTCGACTGGTCGACTCGGAGGATACTACCGTCCCACCCCAAGTTTGCTTTGTTGGCACCGCACATGTCCGGGCCAAATCCACGGGACAATGTCGTACTGATATCAATGTACTGCTCAACAGTATTTACCTTTTCAGGGACATTCTTTCGCGAACCTTTCGCGAAATAATTGATATGAGAGTAGGGTATCGCCCGATTCCGACTTGACCGATCGACATTCGCGTTCTTAACCTCGCGGAACTGCGGTAAAAACGCAGCATCTAGGTTATGGCTAGGTATCAACTTTGATATAATTTCAAATACTCAAGGACTTATGTTCCTTGCGATTGATTCGCTACGGATAAATGGAAGATGGCAGACCACAGGACTGACATGGCTTGTGTTTTTTTTTTTTTTAGATCATCCTCTCGGGAATTTGATACTATGGCGTAAATAGAAGGCAAACTTATTTACATCCATAGCGCATAGACTTATATTCAACTTTTTCCGGTCGAGAAGGTGCCGTTTCCTTAAACTCCTACCTGCGAGATTGATCCCGGATAGCAAGCTAAGTGCTTTGATCGGTGATCTCGTCAAGGCATGGCCATATAGCCCTCCTCTCGTCAAGCGCGCGCGCCCGTTGAGACAGTTCTTTGTGGATTTGTATCTTCAGGTTTTCATGTGCACGGTTGCGCAAACCAGTTGTCCGGGCTAGTATAGTCTGCATATACGTACGTTCAATTATATTTTTAAATTGAGTGGATCGGTCATGTGGCACCCTTACCAAGACCTACTCCCTCAAAATTTCGGCTTGATATTCGGCTTTCCGCTCCTGATACGTATCCCAGCATATCTTTTCGCCGAATTTAGTGGATAGATTTGTGCGATTTTTAATGTACTACCGTCTTTACAGGGTCGATGTTCCAGAATACTTCCTAGCCTGCTTGAGATGATTGCATCGATTTGGCCAGGCTAGTGGGCCAAGGGAGAGAATAGTCGACTCACAAACGGGTTTCATTTCAACAATCGTCCAACAGTTTCCAAAGTAACATATGCACTCCGCCAAAAGGTTAACTTTAGCGAGGCACACATGAACTATAGGCAAGGCCGTTTTACATCAATGTATTTATGTAGATCAAAGAAATTGCGACATTAGTGCCGAAGTTAAAGCTACATGATCGGCTAATTCTAAGTTTCTTTGATGGCCTGGGGCTGAAAGTGCAGTACTTAAAGTTGGTTGGGTGAGGCTCGTTTGTGGAACATGACCTACTGGCTCGAGCTCCCTCAAAGGTTCATGCATAGGCGGCCATTTAAAACTTTAGGTTCCTCAAGCTTGAGAATCCGGTCTGTTCTCTAAACGACTTGGATTTGTCAATTTAAATCGCCGTTTTTTTTTTTTTTGAAGCTCACGAGGTCCACCGACCTGATACAAAAGCTATCTCTCTTTCCGAGCTGTTACGTTTTTTTCCGTTTATGACGTGACATATCGATAGCAAAGAATTGATTACAAATATTCCGATTTAAATATGAGTCTTAGATGGGCTCGAGCTTTGAGCGAGTGCTATGATGGGCAGAGCTAGTTGGTTGTTTGCATCACTTAGGCTGCAGGACCATCGCCTCATCCTCTATATCAGACATCGGTTGAGGCGATCATATGCACTATCGCATTGAAATAGTGGTTCGAATCAAACTTAAGTCGGCGATATTTCTACTCGATCCACCAGCAGGTCCCCGAGATAACCTTAAATACCAATTTAGCTCATTTTTGGGGATTGGCCGATAGACTAGGAAGACCCACTGCGCTTACTGTCGGACCGACCATTTCAATTGATTTGATATTAGGACTTGGGCATGTGCCAATTCCATCCGCTCTAGAGCCAATGACGACGACAGCGACAAGTTTTCTTCCTTCCTTTCTTTTTTTATTATTTATTATTTATTTATTTATTCGGCCTGAGTGGGAATTTAGCCGGATACTGGCAGAATTTAATGCCAAAAGCGCAAAAGATAGACGGAAAGATAGGAGGACTCGAAATCAATAGCCAAAGTTGTATTTAGTTTATGGGTTGGCTAGTGTTGGTCGGCCGCCCTGTTCGGCTGGAGAAGGTATATCACATTCACATGTCCAATGGCTACTCATCGATTGGTCCCGATCAAAGGATTCAATTGAATGTTATTTCAATTTGCCTCGGGCGACCCGCCAGATCTGCAGATAGGAACTCCTAAATTCTATGTAAATTCATTATCTTACACTAGCAGCTAGCATTACAGAAATTTCCACCGAGTATATCTCTCTGTTGCAGCACGATCGCGAGCTATAAAGTTTACTAAGGCGTAGTGACCAAATGTCAACTGCTTGATGTATGCCAACAGCTAGAATCATCGTACAAAGCCAATTAATTGCGTTAGCTCGCACGTATCTGTAAGAGTCCTTCCCATGGCCAGACTAGACCTCTCATCGATATATATGGCTCCACAAAGCTATATATATATATATACGGCCAACCACTCAAGCTGTAGTCATGACTAACTCATATATTCGCCTTAGGATTCAGTCAAGAAGCTAACTAGCTGGCCAAGGGGAGGCTCGGAAAAGCCCTTTCGGATTGTACAACAACGAGCGCGCTAGCAAACGGAGATATCCAGGAAGCGGTTTACGTGTATACACCAATACGATTAACAATTTTCGATGCATGCGCATGGTGTTTTTAATGAAGCCGGCCAAGAGATCGTTTCGAACCACAATCACCCTAATCTATTCCGGAAGTTTGGGTCACACCAGTTTCCTCGAGGAGCCTCGCTATGCATACAGCAGAATTGCATGCAGGAGCTGCACATTTCATCTAGCTCGACTGGCCTAATTCCTTTGGGATATATCTTCCTAAAGCGGCTTCGGAACAGGCCACTAACCAGGCCCTAAAAAGAAAATAGTGGTGGCCTTGCATATAAACAGCAGGATGGGGGTCAGAGTGTACTTGTCTAGGGTACAAGGAACCTACGCCTCGGCTGCAGAGTGATGGTCATGGGTTCCCTGAAGTTATCAAGATAGAATCTTGCAGGAGAATCTAGAGGAGCTGTTGTTCGAACCATGGTACTGGTATAATCGATTCCCGCTTAGGAAGCCCTACGAAGTTGAACAAATCCTGCGAGCTAAGGCCGGCATAAGTCCGTCGCACGGGGAAACCCCCCTCCCCCCCGAGATACAGCCATGTACGTATTTAACGCAAAGTGCGCTCGAAAGAACGGGGAGTACGGTATCCACGTGGCTTGAGTAGGGGCTGCATGGTTTTGCCCCGATTATAGATTTTTCTATGGGATGAGATAACCGTCTTGGGTATCTACGTGACTACTGTAGCACCAATTGATTCATCCGAAAGCTTACACAAGAGTTACACGACAGGTTTCAAGGAATATTAAGACCAGCTGAAGTTCAAGAGTTTTAACTTCCCACAGAGTGAATTATTGTAACCGGATTCCCAGGCTGCCGAAGCACGTGGTCTTGAGGGCCGTCACAATTGATTCGATTAATACCAGCCCCATATCTTTACTGATATTAAAATATTATGTGTGGCACCGGCCATTTTAGGGTACAGCCCTGATTCTTGATCCGTATCCATACTTATTTTGCATTTACATATAGCCTTGGTATCCGTATCGGTACATTTAGCCAATCGTATGGTTCCTATCCAGTAAAAACTTAACGTTAGCCAATTGATTAGATCATGGATTGACGATTTCCATCGAACGCGTCACCCTTATCGATAGCATAGCCTACGAGTACGTACCTTTCCCCACTTTTAACGGGGGAACCTGCCCCGCTCCTCAGAAATGCCTATAACGCTAGAGGGAGTCCTCGCTATATTAAAATCTATAGTTTAAAGCTGTTGGCTATAAATCCTAGGATCTTTTGTTTGCGGATTTGGGTTTATTATAAGTCTACCAAAATTGCAAAGCTTAGTAGTGCATATTATCATGGGAGAGGGGCCTTTGTCCTAGACTCTGGGCTCGACTATTCCAACTAAGCATATTTCCAAATTAGAATAGAGGCTCGGGATAGCTATAGAAGGATCCGGCTTTGCTAAGTCCGGGGCTAGCATCCTATTTCGGCTCTAACATTTGCGAAGAAAGAACGTTTCGATTGGGCCGAGATATTAGACGGCATTTACTTTGCAAAAAGCTCGAACTTTGCTAGTACCTAGTACACCGATCTCCAAAATTATAGACCTAGACCTTAAACAGAAAGCTGGTAGACCAGAACGTACACTCATATCTTATATATATCATTCGAAAATTGACATGCATGGACGCCTCTTAGGACAAAACACATCTGCAGACTTTATACACCTAGATTGAAAAAAATAAAATAGAAAAAAAGAAGAAAAAAGACGAGATAAAGAGCTCCCAATAAGCATAATAGAGGCAAACTGAAAACTAAAATTGGTGTAGTAGCTGGAAGACACAAAATTTAGGCACCAAAGGGGGACGCTGTATATGAAGGCATCAAAGAACGAGGGGGGGGGGCTTCGTGCTTGTGTGCAATCTCAGTTATAATAGGGAACACGTGCTGTTGGTCCGTTTATCAAAAAAAAAGATATGTTACAGATTCGGAAAGAAGAAGTAAATATGAAGTGCAATATCGGTAACAGGAGCAGTTGGCAGATATGCAGAAGTTAGAAGGTCCCGGCATAGCAATCCAGTACCGTCCTGTGATGGTGAAGCATGATATAGGTATGTAAACATACCCATGTGCCACCTTGCTATAGTTTGAGGGGATGTATCGAGGCTAAAGTGACGTTCGAAGAGCCCTCCAAGGTGGGCTTCAATCGAATCGAGGAGATGTAAATGCATGTAAAAACAATATGAATCGCAATCTCAAAGCGTGGGGTGCGGAGGGTTTGAGATTGGAATGTCAACGTCGCCATCTGACAAAAATGGGCACCTATCTGGTGTACACAGCGGAGGGATAATAGGAACTAAAAGGTTCATTGGTATTAAGCAACAGGTTCTGCAACAGAAAAAGATGAAGAATTCACTCCGTTGTCTTCTGCCTCGTTTCTCTCGAGTCAAGTGTCCCTCCTGTGGGCTTTCGTAAGTAATAGTGGAGAACTTTTAAAGGAATTTACCGTAGTAAACCACTAGGAAGATAGAGGAAGGTCGACTTGTTCCTTAGATACCGGAAACTAGACGGAGGGTTCAACCACCTTTCATTGTATTCACAACCAAATTTTCGGACCATTCCAAATCATTCTCTCCTTGGGCATCTTCGTCCACATCAATTGTTGAAGGTATATTGGTCAAGCTTGAGCCGGCATGGACGGCTCCAACCCCGACTAATTGAGGGCCCTGGGGGAGGAAAGAATTGGGGGGAAACTGGCCAATCGAGTTTCGGTACGGTATGAATTCATTCATAGCATAATCAGCTTGGGAGGCTTGATCTAATTCACCCCTCATAATAAGGCTGTTTGAGTCGTCATACGCAGACCCTAGGCCTGCAAACAATGAGGACGAAATGTGCGTTGGCATATGTGGTTGTATTGCAGTATTTCCGGTATACGAATAATCCATGGATATGATGGTGTTATGTTGAGATGCTACAGCAATTCCCCGACAATTAGTTAGAATATCGCTTTCTTAAAACCCGTAGGCTTCTAGGGGCAAGCAATAAATAATTACCAAGTTCATCTCTGTCAGTTTGTAGGTCTCGATCTGTAGTCTTTATACTCGGGGTCGCAAAACCAAAGTTTGCGGTGGTGAGATTAACGCCCTCTGATCGTTCCATATGGTATTGTTGCCGTAGCGCCGCCATTCTTTCATCGCTTAGGGGGCCATGGTCAATGAGAAGTTCACTCAAACTAGTCCCACGGGACCGACCGTCCCTACCATGTCTATTTTTCATATGATGAAGTATCTCACGAGGTCGATGCGACCGATAGAGGCAATTGGGTTGTTTGCATTGGTATTGCTTATATTGGCAGAGCATGAATATGTGGATCGATTCATGCTCTCTTGAGAGAAAAGTGTCAGGAACCATTATATACTAGGCGACAACTTGGAAAGAAGGCGATTTTGGGGGGCTAAAGGAAGCTATCTTACTTTCGTGCACTGGGGCTTGGGAGTTCTTTGTAGCAGAACGTGCAGGACCTTACTGCCTGCGATGCTTTCTTTCGAGAGTTAGAAACGATACTGCGGGTTTCCTGATGGTCGCCACCCAGCTTGCCACTTATCGATTGAGCTCGGGCTATAACTAATTTTGTTTTCACAGGAGAAGAATTCGCCATGGATATGTTATCTTCGAGAACCCCAGCATCTGATTTACTTCGTTCAGGATGTGGCCATTGAGACTTCCCCGAAGCTTGTATATTCTCAACTGGTATCCCATTTATCGAAGAGGATTGGACAGGATAATTTTTGCGAAATGGATACGGGGAATCGCCCGCAAGCCACCCACCAATACCTGCACCACTGGGATGGTCGATTGTAGTGTGGGCTGCTTCTCCCGCAGTAACCCCGAGAGATCCTAGCGATTCCATTTGTGAGGTAAATAGAGGGGGCATTTTACGCTCCGGTTTTGAGTTAGTCGCCGTGCTAACTTCGAGAGGGGCGTTTTCACCATCGCTTTTTTGTTTCTTAGGCTGTATGGGGGATTGGGAGTTTTCTGATAGAGATATAACATCTCCATCTTGGGTAAATGATTCGAGGTACTGGTTGATAACTTGATATAGGATCGGGCCAATGTGCTTGCAAATGAAGTTTTTTGCCTCTTTCACATTCGTATTGTTCCTGTTCTGGAGTTCATTCAAAGCCAGGAATTGATCCGTGATGATTCTATCGATAAGGTCTGATCCTCTAAGTAGCCTCTCGTTTGCTACTGCTTCTAGGCATTTAGTAATAACAGTTGTTGGGTCCAATTTGCGGAGTAGGATAGGCGCTGGGACTGCCCACTTCCTCGGAGGACAGAAGAGCATATCCCCAGAGTCGGAAGACCTCCTGGGTCTCTTTGCCGGGCGTGGAGAAGTCGACGCTAGCATATTGTTACTACTCTCCTCGTGATAGTTGGAAATTGCGAAGTGCGAGGTGGCGAATCACTGCACCACTACGTACCGCCTGTTCCAACTAGTCTCGGAAGCTTCACAACAACCTAGAGTGAGACCAAAGGTCTAAAGGCTTCAAAGCTCGGAAGCCAAATAATAGAGTTTCCCGTCTAACTTGCAAGCTTGCCTTACAAGGCTGTGAGAAACCTGCACACAACCGGATGATAAATGTAGGCAACCCGCGGGGCGCTAACCTACAAACAAAGAAATAGGTATAGTACAAGATTTCCGGTGAGTAAGATATACGAGCAAAGTCTCGCTACGATGGATGGGATTTGTCGAATGCATGCCTGGTCTCTAACCAAGGATTACAGAGTTGGAGATGACGAGTAGAAGAGAGATGGTTGATATTAAATTAGAATGTGGGTTGAAAGAGACCACGGCTAACTACACGGAGAATCACAAACTGGGACATGTCTTGGGGAGAGTCGTGGGATTGTTGAACACACCCAAACGCAGAAACCGCAGCGCGCAAGAAAAACGCGAAAAAAAGCAAAACACCGAAGAGATCCAAGTATCAAAGCCGCTAAACTTGGATCCTTCAGCACTTTATATGTAGGGTACGTATCGTTGCCAATTTTCTCTATCTTGAATTTTGAAACGCAGGCTATGTTCGGATTAAATGGCACACCTTGAAAGTTTATTTCTAGAATTTGGGGGCTCCTGTGTAAATTACAGGACTGTTGCGGCCGGAACCGCGGTTCGGGCACCGAGTTTATCACTCGGCCCGAGATGCCAACACTTCCTACTCCATATAAAATTTCGGGATCGGGACCGAGAATAGACCCGGTCCAAGGCATTCGGCATGCCGAGGTCTTTGGCACACAGACAGTAACCTACACATATAACCGATATATATCGATCCAAATCTAGCCTACGAGACTTGTTGACAAATATTTCCACTTCCTCGTTACTTGAAAGCCGCTCAACACTCCATATTCCGAGAACAAATGGAGTCAAAGTCATCTGCCGGGCTCCTGCAGATGTGGAACGCCATGACCTGAGGCAGAATAGCATGCAATAACCCATTGCATCGCGTCGAATCAAGAAATCCTTTAATGCAATGCAATATCGTAATAGCATTGCACTTGTGTCAACGTCCGAATCGTGGAGCGATGAAAAGAAATAAGATTAAGGCCGTAGCTGCAGGTGGAATATATAGCAACCACATCACAAGACACGTTGAAGGGGTGGCGAATATGCTCGCCTGGCGAATAGTAGATATCATGGAGTATTTTACATGTGACTTTGATGCCCTCGGGGTCATTGCTGCCGGTCCGACTAGAGCAGGATACCCGAAAGGCCACGTCGACAGTCTATACATAAGCTTTATAGCCACTCCAGGGCACTTGGCCAGCGAAGGTGGAGGCCTGATGCCCAGGTACCCCCATTGAGATAGCGGACTAGAACAAAGTCGACTGTTGTTCCCTCTTGGTGGTACCAGAAGAATTGATGACTCAAAAATGGTATATCTACAGCCTTCTGGCTATCTAATTAATCGGTAAGTCAGTAGGCCAACTTAGCTATGCAGTAGATGTTTAAGGTCAACTCACATGTTTAAATTTAAACCTGATTTAGGCATGTGTAACGGAATTACCAGGCGCAGAACCCCAAGGCTGTAGAAAAGCGATAGCAAGGAAGATTCAACGGTCTATCCCTGCATGTAGTTCTATTTAGTGTGATCTTATGGAAACATTTCCCATCCCGACTTCGGCGTCAGCCAAGTTGCTCCCTCCTGCTGAAGCATTGTTGGGTATACAGTGAACCCGCCAAGAACTTCCCCATGCCTTTGAAAGAATTAATTAGTGATCCTTATGTTTATCTTTGTTGTTCCCGGCTAGTCTCGAGGCTAGACGCCAGCATACCAGCTCCCGGATAGTCGTCTCCAGAGTGTTGCATTTTTGCCCAAAAATTACCGGTATACCATAATGCACATATGCTCCACGTACGTGTAAACTTATTTGTAAGCTCATCAGGGGTGGAGCAGCTGTGCCGAGTGCATCGGTGCTTAGGCACGCACTGATGGTCGGATCCTCAAATTCATAGCAATTATGTCGTAAAAGATATATATACTGATGGTTTGCTAGCCTTCCACTAGAAAGTGCTGTTATATTAGTCAATCAGTTTATTCCGCAACCATTCATTAAATGCACCATCCAGCAGTACCTAGGATCTGAAACCCCCCGCCGTTCCAAGACTGAGGTTCCTCAAATCGAGGTTCCTGACTGTCGGATTATTTCCAAAAAAAAGCCACGTGTTATTATCCTTGTGGGCTAGAATGCCTTCATTGTCGTGGAAATTCTGCGTGTTCGCGTTGGCTGCCACCAAGCAATATTACATGTTGTCGACATCGATCACAACGTTGATAGACGCTGGATAGCCCAAAACATATAGATACCGGATTTGGCTATTCACGGCCCGTTGTTACACAAGAATGGCTAGGCGGATGGAATCCGTCGAGTGGTGTGGAAACACGGTGGTGACTCAAAGCTAGAGTATATGCCCGGATTACCCCGTCCTCGCTCCGTTGAGCGGCGCCACTCGGTCTGAGGTAAGATTTGAGATATCCATGGCTCCTAGTTCCAGAATCCTTAGTTGGATGGGGGTTTTTTTTGTGCAATTCCAGGTTCCAATTATATGCCGTTGAAGCAATCCAGGGTCTGATAATCTAACCTAACTAGGGAAGCAAGATCATAAAGACGTTGATATTGGAGACGTAAGGTAGCCAAGCAGAAGCCTAGTCGGTATTTAAATCTGATGTAACCACGCGAGGAGGCCTTGGGATACCAGCAGTGATCTGCTTCATGAATCAGGAAACCCTAGAGGCCCGTGGCCGAAAAACGCGTAAGTCCTATCACGTATGCTGACAATACAGGAGCAGGTGTCGTGGGGATATTATCCTGGCCTGGGTTCTTCGGCGAGTGGGTTGTAAAAACGTATTAAGGGTTGACTTTTTCCCGGTTAGGCCGACATATATATTGATCAGATGTCAACCATCAAAATAAGAGTGGAACCTAATATATGGCCAAAGTCCAGGACAGATCGATTGAAAAACAGGCACAACTCGATAAGGGTTGATCAACTTAGGATGCCGATATCCAAGTCCCGAGGTGGATCCGAGGAATAGCGACAAATATTGCAAATAATTTCAAGTTGTCGATACCTATGTCGGTGGATAATATGCAGCATGAGACAGAAGGCGAAACAACTCAATAGCTAGAGTCCAAGTCCAGAGTCCAGAAGATCCAGGTAATCTGACAAAGAAGGTCCTCGGTGAGTAGGCGGTATCCATGGCCAGCAAACGATTCGAAATCCGAAAAGATTCATCCAACCATATACGAAGAGTCTGTTGAAGCTTATCGATCCTTCCACCGACTTGATTCCCTAGCTGACGGGAACATGGTTGATATTGATAAGTTTCTAATATCCACAACTTAATTCGTCCCAAATCCCATGTTGAATAGCATTGCTGTCAAAAAATTCCCTTTTGTCAGGGTAATGCAGAAGCGTGCAGTTTTATAATAACCAAAATGAGGCAAAAGCCCCAACCCTCTCGGGTTCGGTAACCGTGGGGTTGGAATCTTGCATATCGAGGTGGGTCCTATATCGGCAGGGCGAACGTGGATGCGGTGAAACCGAGTTCAAAATAAGCATATACCCTTGACGTTTCTGTCTCTAGTCGCAAATCAACATCGTTATACCCAGTTGGAAATGGGGATGTGCAAGCAACCATACTCTAGACAGCTGGCTGAATAGGAATGAGGCACCAATTGTAATTGGACGTTTTAACGAGAAGTTTTCTATCTTTCAAACACTATAACGTGTCAAGACTAGAGCGGAAGAATGGGGATCGAAGTAGTTTTGTTGAGGATCACCTAGGGTGGTTGAGATTGGATCCACGACTATTTCGAGATATAATGGGACGTACAGTATGTATGTGCGACGTGTACCGAGCTACAAGGTTCTAGCCACGGATATGCCAGTCATAGCGCAGCAACTTGATCGACCATACCAGCCTATCGACATCAGACTCATTTTCATATTCTACCACGCTTTATTGGGTATAACTAATTCATAAGTAACTAGGTAGATATGGAGTATAAATCAGGCTATTGTCCACTATCTCTGACGTGAGATCGAGGCCCATTCCGGGACCTTACATTCTTGATTCTTAGGCATTGAGGAAAGTATCGCCTGACTTTCGGATTCGCAAATACCCCGTTATCGGTTAGAACCACAATGCCTTATGGCCGATCTTACCGACAGTTTCTTGTCTCCTTCAAACGATCGAAATGTCACTTCCCGGACTCGACTACCTGTCCAAGGGAAAGAAACCGACATATCTCCAAAAGTCGGACTGGCCGCGATCGGCAACCCGCCTCGAATTGCCAACTATAAAGTCTGAAATCCACAAGTAGCCCGAAGCCAAACAAAAAATTTTCACCAAAATACCAGGATATCTATATCCTACACATGATGGTGTCACCGAAATATCGAGAAGTTCGAAGGTTCGAGGCGGTGGTCGCCTCATTCTGAGCTCGCTAATATAATAGAAAAGAGCTTAGCGCTAAAAATAGACTGTACGACGCGCTCAGATGACAGGGGTTAAGATGTCAAGATGCAGGTTATCCCTGATGCTCATTCTTGAGGAATATCGCGCACGGCCAGTCTCTAAGGCCGCACGCCAGCAAATGTTTAGGGCGTTTCTTTCCCAACCGGATCGATATGGATATATTTCCTATTGTTCCTTCTTTGGAGTAGGTAAACCCAGACCCTTCGATACCAAGCTGGGCTAATGTTATCAATAGGGATTTCCAGTTGACAGTGAATGAGACCTCATACTAACTAGAGATTGAATGAGCCACGCAGCTGGGCTCACGAGAAGACGCGTCCTCAAATGAATCAACATAACGTTGGAAATAGTTTGTAGTCAAGGCTTCCCCACGAAATCCCGTGCCCATATTTTTTTGATGCCTTTGGTTGACGTCTGGTCACATACGTTTGTCCCGTGAACCTAAACATTGTAGGACAACTCACAAAATCCAACAACGATGACAAGAGCTGGGATTGAAAGGGTGCACAATATAAAACTCCCACTGTGAGACATTGACGCATTTACGGAGGAATCAAGGGAAAGAATTAAAGGCTATTGTTAAAGATCACGGTAAGCCTAAAATTCCATATAATCAAGTCCCCCGTAGTCGCAAGATATTATTCCTCGAGTGAGGGACTCCAGCAGCACACGCTACTATATATATAGTTCCTAGAACTAGTATCCTGGGCTATATCCGGATCGGTAGCGTATTAACTTCACCTTGATGCGATTTGTCGCGCTTTTGGTCTCGTTGTTCAAGGCCACGCGAGGCCGGCACAGTATAATATACTGGTGTCGCCTTTGGATTTGCCATGTGAGCCCGCTAACCCCTGATCAGCGTTGATAGCCTCGAGAACAAACCCACTGTGCACTTTTGTAGGATGCTGTAAAACTAGGCCCGCTACGGATTTATAGCAGAAGCTATGTCAAGACATACTGATGCGCACATCTGGTAACAGGGGCGGTTGCCAGCTGGTTAGAGGCTGAACATCTATATCTACAACACTAGTATTGGAGGCCTTGTGTCACCAAGCTTTGCATCCACCACAACGCAAAGTTGGGTTTTGGATGCTTTCGGTCCTGGTTGACTCGCTCAACTAACCTCGAGACCAGTCCTAACATTTAAGCACATGCATGGCAGGCGGGCTAAAAAAAAAAAAAAAAAAAAAAAAAAAAAGTTATTTTAAAAAAGATATTTGCTTTACTCTATAATATTCAGACATCATTATAGTTCATATATATCGGTTTAAAATTGAGCATAGCTCCCAAATTCCTTGAGATCTTCAGATTTGGGAGGAAAGTAACATAAGGGCCTTGGTGACGTCAGAGAAGTAGAAATTTTGAAGCTGCGATTCTGTAACGCTACAAAATTGGAGGAAAACAAAATTTTATATCCCAAAAATATCTAGTGAGATCTTCGGGGAGTAACATTAATTCGCTATTATGAGACCTGGTATAATCAACCATCGAGTGTATGGCAATATTATGATAGAAACCAAAATTTAAAACATCTGTTCTAATACTAGTTACACGAAAAAATAAAGCAATCAGGAAATATATAGAAACTAAGCTTGGAAAAATAAGATGGAAATCATTGGCTCAAGCAAACAAGGATCTTTATTACAGCAGGGTACATCGATGCTGACTTTGATCAGAACTAAAGCCAATAACAGCAAAGTCAAAAGACAGCAGACTAAATATAAGAGTTTCCACCCAGTTGAGACCATTATATAGATGCAATGGAGGAAGAGAGTAAGAAAGGTATTTCCTTCCGCCAGTAGTAGGCCTACACAGGGGAAACTCCAAAGCGGGTTAGAATCGATCGGGGCTTAATTAACCGCGTAACTTTCCTCAACCTCGCAAGCACGGCGGCTCGATTTCTCGTTAGTCGATTAGCGTTTCGCCACAACCTATTGGGGGTGGCAGGATTGAGACTTCGGTATCAGATAGTCACGGGTAATTTTGAAATAATCCTTGATCTGGATAGTAATTAGGCGGTACCACAGATGTGTTAAGGTCATACACTAGCGCAGGGTATAGCCCGAGGTGATGATTTGGGAAGTGCTCCTAAGAAATGGCAACAATAGGTTAGCTTTAAGAAATCACGGACGGGTATAAATCAAGAAGTTTTGGGCTTACTCTACTATCCGTTAAAAATTCCCTATTAGTTCGCCAACGGTAATGTCGACTGTAATGATATTGATCATCCTCGTCACCATCGAAACGTGACGGGTGGACGTTAGGATAATGGCGAGGAAGACAAGTCCTGATCAGGTGGTTTTTCGTGTCCTCAACTCGCGCTTTAGGTTGTTGGCAGTGTCGACATTGGTAAAGGTTTATATGTTCTGAAACATGGCGACTAACGAGACCAAATAGAGACCATAGCTTAATAAATTTTCGACCTGGAGTTTCGCAGATTTATTTCGGGATATATACTTACATGTATCTACTCTGCTTCCTAAAGTCACGGTTGCATTCGGGGCAGATATAGATTCTCCTGTTGCTTTCATCCGACATAGCAGCCCGCCATAATGGTTGAACAAACAATGATCGCGGAGATACTATCTCTTCTTTGTCCGTGATGTAGGACGGGAGTGCTGGAATTCCTCTAGAACGAGATTCACGGCAGACAATACGAAACATTTGCTGCGCTATTCTTGCTTCGGGTATCCACACGGGAGAGCATTGCTCCGCCAAAATATTTGGATATCGTACATTAATGCATGATCCGCAAAGAATTGGATCATCGTTTAGCTCTTCCACATAGAATGTTAATTGAGTTGCTGGAAGCCAATCCGACTATGAGATGAAAGCCATGTTAGTAGTGATTCGGAATCCGACATGACCCCTACTTCTCGGGTATTTGTAACCGAATAGGCTTTGCAGATCAAAGCTGGACCTACCTCAGATTGGCAGCCTGGTTGACAACATCGAACGGAACAGATGAGATCTGTAGGGGCAAAATGGAAGGAATTCTGGGCTTGTATCGCCGTTTGATTAGAGTCAGTTGTCGAAGCTGCAACTACGGTTGGTGGATAAACTGGGAGTCTTGAGGCCCTGGGACGGACGACGGGTGTGCTTGAGGTGCTCATCGTGGTAATGGCTCTAATTCTCTTTCGGATAAATGATGCTCGAGGATCCTAGAACTAGCTAGTACTAATAGAAACAAAGTAGTATGGCGACATAGACCGGATATGGTATAATGCTTGTTGGTGGGATTTTGGAATTTCAGTGACTTTCAATGAAGTTTCATATGCCGTTATATAGGCTCCTTCCGACGAAGAGAATGGGTGTAATCTGTCTTGCGTTAGGTGAATAGCCCGCAGCGTATAGCAAACAAAGCCTCTTATTCGACAGCGGACAAGCTCGGGCCTAGGTACTGTTGTAGATTGATATAGAATTAGACTGCAAAATTAAGAGAAAATACCAACTTAATGCAGGAGGTATAACTGACTTGCCTCATGACTCCGCCGTCGCAGCCCAGTTCCCATAATTCTTGGATGTAACCGGGGTGTATTTTCAGAAGCATATGCGTGTATGTACATAGTTAAAAATATAAGGCACCAAAGAGTCAAGGTACCTTCTACAGGGGACTATTCGGGAGCGGTAAGATCCTGGGAGACTAAGAGCCCTGAACTGCGCTCCCCGGGGATACGCAATTAGTACCGCTAAGCTATCGCTAGAATCAAGGAGGTGACGGGGACTTGTGAGGCTCTGTCTTGGACCCTATTACTAAGGTTCAAAAGAAGGACCTACATAATTGGATCATATGATTACTAACGCATGCTTTCGTTCTTGTACCCGTGTTTGGAGGATCTTAAGAACTGTCGTATCAGCCACAGGGTAAATTAGACAACTGCGGGTCGCGATCAGGCCCCTACAGCAGACCGACGGCTCGAAACGTGACGATAGACTCATCCCGGAAGATAGGGCATAAGCCTCCGCAAACGTAATCAGAACAGATGTTTCTGTCGCTCCACTTACTAGATCTAGCAAAGCGGGCCCGATCGATATCTAAAGTCGCGTTGGAGTTGTCACAGCACACTTGATACAGATATCATGTTAATTCGTTCGTGACTCTGTGATTTGATAACCGATCATTGAGAAAATAAAAACAAAAAAGGCTCCCAAACCCGTGTGTCATTCTTCCCGAGTGATTCTCCGCTTTTAAAGACTGGGGTTACAAGCTAACTTTGGCCTTGTAGATGTCCTATTTGCATTTTCCTGCAGTTCGAAGGCGGGATGATGCAAAGAAATTCTTGTGTGTTATTATGTGTTGAAGCCTGGTGCTGATTCACCAGCCCATTCGATTGCCTAGCTTGCAGGCAGCGCTCGAGCCCGCCCCGCGACCCGCACTACTGCGATCTCCACCTAGGCAGGGATACTTTCGAGCAAACATCAGCAAGAATTGGCCGGTTTTTTCGGTCAAGACTGTGATAATGTTGGAAATCACATAGCCTCTAAGACGACTTGGGCATGGACTATCTGGGAATGTCGTTAAGGATGAGCCCTTCCGAGCCGTCGAGCGCCTCGCATACAACGTCCAGGAAATTTAAAAAAAAGAAGTCGAAGCCATCAACATCACGCACGCGCACTATACTACGATATCAATCACAATTAGCACACATCTCCTAAGATTAACATATTATTAGTACTCCGTACATACGATGAAAGACTTTCTGGGTTTGGCGACTATTAGTTTAGCCGGAGCAGCGAGGTTTAGACCGTCGGTGAAACAATCTGAAGCTTAAACATAATGCCGACCCATGTTCCAAACGGTTTGCTAATCTTTGTTTGGTTTTTAACGTAATCTGACATTCCGAATGCCCGCTTAACCCTAGGAATATACGAATCCTTCACTGTTCGTGGTGTTTCAAAAAGATCTAACACTGCAGGCGAATCTATATGTACTTACAAGGTGGACTTGCAGGCTTGGTCAGCACGGGCCTTAGTCAAGATAGGGACGTGGTGATTTTCAGCCTCAGGGACGATGCATTACCCCAGAAAACATTTTAGCGCGAGATTCCGGAAAGCCAGACACAGCCGCCAATACGACGAACCTATCGCCATTGGGTACGTACGTGTTTGTCGTGATGTTTCGTGGACACATACGAATACTGATATAAGGTTAACTGGCTATTTTTGGGGAGCTTACTAGTGTGATATTCCGACAAACCAAATATATTCGAAATAGGCCGAGGGAAAAATCTAGCAAAGTTGGCTGTCGGCCATGGGGCGTTTTGTTAGGAATGTCAGATCCACCTGGCATGGCCTGGACACCCCATGCCCTTGGGCGACAGTTTCCGAGTTCTGTATCATGACAGGGTATCGGCTACTACGATTTCAATCACTGGATATCTCTCACTTACTTTTTTTTACATGGCTGATGCCCCGTGCATACCGGGTTGCGAATTCTGGAGCTAACGCATCACGGGATTCGGGATAGCGAATGCTTTACCTTGCATAAACAAATCTTGCAGACTCCAGTTGCAACTTTCAAAACTCTTGATTCGCTAGCTCATCTTACTGCAGATTCCTTTCGGAATCATTTTTTGTGACACCTGAACGGAGTTTAATCCATTAGCAGTAGCCGCCAGTTGAGCTAGCTCGCGAGCAAGTAGCTTTCGTGAGGCAGTTGGAACAGAGACAACAATAAGATTACTCTATATACATTGTAGCATTCGATTGTACTTACTTCCCAATTAGTATTGCTTACACTCTAACCTCTGAAACTAATTTCCTATTGGTTTTTCTAGTACCCTGAGGGCCCGATACCACCAACGTGGTTTTCGCTGCGGATCCCAAGGGTTTGGAATGCTAAAATGTGCCGTCGCTGCCGCCCAAAAGAACACCACTCGGCACCTGCCGCCCAGCCCGCACAAGCACGACATGATGCACGTCCCTGTTCTAGAAACAGCAACGTAAAATTACAATAATACGAAAATTTGATGCTCCGACGTCGCGGTACCAGTTTGTCGGTGGATTGGCAATAATTAATTAATGAATAGTATTGATATCATGATGATTGTGCGGGTGAGCCGATCAAGTTTTCTATTAATATATAGTCTTCGTCACTCCGATGACGAGTATTAATCAGCCATCTTTGCTTGGCTCCGAGTTCGAATCTGAGCGTAACGTTAAGTATTTATCATAACCACAGCGGGAAAACTTTCCCTTTTTCGGACCCAATTTCGTAGAGCCAGTGGGGACAAGAACTCGACGAACCAAGGTAATATTTGATATTTTGCCAGCTTGCAACCACATGTTTTATTGGCAGCATCGGGATGTCGTTATTTTGTTACATTTTTGTCGAAGCCCAATATGCATGGTTAAGCGACCTTGGAATCGAATCTTATCCTTAACTAGGATGATTTTGTGGGCAGAAAAACACAACGACCTAGTTAGAGAACATCGAACATGCAATTGTAAGGTTGTTAAAAATTTACGCATAGGCTAATCTTGAAGTGATCGTTTCATATTTCGCGTTCCTTAGTTTCCAAATACGATGATAAGCATAGTTACACATCCGCAGCATACTGGTATCACTACGAGTCGCGTGGAGGATTTTAAGGCTTATTGGCGAACAGGCCAGGTTCTCTCGGCATCCCACCGTCATTTACAATCAAGCATCGATATCCCTTGTCTTCTGAACAACAGTACTCCTGTACGGGTATTTTGATACTTACCATTATCCAGTCATTCGATATAGAACCAACCGAATTAAACCAAACCACTCTGAATCGCCAAAAAATTCAAGCAATCGAACTCGGCGCTTATGCCAAGCTTAAATCGTCACCCGACATTCCACTCGTGGCACCCAGGTACCCAAGCCAGTAAGATCTCGAAAGGAGGGTCGAGGGAATATAAAAAGCTTTAAAACTTCTATGGCCAATATTGCGGCAACTAAAGCTTTGAAAGCCGAGGTTGCTTGCATGGCGCAAGCTAGGGCGGTGGGAGGCATTCCAATTGGCGGGAATAGTTACGCGTTTCTGGCTTCTAAAACTTGAGGCTACGGTAGCCCCCACGCAAATCGGTATAGGCTTTATACTTAATATGTGACAATGATTGCATAACCCAGCCTTTTAAATGCATATGTCTCGGAGGAGAGCAGTCGGAGGTCATCTACGCAACTAATAATACAACTTCCGAACGACTGGATAATGTAGAAGGTGAATTTCTAGGATCCAGGGACCTTTATAGTCCTCGTAGCAATTTTCTTATTGTGGATGGGCATATCTATGGATGCGATTCCCCAAATCATCTGGTAAAATGAAGCAGGGAGTGGCCCCATGCATGTATGTCTCTACCATGAGCTATTAGTCAGCCCAATTGATATTCGTGGAGACGTTTATTTATAAAGCCATCTTAAACCATCGGTCTGTTTTGGGGTATCGGGTTAAGTAGTTCATAGCCTTATTCCCTAAGATCGATACAAATTTGTAAAGTCTTTCATGTATCCAGAACCGGCATACCGAAATGAGAGAGGCGAAAGATATTATTAATTTTCATAAATTTGAGCAAGAAGACTAAATTAATTAATATTAAGCAAGCCAATGATAGATATCTACTTAGTGTACATCTATTGCTTTGCTATACAGAAAGTGGGAGCATTAAATAAAGCAATGGGGAAGAATAATCTGAAAGTTGCCCTGCGTGTACTTGGGCACGGCATAAATAATAGAATTTACCAGAAAGCTGGGGGGAGTGGAACGAATGAACCTTAGCAGACGCGAAAGGACCTGGAGACTAGAGCTAGTAGAATTAGATTCGGTAGTATGGAGATGTGACGAAGGAATCTTAAGTCTAATTGCTCCAGCACACAGCTGTCGCAGAATAGTCATATATTAGGATCAATAAACAGGGAGTTGGTTCCAAGGTTGTGAAGCGGTTTGCCAAGTAGTATGGCGAAAGGAGGGTGGCTTCGCTATTGGTTCTTCATCAACACCGATGGCTATAGCCTCCGCTGGAATAATTTCTGACTTCCCATGGTTGCGCCATTCTGTCTAGAGCGCTCAGTCAGCTTCCTGCACTCCCGCTTCTTTCGAAACACATCTACCAAATTTGCAAACTTGGAAAGCGAGAGATATATATTAGAGCTTACCAATCCTATTTCGAGCATATCGTCTTGAGAATCATGTTCGATAAAATTTTGAATATCATCTGCTGTGACATCTCCATGGTATTTTGCAAAGGTAGTTGTATTCAGAAAATGCGCTTTTGCCTCTTCATAGCGGGCGAATACATTACTAGGGAGGAGCCGCTTCGACTTAGGCGGAGGATTGTCCCGAAGTTCTTCCTCTGTACATCGAGTAGACTTATAACGCCCCATATAGCGTGAGATGTGGTCTCTAAATCGGGATCGACGTGAATTAATCTTCGAGCTGATAACTGCATGCTAGTCACGGGTTGAGTGAAATTTTTTGCTTACACAAAGTCCGATGGCTTCGCAAAAGCTGCTAGGCAGAGAACGCACTTGTATGGCTTGATTTTAGGCTCCGTGGCATTTTTACTGGTTGGAATCTTGGTGTGAAGAGATTCTTCATTCGGTTTCTCGAGAGATTTACCTAATGATCCACCCGTTGATACATTGGCTTGGTTTAGGGTTGATTTGCCAGCCTTCTTTTTGGGACCAATTTTGACTGACCACAAAGGCCAAATATACGGAATGCCCGGAATTAGCTTGCGTCTGAAGGCAGTACGATGCTTGCGATGCTCGTGTGGGCGTATTTCTCGGGTCTGCCAATCAGCCCGTTTCCCGCCGTGGAAGGATCTTGGTGAAAGGACTCGAATCATAGAGTCGAATGGTAGGGTCGACCCCGGGGAGCGGTGAAATATATCTTTGAAGCGCCATTTCTCCAGGCCGGGGAAGCAATTAATTCGACATTCCCAACAAAGCAACAAATCCTCTCTCTGCTCCAGTTCATCACGATTGAAAGTGATCATCTTGTCATTGAACTTTGGGCTCTATCCATGGATCATTCATACATTAGATCTCTGTATCTTTGATATTAATCTGTATTAAACAGCTTTTTACATCGACTACAGAGGAGTCGATAGTAACATGTTAACATGACATGAGTACTTACAGGTCTTCCACAACAACCACAAACGAAATAGTAAAGCTGTTCTAGCTGGGGCGTTGCGGTGATGGGCAGTCCGCCGTCCAAATCCCCTGATGGTAGCGTATAGTTACATGTATAGTTGCAGAGATTGGGGTCAATTTGAGCATCAATATCTTCATCGTCATCCTCGCATTCGTATAAACTAGGGCTACTAGCGTAGGGTGGGTTGTATTCAAAAATATTGTGACCTCGTATGCCATAGCTTGAAGACATTGTCGAGAGGAACGATATTGTTGGAGAAAAGCTTAAAACAATTTTATCGAGGTGAGTTGCTAGCTACCTAGGGTTGGTAGGAATGTGTAGATGCGACAAATCGCGGAAAGCTAGAGTAATGGCGTACCGGCGTGGTATATAGGAGAAAATTAAGTATGTGCAGGGGAAAGTTGGAGATCAGGCGCTAGAGTTTACTGATCTAGTGTCAGTCTCCAGAGATATAATGCGTCCGTCAAGGTTATTTATATATGCAACGAGTCTATACACTTGGCTTAGTATTCTCTACGGCGCATCCGGATATGATGTATAAGAATAGATACCTCATCATGAGGATTTCTGTTGAAAACCAGAGGGTACCCTGACATGCAGTTCGGTCTCATATGATCCCTGTAGTGCAAAATACATACGTGCGCGTCGTATACCCGTAAGAATTGCTGAAACTATACACAGACTATAGTAGTATTCTCATCGTTCCGGTTTTTGTCCATGTCGGTCGCCGTTTGGACCTCGAAAAAGGCAGCTTGCAGAACCTCATGTTGATCTTGCCGAGGGTATGAGGTAAAAGTGTCGCGATCGAGAGATGAACTTGCAGAATTGTGACAGCTGTATATCGAACTGCATGCATACAATTGCTGAGCACTCAATCGTTCGTTCTCCTACGTACTGTTGGCAATTTTTTGAAGATGATGAGTCTAACAGTGCACCCCTTGGCCGTCTCATGGAATATGGGATGCGTTTTATTTCCTTTTTTTTGTTTCGCGTTCTGAGAGAGCTGTAGTATTCTGAAAAGGTCGTATCGTATCGTGGTGAATCGTGCAGCATTGAAGATTTTCTGACGTGTCCATCTTTACGGAGGTCGTAAGAGACGAAGGTGGAGCTTCTGAATGCTCGAGGAGGTTGGAAAAGATAGTATCATGTACATCTTTACAAGTCTCCACGTCTGTATAGTGTATCGTCATTGTATACTTTGTAAATCTGGGGAGATATATGTAATGCTACCTATTTGGGTGTAGGGAGGACCGCACGGTCCGAGTATCTAAACTTGATGTTGCCCCAAGAAACAAGTCAGAGAAAAACGAAACCAGGTCGGGCCGGCTGATGCATAAGATTGCTTTTGTTCGCGTTTCTTTGCGCTCTTGGACCAACAATCCGCGTTTTTGCATGAGAGCGCACGGTCGAAAGCGTCGAGGTTTAGATATCTGTGGTCGAGGTTTTTGAATCCGAAGTAATGTAAAGATCGAGACGACATATGCGTCGAGCCGACGGGGATGAGAGAACCAGCTGAATGCATGAAAAGCGTCAATGTAAACCGTAAGAATCCAACGCTAGGCGAGATACAGCCACAAAGGCTGTCTTTTTTAGAAAAGGGAGTGTTTTTTTTGCCTCTGGTAATTCCACAGATATCCGCGAGCTGTTGTCGAGCTGAGATTACGGATTGACGCCTCTGCGTAGACACATGCCGGAATTGGTTTAGCCCATATACTTTGGTCACGATTCCTTAATCCACAGCCAAAAGCATCCAACAAACCCAAGAAATAAATCCACTTTTTATTGATCCAAGATTAAAACCTTGAAACAGCTAGCTTACCCCTTGTTTTCCCATCTACATGTATACAACGAGATGCCAAAGGGAGGTGTTGCATTTTGTGCTTCAATGTCGACACTATGCCCAGACCGCTGCAGCAGTTCTAAATATGCAGGTACCGCTGGAGTACTATTGCACCTATGGGTCTGCACAAAGTACAAGCTTGATCGGAAATCAGCGGCGGAGAACATCCAATCTAAGGCTTTCCTCTGAGTCTGTATTTCGTGCATTGCGCATAGATGCTAGTCGCTGGGGCGTCGGTAGATGCAACAAATTTGGAGCCCGGCGCCCTGGCTTTATCCGCGTATACAAACCTTGCATGCATCGGCACCACACCCCCAATTGATTTCTAATCTAAAGTTGGCAATTTGTTGATTGCTCTACTATCAGGCGCATACACCATTCCGGGGCGCGTCTCGATATTTCGAGTCGATGAGCGTTATCACACAATTGAGGTCCCTGTATCCATGAAACATAAATTGTGAGATCGTTGGGGGAGAAGGGAAAAGGAATAAAGAAAAAAAATGATGTTACTATTATTTCCATTGCCACTTGAAACTTGCAGGCAAGTGATGATGTGGCACGTCTGTTTGCTGCATTGCCAGTTTACAAGCCTAGTCTCGTTCGCAGAGTCCACAGATCGCCATAGGGTGTCGACATGTATGCCAGCATATCACAATACTTAATTTACATCCTGGGTTAAAATTTTTTTTCTAAATTCTTGGGCATGATGCATGACCAAGACCAACGGCCACGCAGTAACAATGTTATTATTGCGCAAGGCTGGGTTACCAAAGGAGCATCTTCTCGGGAAGAGCGGTCAAAAAAAGCACATTAGTACACAGTTGTTAAATAACTCTGAGACATAGACAATCTTGTGAAGTGGCATTACCTGTGCCGTCGAATCGCATGTAATAGCATGATATTTGAGGTGCATTGAAAGCAACATGGGTTATAGATTTGAGATTTTTTTGAACATAGTTTTTTGAGGTATGTTGGCGGTCGTATCGGGTATGGATGTGAACTGATGGTGCATTGAGCACAATTTAATGGGTTAAATTTTTTTCTTAATTTGTGGCCAAACTAGTATTGTAAAGTTGTCCAAGATAAATGAGATTTTTTAGCATCTGCATGGACAGCGAGAATCCCTGAAATATTGCCTGAATCGTCAAGTTGCACTGGTCGAATTCTTCGTACCGATGGTAAATAATAGACCTTTTTTTTTTAAAAAAAAAACAAAAAAACATTCGCATTTGAAGGATAGATTGATAAATATCTGGCCATAATATTGATGGGGGACTGAAAATAAAAATCCTGGTGGAAGTTGTTCATTCGGAAATACCTAACAACGGCGATGTTTCACCAGCGATAGGGTCTACTAGTTCCCGCAAACTAGCGATGCCAGCATGCACTTACTCGGATTGCAGTTGGGGTATTTCGAAAACGGCAATCCTAAACACTACTAGCGTAGTTTCATGGCCTTATCTGGAAGGTCGATAGATGATATTAGCCTGCGACCACGGATTTGGTATAATTCTAGGGAGGATTGAACCCCAATAACGTCCCGACTTCCATGTGAGTATCGTCTTGACCCTGGTACAGGTTGGAGGGATTGGAAACAAAAGCAGCTATGTCGATCTAAAACTTATTGCGCGCTCCGACGGGGTTCCAAGCGTGGAGTGCCACCGTGCCACATAACAGATCCACGAAGTCCTGTGAGAGCGTTCAATCATGCTTCCCAGGAAGATCAAAGGTGTTTTGCGGATCAAGGCGACATAGGTGCGGTTTGGATCGGTCTTGAAGAACACCCCGCATGATCTGAGATTAGGAGCCTCGTGGGTTTGGTCTTCGGATGAGCTTAGCCGCTTAAGACACTCGTATTAGAACTAATTCGTCTGGAACAATAATATTAAACAATGGAGCTTTGTTAGCGGATATGTTTCAAATCTGTTAGGGTTTCATATCAGAGTTTAAGCCATGATCGAGTCTTGATCAAAGCGTAACGCTCAAGAGACGACGTTGACCGCAACTCCAACGCAAAAAGACTGTTGTAAGGTGGGTGTGTAAAATGGGACATCGAAATAAGAATATTCTGACTTAAGTCGATTTTTAATATGATTCTAACGCCCAATAGGCGCCACGGAGAAACCCAGGGTACTTAAATACACCCGTCTAGGGATAACGATACAGACAAAGGGATAAAGCCTTTAGCTCCCACGCTACCTTGGATATTCTGCGTACAACTGCGGGGACCTCTTGTCATGAATAACTGTTATCTCAGCCGGTCGGTGTTTTGGTGTGCATCGATCATCTTCAATAGTGGGGTTTTGAGCGCCTCGCTATCCAAGCTGCATGAAATATGCTTAATCCGGTAGACTGAACGATGCATGATACGGCTAGGAGATTGAATCGCATCCATCGCTGGTACAAGTCCGAATCATCAACCAATCCGGGCTGGTCTTGGGGGCATGGGACTTGAAATTAGCTGATGAAATTTGTGGGTTGGGGGTCATGACGAAATAGAAGGCTACAGGAAGCCTTTTCAGTTTGTTCGCAGGCCTTTTTACTCCAGTAGAAGGTCCTATGGGCCACAGTGCACGGATTTCGCCTGAAATAAGTATACCTAGCCAGAAGCAACCTAACAACAGGGAAACTCCGCTCAGTACCCCCGAGATGGGAAAAGACCCCACATCGCTTGGGGGCCCCCTCGAGCAATTTACAGGTATTTGTGCATCTGAGCACCGGTATCGCACTATTTATGGTCCTCTTGGTGGCCACTAGGAGTGACGTGACTCTTTTATTCACGCATGATTACATGCTTCCTCTCGGCATGCATATGGACGGCAGTCGATAATGTTCGCATGTAGGAATGGCTTTTGGAATCCCAACCAACAAAGGATTAGCGGTATTGGCCGTAGGCGAGGGTTTGGCCGCATCCGGAAAAGTATCTTCATATACCATTCCGTCCTATCTCGTTCCTAGGCAGTATATGCAGAGCCGGGACAGTACAGCATGACGAATTGGAATAGCCACCGTTTCCGCCAGCATGTAAGTATCGCCCGGCAGGTTAGTTGTCGTTTCCGGTCCAGACTTTTCTGAGAAGGCCTCCGTTTACCCGCAGATATCGTGTTGACACGCTAGTTGTATGCGTGGCCGATGCACTGGAGCGCTGCTGGAACGTGAGCCATATACGGAGCAGTCGGAGTTATTATTGATCCATCTATTAGGAGCACTTGCCATGAACTGACAAGTGTAACGTCTGGTCTCCTTGCTGTCCGAAACCATGCCTTCCGGATTTGCCTCCTGAAACAGTTGGTTTAAATTCTGGAACAGTCTTAAAGAGACATCGCGTCTAATTGTCTCTTTTGTTGAGGTTCGTGTAGTGGCTTTAAAATAACAGACCTAGGAAGGAGGCTCCCCGCGACAAGCTGATAAATTTTGAGTACTCGCAAGTTAAGGCAGCCCGAGTTAGCATTCCAGTCTGCAAAAGGGCCCGGGCGGCAGTCGCGTCGTAGACTATCACCATATACGTAGGGTTGTAGCGAGGTAGAGGTTTTGTATTGGGCCGTGAAGTAGGGCAACCTAGCTAGAATGATGGCCGCAGAGTCGTGTGCATTATCTCAGCTTTAGGGGTGCCGTTATGTCCTTGTGCTTGGATGCCTCAAAAATGTGGGGATTGTGAGTTTTGCTGAGGTAATTTGCCGAACAGAGAAAAGAAAAAGGAGAGGGAATCAAATATAAACCACAACGGCCAACAACATGCCGCGTGGGTTGTAGTTTTGCTGCTTGCTGCCGATTCAGACGATGTTAATTTGGTAGTTTTGGCCGTTTTATCTGATTGAACTCTTGTGTGCATCGCAAACAGTCCCTCGTGCCCCATGTTAGCAGGCTGGACCCACTCCTGGAGTTGTTGCCGATGCATTCCACGAGTAGAATCCTGCCAAGTTCCCTGGCTGGGAAAAGTGACGGAACCGAGAGATCGATCGTTTGTATGGGTAATCACAAGGGATCTTGGATATTTAATGTTGGGAGTTGTAGGTCCGAGCTGCTTCATCTGTAGCCGCCACAACTACTTCTAAGTGGGGAGCACCATTTCAGATCTCGGAGGAATTTGGGGCTTATCGAACATTTTTCCAATGACAAGCATCGCTAGGTTGACCAATCGGCTGCTTAATGCATTTGCTGTCCATGTGGAGGGGCCAGGCTGTCGGCTTAGGTGCCTCCCCTCCTTGAAGAACCAAAGCCCAAAGTTTGTTTGCCCATCAGTCTGATATTTCCGGCTCTTAACGATGTAAAAGTTTCGGCGACCTCCTCTTATGTTTGTGGGTTAAACGCTGGGCTGCCGGCGGTTGGCACAGCTTTATCATAATGAAGCTATTTAGGCCATCCATTTTGACTCGCGCCACAGTCTTTGGAAATCCACAGCCCCCAAGCTCATGAATAAGCAAATCCATAGACTTATTTTGGTGCAAGGAGAACGAGACTGGCTGTCTTCAATGCCGTTGTTAAGTCGAATCTTGGCAATGCTAGTCCCCAGGGTCTGTTGACGGCCAGCAAGGTTCGAACTGACACTTTGGAACGGGCATAAGGGCGGAACTGCAGCAGGTTGTCTTCCCACCTTCCCCGCCTTGTCCGATATGTAAAAAGAATAAAGCTGGGTATACATGCTTTTTTTTCTCTGTAATTGAGAAGCGCTAGTGGTGACTTCAGTGCCCCGCTTAAAGAATATGCGGGCTCTGTGTTTGCTACCTAATCTTCTGCCATGTGTCTCGTTAGTGAGGTAGCAAGTTAGGCTATGAAAATTGGAACTAACCCCGTCTGTGGTGTGCTTTCCAAACCAATTCAAAGATCAGACGAGTATGAGTGTGAGCATTTCGTTCTCATGCTTCGAATCAAATGATTGCGTCCGATTTTGATGTAAATTTAGGCTTGATCGAGCTAGCTGCGCAGAACCTAGCTCGGGTGATGGCGAGCAATTAGGTTTGGAGCGGTCCGAACTTGCATCCTGGCCCAAGTTGCAGAGCGTCGACTCCCGCCCGGGTCTACCCTTCTGAGACACAGTGAGCTGACTTGCAGGCAACTTGGGGTCGTCCAGGGAGCTGATATATACTACCGAGAAGGCTAAGACAGCGTTGATGGTGTGCAGCAAGGCCATCCTATATAGCCCGCTGTATATGGGGTTAAAGATCGGGTGTTTTTGTCAAGCAGGGTGCAAGTGGGGGGGCTCCCGACCCAAGCAGACCCTTTAAGCCCTGCGTGTTTTATGCCGAATAGACTGGATTCAAGGAGGGGCGGATGCAGATATAAAGCTCTCCCACTCTAACCCGCATTATAAAGCCCTCTCAGAAGCCACAAAAAATAACAAACAGATAAATTAGTCCAACAATCATCAAAATCAACCACACCCCGTAATCGAATACCAAATGGATCACAGATATCCTCAGGACGATAACACCGAATATGAGATCCCCCGAACCCACAAGAATCGTAGCTATCAGGACGCCCAAGGGGAATACTGGATCCCGGGAGGTGGCCAACAATACGAAGATCCACAGCTTGCGGGTATGGGATATGTGTCCGGTCCAGAACGGGAACTATGTTAACCAGGAACCGGTCTAGGCTCGACAGTTATAGACCCCCGACTCCAATATGAAGACTCATCACCAACTATACTTCCCCCAGGGACGTCCATCGCAAGCTATGGCGGGTATAGACAAGCGGGATACCAGGGGTATGGGAGCTCCTCTTCGTCGCACCAACCCGCTGCCCAATACTATGAAAGTCAACAGCGACAACCCATTGGTGGCGAAGCCGGATATGAACACGGCGCATATGAATATCAAGAGCAAGACATCGCGAGTACCTTTCCGCTGATCCACCCTCATGGGACCGATGAGTCCGATCCTCAGAGCTCGGGGTAGGTATATACACCCGACTTTGAAACTCCTATGATCATGCACTGATGACGTGGCTAAAGCGACCGACTGCGGCCTGAAAAGAAGTATCTGTGTCCAGTCGAGGCTTGTGAGAGGAGCCATGATGGTAAGTGAGCTGTCCCGCAGATAGTTTAACCATAGCGTTGCGGTTAACCAACTTAAGGGTGTGGCTTCACAACTCTTAACGACCTAGAACGGCACGGCCGATCGAAGCATGGAGATGACGGCCAGTATGTAGAATGCAGACACGAAAGGTGTCCAGACAAAGGGAAGCGGTTCCCGAGGAGGGATAATTTTGTAGACCATTTCTGGCGGGTCCATGGAAACGGGTCTACAAAGGAAGCGATGAAGGCCTATGCGCTGGAAAAGGCCAAAGAATGGATGGTGGTAAAGCAGGCGGGGAATTGGTCGAACCGATAAGACTAGTCGCCCTATGTTATAATTAATTATCTGTCCGGCTATGGCGCCAAATATTCTTTGCTGCTAGGGATAGTTCGATTCTCTTGCTGGACGAGCTCAAGCGGCCTGGTGCTTAGCTTGCATTTGCGTTGTGTTTTCGCCTTGCATTGGATTGGATTGGTCAGAGCCGGCAATTTTATATATAGCTTCGAGTAACTAATGAAGTGCATCCTTTTGGGATTTTCTTTTGGAGCTTTGAGCCTGTTTAGCCGGGCGCGCGGAGGTGGAGCCGGTAATGCAATGCAATCTGTGGAGATACGGCATCAGGAGCTGCTATCCTGGAATTGGGAAGCCGTCGTAGGTTATAATTATCGTGATTCGAGGGTCTTGAGACAGCTGGCATGCCGCACAGAACTCGACTGAGACATCCAGTCGCAAGGGTTGGGCGACGGTAGCCGCTGTCGATTTTGGATTGGAAGCGGATATCCATTCATGTATTAGGCGTAAACTCCCCCTCCAACTCCAACTCATCTGCCCCATCCAACAGCTGGTCCCCAGACCGCTTCTCGGCACCCAACATCCATAGAAATGCTCCAGTAGTTTCTCAAATTTATATACTCCAAGTGGTTTCTCTGAAGTCCATCCTTCAACTCATCCTGTTTGGGGACCAAGTGGACGAGTATGCTACGTATCTGGACGCGCATGCCATTATATATGGTCCGACAAGTGACAAGTTGAAGAGGAACAAGGCGCCCGAAAGTGGGGTATCATATCCGGCTAGGCTAAGTGGTCAAGCCTAGGGCGGCCTTCGAACTGTTGGTGGCCTCATTTCCCAGAGATGGCCATGGTCAAGCATTACTGACTTTAGGATACTAGACCGCCTTGGAGAAAGAATGCTCCGCAAATTAGCAAGCCTGAAAACATCGCGATCGATATCTTCCTTGGGTTGCGTTGTCCTGGCTTACCCAAGACCGTCCGATAAGACACGTTCTCAAATATCTGGACCACAAACCGCTAGTGTCAGAACTAGTGAAGCAGGTCAAACTTTCGGAAATGAGTTTGAATAAGCACGGCCCGCTGCACCACTCTTCTATCGACGGAGGTTTAGGAGATTCCGAGGCAACGTCCTCGGGCCTATGTGTGCCATGAAACGCGTTCGCAAGGAGATAGCTGTCGGTAGGATCGCTTCAGCGGAATGTTTGACGAAAGAGAAGGGACCAGGAAGGGGGGTTCCGCGGCCTCCTCAACGGATAGGAGGGTGTGCGCCTATGCCGTAATAGGCATTATCGAGCTTTGCGAGCCTGCGCGGTTCCAGGTTGCTTGCCATACTTGTAAAGGGAAGGGGTCTTATATAATGTGAGAACAGAAAGGCACCAGCTTTCGAATTGGTCGGGCAGCGACCCCGCTTTAAAGGGTCGAACATTTGTTTAGGCAAGGTCGGAAAGATAGCAAGCTCGCCTATCCAGCCCGGTTTATTGGCCACCCGGAGCAATGCTGAATGTGATACATTGTACAACCAGCCTCTGCCCGCTTTGGGGAAACGGGAACAGGGTCCCAGGCTAGTTTTAAAACTGGTGCGACTAGGCGGCTCGCCTTGATCTGTGTCTGAGGTTGCTGTAGAATGGCCGTTGCATTGATGGGGTGCAAATTCTTACATGATCAACCTGAACTTATGCATCAACCTTCGGTTACCCTCAGCGCAATGGTGGCTAATCCGAGTTCCTGGTTCGCAGTCGTGGTTGTGGGCCGCCTGTTGCATTTTTGTGGTTTCACCTCAAAATCTAATTGCAACCGTCTTTGCTCGGTTCCATTGATCCAGTAGACATTGCTCATAACAGCAAACACAGCCGATAAACCGGAAAACTACGCAGCTGCTAATGAGCTTCGCGTCTTTCAGCTCTCGGACTAGTCTAACTCGATTAGACAAGGAAGCCCCCATCCTATGCATGAGAACGACAGGGTAGAGCGGAGAACTAGCCGGTCACCAGGGTCCGTGTCTCACGCATTGGCAAAAGTTCCGAGTTGTCTATATGCGCGGTGCGATGGAAAATCAAGTCGTTAAGACCCAATCAGCAGTCGCTCATTCGCCCCCAAAGAAGGTACCTGTAATTTTGGTTTCGAGAACCTCAATCGTCATCTCCTCGCGGAATTAGCGTACAAAAAGCTTCTAGTTGAATCACCCCATCGTTCATGAGTAATTGGGTCCAGACCATTTTGTATTCCTCCCCAACGTCAGTATATATATCAAACTGGAGGGTGCCGTTGATAGCCGTGATCTTGCAGATGCCAGATTGTCCCTAGGATTAGGGTTTGTGGTCCACGACCGACGTTTTCAACACGATGGCTAAGTAATTAACCTGGTTAGCACCTCAAAGATTTCGCAACCTATAACTTACTAGAATAGGAATTTACCTCTTCCATGCTTTTGGCTTGTTCGTAACATCTCTCATCTCTCCTCAGCGTTACTATCCACGTTCTGTTAGTTGGGCGCGTGTGTTTCGGTGACCTAGATTTAAGAGGGAAGCGAGAGCACTTCAAAGAACCCCATGACCAGGACATGAGTATTCGCTTGGGACGAGAAGGCACCTGCCAATAACTTCTTTGGATGGTTTGGCTCGGCCATTGGAAGCATCGGAAAGCCGGTTCTAATAGCTGTTCCAAACCTCCAACGAAATAATAGCCTAGGGCAGGTATTGAAACTCAGGCTGTTCCCCACCATCCAACGTTGCCCCCCACCACCGGCACTAGTAGCTCCAGATGTGCATCTAGTGCAATAAAAAACATTCATCCACCCATTTTTAACTCCCTAGTTGACACTTTCTCTTTGCTCTTACCCTAAGTTTAGCCCAGTTCTAGTCCAAGTTCGAACAAGGTAAAATCTGCCCATTGTTTGACGTGTATAGCGTCATTTTAAGAGTCCTTCCGAAGCTATTGGGTAGCAGCGCATTGAATCTTTATTTGATAATATCTTGTACGTCCCTTGGGTTCACTTTGTCAGCTTAGCCTGGTTTTCTCCCTTCCAATATTCCAACAGTCAATTGCTCATACTACCTCATAGCTCTGATAAAATAGTGGTTTCCAATGATTCCAGGTCTTTCTGTCGAGTTCTATAATCAAGTGAGGATGTTGTTGCCTATGAGTATACGTATGATTGTTGTCGATGGGAACCTGGGTACTTTTGGTGTTTGAGTTTTCGATAGTACGCGTCTACCGACCAACAACGTACATGTACCTAGGCCCTCCAATGCTAAGCATTTTGCCTGCCATATCGCCCCACGAGACTATAGCCGAAGCCCCTATCCTGTAATACTTAAGTACTAGGTACTTACCTAGACCTTTGCATAAACCAGTCATTTAACCTTCCTTTATACCCAGACGACATCTGTATTGGGGATAGCCTTCCGCCCTCCAGCTTCCTCCGAACAGTCTCCCACCGAATAGGGTTCAAATCCGAATGCGAATGCAGGAGACATTGCATTACCGCCGAATCAAACATGCAGGACAGCGAATCAACGTAGGTTCCCCACTATGGACGCTCTCTAATAGGCTCTCAAGCTATATTACCATCGACCCTGAGCGGAATCCACAATCTATTACCATGCCGGAAAAATCACTTTCATCTCTTCAAGTCTGCCTCTCAAGATGATACAATGCTAGTTACCGAGTACAATTATATATGTATGGTGACAGATCTCATTCCACCTCCATAATTTGGGTACAATCAGCACACAATTAAAGTGAACTTTCCTGCTCCATGTCGGTATTGAACTAATCGGACTACATCTATTCACTTAGTGTCCATTGATCTTATACCCTGATATTAGATCTCTGCAATCTTAAAGCATCATAGTATTCGGTCAAAAGAAATAACCCCCTCATGGGAAAAAAAAAGTGTTCAAAGACGTTCGGTGTCGTATCCAGTCTTGAGGACTTGGAGAATCGAAGCCGCGGTCTCTAGGCCAAAATTAGTATGCCATAAATTGAAGATGCGTGCTTTTAACCAGAAAAGCAAAGTTAAAAGGAGAGGAATTTCTAGCTTTAATCCTCAGCTAATTAACACAGCGCAACGAGACTCGTACATACTAACTTGTCTATCGTATCTCCACTTCTAAATTCAACCTAAGACTGTCACCTGGAAGCGAGATCAACCGTCACCAAAGAGAGTGAAATTGAATTTACCTATTGAAAAAAATTGGCTTGTTCATGATTCAACCCTAATTTCGGGCCGAGGTTAAGTAGTACACTCCATGTCGATATCAGGGCTCGTTTCCTGGGACCAGAGACCGGGTTCTTACACTTGACAAAATAAACCTAACCCGTAGTACCGACAGTTCAAATTAGTTTCGCTCTCGAGCATTTGGTCGAGCATGTGATCCATCACCAAAACAGGTGCTAAACTCACAAAAGCGTGGGATTCCCAAATACTTAATTCTTTGTTAGCACTGACTATGTTTTATTTTTTGGCGCCATGGCGCCATCCATACATAGGCATTTACACAGCTTCTACGGTGTCCTAAATCTATGTAAACCATAGGGTTCCATAAGATAATACATCTATAACTGGCTTTTCCAGGTAGGATTTTCGAGATTTTTGCTTTAATATGTGTCACTAGACTAATTTATATATATCACATATCTAAACTAACTTAGTTGGTTCCTAGTATTAACACGTGTGGCTGCCGTAGCACCTGCCAGCTTCGCACCCTCTCTAGGTGTGGTCCCATCCCCTGGTCTATTCTCCTTTAGCCATTTTACAAAGTCCTTCGAACTCTTAAACCTAGGAATAGTACTCTTTCTCTTCCTATCTTCTATAATCTTCATATGATTCACCTCCACTTTAAATTTCTCCCTAATTCTTCTTTTCCCATTATCTCCGTTCCCAGTTTTCACGTTGACATCAGTAGCCGTGATAGCAGGCGAGGACGGTGACCTCCTCCCTGTATTCTTTGACCTCGGTGAGATAGATGACGGTGTCCGGGGCCGGGGGGTATTAGTTCCCCAACTGGCTATGCTATTCTTTTGCGGAGAAGGTGACCGAGTTTTAGGGGAACTATTTGTACCATGGGTACTCTGATTGCCTTGAGCCCCGAAATTTATACTTTTCCTTAAACCTTTTGGGGTGCTTGGAATACCCCCCCTCGGAGAGGCAGGAATGCTGCTGCCCCTATTCCTCAGCCCCCTCTTCAACCCTTCTGGTACACTTCCCATATCCATATACCCTCCTTTCTTTTTCGAAGACCCCCATTCACCGGCATTCAACCCGATAATCCCACTCTTCTCAGTTGCTTGCCTGCTTGATCTATCCATAACAACAGGAAATCCCAAACTATCGCTCGTGATATACATGTCCATTGGTGAACCCCTTACTGCTGGTTTTCTAGTAGTGGGAAAATCTGGTGTTTCAACCACAGCATCGTCGTCTTCCACCTCTGCCAACGATAGCATCTTGACTCCGCCCCTAGTATCCGTTCGCTTCTCTGTATTTCCTTTGATATTCGGCAGTAGAGCGTTGATGTTCAGACCGGGTATGTTCTGATACCCTCTTGAAGCCCTCCTTTTATCCCAATCTCCAGTGTTAGGGATGCTATTTTTACTAATTACGGAAGGAATACTCCCACTCCTACTACCCACTATCCCTGGTAAGACCAAACTTTCTCGCTTCTTTTCTCCCTCCTTCAACCCAACCAACCCAGGCCCCCTTGGTTCTATCAGAAGCGGCAGACTACCTTTACTCCGTTGCATGCTCAACAGTGGGTTGCTGGTAACCACTGCCTGTGGCCTAGAGCGCGCTAGATTACCACTAGTGCCACTTCCCTCATCTTGCCCCTGCGAATTATCCACCTGCTGTGATTGTTGTGTAGCCAACTGTTGTGACCTTGGTTGTTGAGAAGCATCGAAGCATGGTAGGTAAGGGTATAGCCGGTTATAAGGGTCCGAGACCTGAATACTTTCCCTTCTTGAAACCTTATCCACGTTTGCTACAGGAACGGTAAGCTTATCCCTAACACCCCTTCTCTGATCCAATGAAATTCTGTTGCTTAAAACCCCTGGTGTAACCATATTCCCGATAGCAGGCAGAATATTAACCTCATCTGGTAACTCCATACCTTCCCTACTCCCACCACTGTCTGAGTTCTCAGTAGACCCAAAAGCGGGCGTTTCCCTCCCGGCACCCATGAAATCTTTTAAACCGTCAGCGAAGGAAGTAATATCGTTACCATCCTCTTCTGTAAGGAGGTCTTCAACGGCGGTAATAGAGCTTATGGTGCGCTCGATCGGGTTCGAGGCTTGTGAGGTTTTGCGGGTTACAGGGATGTAGTGGTTCTTCATATTTGGGACCTGATTATTATTGAAGTTGCTATTAATATTGATGTTACTTATGGTATCTGGATTGACAGCGGTAGGTTGAGGTGGGTTGTCGACTTCTGGGGTTATTACTATCGGAATCGAAGGAGCGACAGAGTTATGATATAGCGTAAATAGCCGTTTTTCTCCTTAGATAGACGTCAGTCGCCAATTTCAAGAAAGATAGTTCTAGGGAACATAAGGTTAAATAGATAAAATGCGTACCTAAATCAGAAAATGTACTGACATCCCTTTCTCTCCCCATATCCCATCGAAAACAGATGGAGTCATCTGCTACCCGTTCAGCATGAACATAAACATCCTCACAGGATGAATAGAAGAGTTCGAAAAAATTCTCCGAACGTCTGAGTTTCGGGATTGCAGCTCGAAATAGATGGTATGTTCCTGCGTTTGCTGTGGTTGGTTCACAAGCCGCTGTAGTGAATCATATCAGCGAATCTATATCGTAAAATAGAATAAAATAAAGGGCACTAACTAAAATATGCTTTCCCTTCTTTGATGCTGGGATCTAGGGTCCCGGTAATCCAAGATCCGCTCATTGGCGGTGTAAGATTTGGTCTTATATTTGGAGATCCAGCGGATGGATCTATTGGATCATGCAGAAACCGTATACTGCTCGTGTATGTTGTATCATTGTTAGCAAAGCTCATGCATGCCTGTCCTCCCTCCATTGAATATCCCTGAAAATATCACGAGAACTATACAAAGCAAAGAGTCGGATACCTCTCAGCACTTCCAAGCCCATCCACATCAACCACAGTGTCCCCTTCCCTGAATCCTTCTGAGCTTCTACTCCCATCTGGCACTTCTAATAGTCCCACCATACCCTCCTTTGCACTACCCTCGTCAGCACCAAAATAACCAAACACCAAAGATCTAGTCTTTCCACTCAAGCTCCTTAGTAACGGGGTCTTAACATCTTCCATCGCCATTTTTGCGCGTGTGAAAAATGAGAATGCGGATGTAGATGTTGAGGATGGAGTTAGTGATGATGTTGCAGGGATACGCCAGTCCGCTAACCAAATGCTTGAAGGGGGGTAAATCGCCTCGGGCTTGGTGGGACAGGTCAAAGAAGGATTTTGGCGGATAGTGAGGGGGTGGGAAGGTGTAGTTGGTGCCGTTACTACCATCCCAATATATTAATATATCAGCTAATCGCTTTTATTTTGATATGGGGGGGGGGGGGGGTGGACTTTTATCAGAACAAAACGTACTTAAGAAGCTATTACTAGCCTTAAACGGCCCATTAGTATTTTTAACAGATACTACTCGAAGGAGGAAGTAACCACGATGTTGCTGACAATAAGTCGTCTGAAGCAGTAGGCCCCAAACGAGAAGCCACAGACAATGTTCTTTGACTGACATCTTATCTGCCTCCTTATGTTACTGCTCTGGTCCATGGTAGTGCTGAAGCCGAGGTTGCTATCCAAATAGCCATGCTAATCCTGGTGGAACAATCCACGTTTAGTGTGGGCACACCCGTGGTCGATAACGCTCAATGAAGCTCAAAATGTATCATGCGTGGTATAATTCACGAGCCACAGAATGTAACATTTCCTATTTGGGACAAACTATGTTGGCAAAGCCACAGAAAATTCTTGCACGGCCACAAAACCTGCGAGGCCCATCATACTCTATATGATCATGATATGCATGAAACTTCTATTTCAAGCCTTGCTATAGTTTTGCTGTTATTATTGTATTTATTTACATTAGATGGTATTACCTGCTAATTTATAGCTTACTTCTCTTCATCACTCACTAGCTGCCTCTCATGTTTTCCAGCAAACCCTCCCCACGGCGGCACCATATAATACACAATCCCATGGAAAACACTAGCAGCAATAGTGGCAACCCAGTGAATCCAATGCCATGTAGGGAAGCTACTCCCCACATAGGCTCCAAAACATCTAGCAGGATTCATAGCTGCGCCGCCATACCCCGGTCTCGTAAACGCCATACTAAAAGCCGTGGTGCCAACCGCTAGACCCACAAATATAGGGCCCAAAGATGGACCAAATATCTGTCTTTGTCGAGGATCCAAACCAACACCAAATGCCATGAAAAGGACTACTAAACTTGCTGAGAATTCATTTGTGAAAGCTGACGATACCGAGATTTCTGCGGGGTTAAGCCAGCAGCCTCCGACTTTGAACTCGCGACTGTCGTAGGAAGCTCGAATGAGGAGACCGGCTAAACTTGCGCCAATGATCTGGAAGGAGACGTATAGTATCGCACGCGGTAAGCTTGTTAACCGTGTGAAGAAGGTTGCGATAGTGATAAGTGGGTTTAAATGACCTCCAGTGACCGCCCCAAAGCAAAAAATATACATGGCAATAAAGATCGCCGAAGTGACACCCCCAACCAATGGCCCTAGGAAAGAAGCTGTTGAGAAAACTCCAGATTCCGACGCTGGATCTGGAGGAGGAGGATAGGCAGCTGGAGACAGTGTTGACCAATCAGTAGCATACACCAAAAGCATAGTACCTAAATTTAAATTGGCTCCGGAATCAGTATTTATGCCTAGGCTTACAGTGCAGAGAAAAATAAATATATCAAAAAAGACTAAAACATACCGACACCTTCCACCGCAGCCGCTTTCCACAGAATTGCCTGGCGAAACCCGCGTAAATCCAGCGCTTGTTTGACGGTCATATGCGTTGCCGCATCGGGGATATCTTCCAAGACCGCCGCATTCTTGGGATCGGCTCTATCGAGCACAAACTCTTGATTCCCACCCAACCGCGCTGCGAAAGGTGTCGTATGTATATGAGCTGCTCTTAAAGGCTCCGGTACTGACTTCGAATGACGGATGGTTCTGTGTCTCGTAGTCTCCATCTTCTCCCCTGCACCCTCGTCGCGTTTCGGATTCGCTTCAATTGCAACCGACATTTTCCTTCGATGAAAAACTTCCAAACTTTTGTCTTTGCACAGCAAAGCAGATGTGAAGAGTAAATTATCAAAGAAGATCGAATGAACACTACTTATAGTTCAGTCGGATCACGGCGGCAGTTACAGTCTTTTATTAGGAGACAGTGGTAGCAGTGCAAATCAAGGGATTACATTGGCTGCTAGCCATGATACAGCGGAAGCGAAGCTGTTGATTAATCATTTGTTAGTAGACTAGCAGCACCGTTTTGGGGAAACTGACCGTACGCCCATCCCCAACCCCTTGTATCGTGTCGTATCTCGAGGTCCCCAGCAGAGCTAGCTAGCTAGCTCTAATACGGAGTAACAATATTTAGGACAAAAAGTATACAGTATGTCGCCTTGGTCGAAACTAGTCTATTCAAAATGATTTAAATTGCTAGGATAGGAACACTTGAGATCTCGCGCCGGGACCTATTGTGAGGACCCTAGGTTAGTTGTACGAGTACCCAACGCCAGGCCTGTTAGGCCATTAAAAAAGCCAGTTAATGAATCAATCGCTGATACCATTGAGGCCTTTGAAATTGAGGACCTGATTATATACCTACTAGGTAGATTATGCCGATCATAGTAATATTCCACGGAAGTTTAGCAAATTTAAGAGCCTTCCGCTAAAACCAAGATATTCGGTAGGGGTAAATATAAGAAAGCTGCAGTAATGCAAAGTTAATTGACAAGACCGAACAAAAATCGGAAGGGAAGAATTCAAAACATGTAGCGAATTCGCGCGAAGTGATTTGGCAGGAGCCATGTTACTCGGAGCACAGGTTGCGACCGCCAAAACACCACACCAACAACACATAAAACAAATGGCTGTTGAGGGTTGAACGTGTTGTCTGCTAGAATGCTAGCAAGGCCGCTTAAGCAAGGCTATCATATTTTAGATGAGCTTAACAGCATTATTCCACCTTTAGTGCCCCTTAAATTGTCTTATTGCCAGATTTTTCACCTATGGGTGCTCCATTGAATCCTTAAGTTACCACTTTTTATACCCTTCTCGAAATGCGACATTATCGGATTTAGTTATAATAGTAGCATGGTATCGGTCCGGAGCCTAAGCGCTAGCCCTTTCATAAGATTATATTAAGTAGGAAGCTTAGATTAACCCCGGATCGCTACCAAGATAACAGATTCATGCTATAAAAGCGCTTCAACTTTCAAACAATGTCTGGCTTCGAGATCGCAGGCGTGGTCATCGGCGCCCCAGCAGTAGTCGGGCTGCTTATCAAAACCTCCATCAAACAACACCATACCTTCCAAAGCGCACAGTCAGCGGGCTCAGACTTTCGGCGATATCAGTACGAGCTGAAGGCAATGTGTGTAGAACTTCAAGGATGGGAAACTCGCTTGGAGTTTTCGGGCGGTAATCTAGCAAATATCCTTGGCGCGACATCTTTACATTATAAGACTACCAGTTGAACAAAAAATATGGCATCACTTGCAACAGTCCGGATCTACACCGAATATCTAGCGCCCGCTCATCTCCACCAGAAACTTCAAAAAAGGTAATTCGAAATTCTTGGATCAGTCGTATACGATTTGGTTCAAAGAGCCACCCAAAAAAAGGCCCGTCAGCACTCTCATAGAGAGCACACTTGGCACTTTGTCACTATTAAAAGGCAGTTTCCACGATAGTTTGCAGTTGGGCCTTAGCTGCGACGAGAATATTTGCCTAGTTTCAGCGACCGATAAAGCCAGACCGCTCCAAAATTCCCCTGACGAGGTGGACTTAGACATTCAGATTCCTGGGCTGGACAAGCACATCATGGATTTAACGACGAAGGCGCGCGATTACCACAACCTCTTGACAATGCTGCAGCGCTATCAATGGGCTATATATAATAGCAGCAAACTCGAAATACTAGTCCGACTTAAACCTCTATACAAACTATCTTCACAAATTAACAAAGGATAACTTCAAGGGTATGCTGATCAGCTGATTGCAGTCTCTTAAGAAATTCGACACTTTAATCTAAAGTTTGAATCAGCAGACGTACTGTGCCAGCTCCTGACCCCATTTAGCGAGTTTCAGGTGCGATTTGTACATTCTCATCCGCTAGCTCTAAAGTTTTTCGAGCGAGCAGAGGATCCGGAGCCCATGAAGATGGATGATTACCTACGTCTAAGAGAATTCTTTACTCATTACCACCATCCACGCTTAGTCTTTAATTTGCATGACATGGGTGGCATAGGAAAATCCCAATTCGCCCGTCAGTAGTTCTAGAAGAATATAAAGTGCGAGTAGCCCATCTTCATGAACAGGGTGCTCAAGCGGCTATTTGCCTCGTTGGCGCTAGTATCGAACCCGAAGATCATTTGCGAACGGCTCAAGATTGGGCACACGAACACAATAATGTTGCTCATTTTAATTTATGCATTCATAGATACCTTATGGAGCAGAAAGTGACCGGGAATTGCCCGGGTTTGACACCAGTCTGGAATATTATGAAAGGTCATCAACTCTACGAGTCTATTGATTCCCTAAGAAGATACAAAAGGTTTTGGAAAGAATATGCGCTAGCCGCAGATATTATGAAAACACCCATTCGAGTACTCGAAAATACACTCAGGATATTCCCGGACCTGGGCCGAAAGGAACCTTTTTATGCTCAAATGAATATTGATTGAAACAATATTACTAGCCCTCTCATGTCAGATTTCTGCGACTCCGAAGATATTATTCGTCAAATCGAAGAGACATTAATATTGCAAATAATTAAAGCTTAACAGCTAGAAGATTCATCAAATATTATACGGTTTGAATTACTACGGGCCTTATGTCGGAGAGCACTCGGAGGCTTTCGTGGATCAATTACTATATATGAACGATGCCTTGCAGAACTTACTGATGGAAAGCTCAACGGCGGCGTGGAGTGGATCTACAACATCCAATGAAAGTGTGGCCCAACATATCTTCAATTGAACCAGTTTGACGATGCAAAAGAACATTTTCATAAATCCCTTGAGGCGTGTGGAGAAAGTACTAAAAACCGTGGAATGATGACTTGGACATTGACGCAATTGGCTCGCATAAAGAACGCAAAAGAGGACTATCTGAGTGAGTGTGTTTATCTTAGAGAATCTAGTCGGTCTGCTGAATTACATTATGGTCTTGCACACAACCAAACCCTGACCATACTTTGCCGTCTCGAAGAAGTCTATAAAAGACTTGGTCAATCAAGAAACACTGAACAGGTGTCAAAAAGAATCACAGAATGGGAAGCCGCCTTACGACCTCAGATGTCTAGATAACAATAAAATCTTTTTGAGAATTATAATCAATTTCAATCCGCTTGGTCATCTAACTTTCAATAGCATAGCATATATGTGTGTAGGCTTTCTGTACCTCGGTTCCTCTCCAGGCCTTGTGAGCATGAGTACGACTAGATGGCATGATAGCACGACACTGTCTATAGCGAAAAAAAAATTGATGAACCATGTTAAAAACTTTAAAATTTCTATACAATATTACATTAGCCAAGGTCTTGTCCGAAGCAGATTATATGTTTGCCTAGTGTTAAGCTCGAGACTTTATAGAATGCGTGTGTATGTTGTCAATGTGAGATTCGGATGACCGGGTCATAGCCATTCGAGGCTGGTGCGTTGTGTAGCAAAATGCAACATTGGTCTAGGCGCCTTTGCAAGGCCTTAAATTGGGTCGAGTCTCGATGCGCGCAAAACTGCTAGCACTATAGCGTTCTCAAGCTAGTCTACTATAGACGTGCTATACTGACCATAGCGCGGGTGTAACTATCAGTATTATAAACATCCAGTGTCCCGTCATGTCCTTCTTATATTAAAGTAGTTAGAAAATAGCGTAAATTTCCCATCAGATATCAGAGATATTAAACAAGGCAATGATATATAATCCTTTGACGTCAAATAATGATATTTCTAGCAATTTTTCTAGTAAGGATCCTTTAACCCCATGCATTAGCTTTAAGGAAGAAATTAGTAGTTTTTTTAGATGAGAGCTTTGGGGCTTGCGTCGTTAAGTAGTCCATAGGATCGGTGTGACGTCTCGTTCTAGCTAGACGCCTAAGGAGTCTAGAACTAAATCCCAGTGCTGATTTTAAACTAGTTCCGGTACCAAGAAATCAAACAAGATTTCCGAGCAGCCACGATATCCTCGTCTTAAGATCTTCTTGGAATTCCTGTTCATTGTTTTTTTTTTAACAAAAAAAGGGAAGAAGAAGAAAAAGCCTTAATCTTAGAGCCTCGGCTTCCAGCTTCAACGAAGAACTTTAGATGAGCCACCCGATTTTAACAGCTATAGCTGATATTTCATCAGCATGGCCAGGTGACTGGACTTCTGTAATCCCCAAAATGGACTGCTCCGAGGGGGTTAAATGCCTAGTTGTCAACGTTGGATGCATGTGCAAAAATGGTCACACGAACATCGAAAATCACCGCCAAGTTAGGCTGCCCTTCTAGTTTTATTTGCCCTCGATGATGCGATATACGAGAATATAAAGACATCGAGATCTCATGCCATAATAACGGTATCTGCAATGTTACTTTGGCCCTTCTCCACAGCTATATCCAATGCAATGGTAGTGTGTAGGTGCCTTCATGGATCCACCGCAAATACCACACGCCACGCCCTTTTTTTTTTTTTGTTTCCATTTCAAGTTCAAAATCTTCTCGGGTCATGAATTTTTCATGGAAATACCGAAAATCGAAATCTGCAACTGAACCCGCAATTCTGGGCGATATGCATGACAAGAGAAAGTCACGGCTGCCGCAACGGGCTAGAGCGTGACAGGACGCCATCAGACCCCTGCAATCGCATCATCCGCCTCCGTCGCCTATGCTGCTTTCCTTGTTGTCCATCCCACGTTTCGAACGGACTCCACCTGCCTGACATAGACGATGATATAAAGGCCCACCCGCATTAATGTATTATGTATAACCAACCAACCGGCATTCACCCCATCCTAGCCTATATAAAAGTCAATAGTAATTCGCTGCCAAGGAACAATCAGAATCCTGTCAGAATATAACGTTGGAGGCGAGGGGCGAAAAGTCAAGGGAAAGTTCTTGTTCGCTTCCTAATTTGGACAACCTCCTCCCATTCCAACAGGTCCTTTAACAGGTCCCTGGTCCGAGAACACATTTGAAGAGTTCTTGGAACACGTCCCAACTGCGAGAGAGTCCAGAGAAGCTGTGAAAATTCTGTAAATGTCTTGTGTCACGCAATGGTGCCTAGTATGACGAGCTGACTGATGGACTTTGAACAGACAGCTTCAGTACAGAAGAACAGACAGTCAGTCAATCCCGTCTCTTCGTAGCCACCGGATAAGGGTGCATGTCAGGATACAGAACTCGGTGATACCGTATCGATCGAACAGGAAGGATTGAACCTTCAGTCAATAAAATGGCCAGCCGGAGCTCAAAAGAAGCTCTACTTCCACGTTCTTCCTCCTCTTCCATTCCATCATACGGAACTACCTCCTCTTCTTCTGCCTTTGTAGCATCGAACAAAATGGCGAAGGACCACTCCCCGCCCAGTAGTGAGGGCGCTGGAGCTACCGACAAGAAACTCGAAGAAAGAATAGGCACCGAAGGGCTCGACTTACCCGTTTATGACAATGAAGTTCGAACAGAAGAACAGACGTATGCGTTTGACGACTCGCGCAAGATTGGGATTACTGGCGCCGGCTTCTTGATCCTGAATAAGATGATTGGCACAGGCAGTAAGTCTATACATTCCTTGCTGGGTTTTCTGTTACTTAATCGCCCAACGTTGCAACACTCAACACATTTCCCTGCCTTCCCTCACTCTCGAGCTTACCCCTCCGTAACCCCTCATACCCCCTCGAGACTACGAAGATGTCGATAGTCTCGTGGCCCCTTCACCTATACAAACGACTTCAAAGGGAGGATCCTACTTAGCTAGAATAGCACTAACATGATGAGCAACAGTCTTCTCAACTCCCTCCGGCATCTTCGCTGCCACCGGTTCTGTCGGTGTCTCTCTCATGCTTTGGGTTATCGGTGGTCTTCTCACCTTCTGCGGTCTCTCCGTCTTCTTAGAATTCGGACTTGCTATCCCCCGTTCAGGCGGTGAGAAGAACTACCTCGAGCGCGTCTACCGGTCTCCAAAATACCTCGCCACCTCCGTCTTCCTGTCGCAGATGGTTCTTCTCGGCTTCTCCTCCGGTAACTCTTTGGCTTTCGGAAGATACGTGCTCTTCGCTAGCGGACGGGATATTGCAGACGGCTGGCAAGCCCGTGGTATCGCCATTGCGTGTATTACATTCGCCGTTCTTCTCCACGGTTTACTTCCCAAATGGGGTATCCGACTCTTTAACGTCCTAGGAGTCTTCAAAGTCTTTATCCTCCTCTTCATTGTCTGCTCCGGATTCGCGGCCCTTGCTGGTCACCGTCGTATCCCGGATCCACATAATTTCGACAATGCCTTCCGTCTCGAGGTGGGTGATGGATATGGTGGTGGTGGTGCCTATGCCTATGCTACGGCACTGCTTAGAATTATCTACTCCTACAAAGGTTGGGAAAACGCCAACTACGTTCTCGGCGAAGTAAAGAACCCAAGGAAGACACTCAGCCTTGCTGCTCCAATCGCCGTCGGTGGTACAACTATTCTCTACGTCCTCGCCAATGTCGCCTATTTCGCTGCTATTCCCAAAGCCGAACTTGCCAAGTCTGAAGTCATCGTCGCCGGTATCTTTTTCAGAAACGTGTTTGGAGACAGTGCCGGTGCACGGGCCCTACCAGTGTTTGTGGCACTTAGCAACTTGGGAAACGTTCTGGCTGTTAGTTTCGCACACGCCCGTGTTAACCAGGAACTCGCCAAAGAAGGCTTGTTGCCATACAGCAAGTTCTGGGCCAGCAACTGGCCATACAACGCCCCATTGGCTAGTTTGTTCCTCCACTGGATCGTGACTGTTATTGTGCTTATCGCACCACCAGCTGGACCCGCCTACAACTTCATCGTTGACCTGTATGTCCTCATTTCTTTCCCCTTTGTTTATGATTTAGACGATGACTAATCTAGTGATGTAATAGGTACACCTACCCAGGTGCTTGGATCAACGGTTTCGTCGTCGCTGGCCTTATCTACATTCAATTCAAGAAGTCCGAAAACTGGACATCGCCATGGCACACCTACTTGCCCATCAGCATATTGTATCTCCTTGCCAACATCTTCTTGGCTATTGTACCTTTCATTCCACCAACAGGAGGATCAAACCAAGACGGATATCCATACTACGTATTCCCAATTGTCGGTGTGGGTGTCCTGCTTCTAGGAGGTGTCTACTGGGCTTTGTGGACCAAAGTTTGGCCCAAGATCGGAGGCTATAGGATTGTTGCTGACCGACATGTGCTGGATAATGGTGAAGAAGTTATCAGATATAGAAAGGTTAAAGTTGGTCACTCGGAGTAGAGATGTTTCTTACCAGTCCACTCTTGTCATTCCTTGTTAGAGTGTGCATGTTTTGTTTTCTGCTTAGCGGGGGTTTTAATTATTTGTCATTCCATCTTGCAGTTAGATGCATTAGATACCTATTGATAAGGGACATTGGCCATATTGGTGGCTTAAGATGGCCTGACAGTTTGGTTACAGCTATACCAACATAGCGTTTATAGTCTAGAGACTTACAGAATAACATCATCTATTACCTACTTGGCTCGACTTTGCATACTCAAGTACCAATTAAACCCGCATGCGATTGATAGACCCCTAACAATACTTGCTATCCGGAGTATCGGGTCTTACTTGGACTCTGTAAATGGCCTTTCAAGCCCAGCCAGCTGCTGGCCGTATCAGCGCTAGGCTGAAAATGAGAATGGCGCTAGTCCCAGATAGGAAGTTCCTTGAAACGAAAGTACAACAACGACAACAACTTTTGTGATTAATGGACTCTATCACACAGTCTGGTTACGAGACTGTCTATCGCATCGTTCTGGTGTCTCTCAGCCCCCGTCTGACAACTAGACTAGACTCTATCGACAACTGCTGATACTGTACAACTACTTTGATTCCTTCTCGTTGTCTCAATCTCGTCACATCATCTTTCTTCCATAACTATTCAATACTCACTCTCGTCTAGCTTTATCCTATTCGATACCAAGCCTTACAACACTCTCACCGTCAAGATTCTTTTACAAGAACCCTCAAGTATTACATAATGTCTCTTCCCGCGAAACAATCTCGGCGAACCGACCAATGGGGCAATCCTATCCTGCCAGCAGATTACCATGGCTTCTCACGCATCATGTGCAATGAATATCTTTGCGACATGGTCCTGGAAAACATGGATAACCCTCCCACCCTCTGGAGTTTACTAAATATCAGCCGTAGCATCCGCGCGTGTCTTCTCACCTACCATTTCCACCGCTACAGACGCATCATAGTCATGAGGATATTCATGCCCTCGCATTGGGTCATGCCTCATCCGACGAATTGGACCCTACGGGATGAAAAATACAGACGTCGAATGATCGATAGCGGACGTTGGCCTAAGAACAAAAAATACTTTGCACGCTTCACTGATTTCAACTTCGAAGAACTCGTAATCGGCAAGGTTCTTCGAATCCCTTATTGGGTTGCTCCGACTATGGATACCGGTTATGTTGAAAAAATGACCGGTTTGGGTCTATACCTGACTACTTTAATCCTAGATGGCACTGCAGTTACTGGTCGTGGTCTCTTCGGTTCTGTAGCTCAACCTCTGAGCAATGACGTGTATCGTACTTCGCCGGGTCTAATCAGCTATATCGCTCATCACCTCGAACACCTCTCGATAAAGAATTGTCCCAATATTCAACACTCCGATATCGCAATTTACTTGCTCCTCCCACCGTCTGATAACTGTCAACTATCAAAGCTTACTACCCTCCGCTGTTTCAACTGTGGCGAAGCACCTACCGATGGCCCATTCCACAACCTACCAGGCTATGGCTCCAAAAACCTCGTAGTCCAAAAATCAGACAACATTCTAAATATCCAAATCCTCGGTCTTCTATTCACACGCCTGATCCCTCTCCGTCATCACTGGTCAGTTTCACTCCAATTAAGCCTCCCTGCTTTTGATCTAGATGGCGCTGCAAAACGACAAGCCAAAATCCGTTTCGAAAACCTCTTCAAAGCAGGCTGGTTTAATGCCAAAACTCTTACACGTTTCCCACCGCCGGTAGAACTCCCCCTGCCGGAATCGGATATTTTGATACCCGGCCCCTTCGGTGGTTTTATCGCAGCAATGAATGAATCTTTAATGCTCAAGTCAATCTCTTTCTTTCGAAATATAAAGCTTGATTGGTGTTTATGCTGCATGGGAGCCTCCTGTGTGACTTTCGCTCAAAAGTCATTTACGCCAGCAGCGAGGATAAACAGCCGTACCGGTCGAACAGTCCAGCTCGGAAACCTCTATGGTGCCGTCACCGGTGGTAAAATTCGTCGAAAGGAATACTTTCACGTAGTAGACGGAATTAGACCTCGCGTACCCGTTGCACTAACCACCCTCCTACCGGGGAAATACAAAACGCACCTCCCAATCGACGAGGAAAACTTCCCAGAAAGAACCTCGCATTTTCCGGCACGACCGGAATGCAGTCATGCACCGAATGATCCACCCAAAGAGGGACATCCGGATGAGATAAAGAAGTATAGGCCCCGGTTCGCAAGCTTGGCGGGTATGGTGCCTGGACCTGATTATGAAGACCCAGATGGTGAAGGGGATAAAACCTTTACAGTTACGGGATTATCGGGCGAAGGGCTACATACACACTCGTCCACAGGGACAGCAGCTAGACGGGAGAAAGGAGGGAAAGTCTGCGTTAACTGCGGGTTATGGGAGTATGAGAATTATGTCTGGACATACGAAGAACCGGACAGCGAAGACGAAGAAATGGAAGACGAGCCAAATGAGGAAGAGCAGGAAGAAGAAGAAGAAAAAGAGCAGAAGCCTAGGAAGACAAAACCTGTTAAGGTGAAAGACCCGGGAAGACAAATTATAGGTGAATTGTGTGAAGTTTGCGTACCGTTTTTCACCTGTGGGGACTGTGGAGAGTAAGTTCACCTCGAATATCCGCCCTAGGTATATATATAGTAGATACTAGCAGCTAAGATGCATTAGTTTCTACTGCCCCTCCTGCCTCATCGCACCACGTGAAGGCGACCGTCCAAACCCTTGGGCCAGCAGCCCTCCACATCCCGACCTCATGCGCCACCCCTGCGACATCCACGGCGGTACATGCGAAGCCTGTTTTTTCGCCTACAGATATGAATGTCTCAAATGTCAAAAATACATCTGTATCGATTGCGTGGACGAAAACCTTGAGGATCCGGCTTGGGTACGATGTTCCGTTTGCAGTTTATTCGTATGCAAAAAGTGTAAAAACGGAAGAGGCAACGGGCCCGAGCAGATATTGGTTTGTAAAGAAAAGAGTGGAGAGTTCGGGTTAGGACATGAATTTTGTTTGAATTGTCTTGGAGGCATTTGTCGGTATTGTGAGGCAGAGTGGTGCAGTAGTTGTTTTGTTGACAAGCGTTAGTATTCGCCTTCACGTAGCTCCCCTATGTTGATAATATTTCTACGCTGAGTGCTGTGAAAACCCTACTAACATAGTAATTTGCTAGGAGAACAATTCCTAAAAGACCACAATGTTGTAATGAGAAAAGACGAATACTCCTGCTTCACCTGCCAAACATGTTTCGAGTACCAACTCGCCTGGGCTAAAACGGAACAAGACAGGGTCGAAGTATGGAAATACGTTGGAGTAAATATACTCCAACGAGAGATGACAGAAGTCAAAGCCAAAGAATTGGAATACGGCATCGATGCCGACATTCAACAAAGAAGAAAAGAAAGTATCTGGGGTAGCTATTCTGCTCCTAAGAAAAAGAAGCGCCGTCCCAAAGTCGGAGAAGAGATGCCTATCACTATTGAACAGAAGAAGGATCCAGATTCCTCGGATTTCGAAAGTGACAATTCGGATGAGGCATCTTCCACATCATCGGGTTATTCTTCGTCTTCCACCCAACCTGAAAAGTCTGGCAAAAACCATCCGATTATCAAGGCAATAGATGCGTTATACCCCCTCCTCGGCAACTTAGTCGGTCGCAGCACATCAACCCCGCACGGCACAGCAGAATTAATGAAAGCAATGCGCCTCGCCAGGAAGAACATCCTCGCCAGGAAACTAGCAGAACAAAGCTACAGACTAAAGAGACAGAACATGAAACAGGCCCGCAAAAGAGTTAAGAACGCAGAAGATCCTGCAATAAACGATCCGATTTTGAGAGATAGCCAAAGTGATCACATGCGCGGAATAAACACACATATTATTCCCGCCGGGCAGCAAACCGCAACGCCATTGAGGAATGTGGCGGATGAGATTTCAGATGGGAACGTTAAAGAGGGCTTTGATTGGGTGCCATCGGATATGGATAGAATATACTGGGAAAGTAAGGTCAACGACATAAACAGCGACTACTACCTCACAGGGCCAGATCTCACAAGAATGGATTTTGAGATTGAGGAAGAAGAAAAGAATGAAAGGAAGAGGAAGAGAAGTTGGGCAAGACATGGCACCAAAGGGGTAGATTGGAGGCTTGGATACCTTCCCGACGATTGGAGTGGGGAAAGAAGCAAGGCTAACAAGAGGGAAAAGGAGGAGAGCAGCAGCGACGAAGACAATATCATGATAGTGACGAAAGATGGGAGGAAAAAGGTCACGAGCTTAAAGATATTGAGATTGGCAATCAAGAAGCTAAAGCTTAGTGGCAAGGACAAAAAAATTGACCAGAAGTCGGTGAAATTTGTAAAGATAGTTCCAGAGGGTAAAAAGAGGCAATTTAAGACACCAGGCAAGTTGTGGGTCGCAAAGGAAGCAGAGCGCAAGCAGGAAGAAGAAGAAGAAGAAGCCAAGAAACGTGCAGGATTAAGAGGAATCGCGAGGAGAAAAATCCTGAAAAAGGCTGCTAGAGCTGAGAAGAAGAGAAAATTGAAGGAAAAGAAAGCTAGTACTACAGAAGACGTTACGACAGGCGAAGTAACGGAGATGATGCGGGATTTGAATGTAGCCACCGAGGCAGGTACGGTAGAACCAGCGGAGCGGATCAGGGGACGCCGAGTAAGATTCGCAGAGGTAGTCGGTCAGGCCCCACCCGGAGTGACTCGTCGTGCCCCTGCCGTGCTCGACGGAAGAGAAAGAGAAATCTATCAGGAGGAAACGAAGGAAGATTCGGAGAGGGATTAAGTTACTGCATATATTTTTCATAGCGCTATATGCTCAAGTACGCATGTGGGAATGGTACTGTTCAGAGTAGACGGCAAAGATATGAATCAATGTTAATTAACTGCATAACTGTATGATTATGAAAAGGATCAGATCGAATTTATCTTTAATTCACCATAAGTTCATAGTTAGGCTTAAATTTATTAGGTGCCCCGGGCCTCTTATCATGGGCTCATGAATTCATTGACTCCATCGGGGTATTGGATGTGAATGTATGGATTTCCCCGTCACATTTGTCTGTAGCGGGGTTTTATAATATTAATCTACGATATCAAAAGAATCAACTGACCCAATAAATGCCTCCATAGAAAATGCTAGCAAAAAGAGGAGGGTCATCTGTTGACAATATCGTTAATATTCGGCATCTAGCCATCCGTATCCTTGTGGCTTTGGTCTGATATCTCGCCCGAACCACTTATTTAGCAGCCTCCAGATCAATACCTTTTGGCAAATTGAAGTCTATCACATCCATACTACCCTGTATTCCCCAAAACAATCCCAAAACTGTAACTCATTTGCCTCATCCCTTTGGGTATCTCCAGGTTACGGAATAAATTGATTCCTAGTGGGGTTTAAGGTCATGTGAGGGATTGATATTACATTTGGAAATATGAAAAGAGAAATCTGGGCTCTGAATGGCCGTCTAAGTGAGAATTCAACATCTCTGAAGAGGGGCGTGTTTGGCGTAGCAACATCCCTCTCCACCGACCCTTCAGACGTCTCAGGTATTAAGTATGGGTAAAATAAAATCAATACCTCACCGAAGAATCAGCAGTTCTTTCCACCGGATCAAGTGGAATTTCAAAATTGGGCTTCATTTTGGGGGCCGACAAACCCCAGCCCGTGTACCGCATGATTTCGTGTATATTTTTTAAAAAAAGAAAACTACAACGAGTAGCATCATGGGAGGCAGTTTATGACGGGTGTACCCAGACCCTGCGGGAGGTTGTCATCCTCGATTATCATTGTATGAATATCTACCTAACCCCAGCAGCGTTTAAACACCTACGCATATATGCATGGTTACATAGGTATGCGTCGGGACCCGAAATCAACAAGGCATGGCCATTATCACGATAGACGCTGCCAAGCCTTATGGGCTATCATTTATACAGCGCTAGTCGATCGGCGGCACTAAGATAAGGCGTTAGGTTGAATTTTGCAACAGATTTGAGTAGTAGAGTGGGAATACATACCTTTGGATCATATGGTCAATGTATTAGGCTGAGAGAAGGAACTAAAAGGAAGAATGGAAGAAGCTAGAGAGGGTAGATAGTTTACTTTATAACACTAGTACTATTCATAGACACTATACTTATCACAAGAGCAAACGTTGAGTTATATACGCTATTTGCGCCTAATTAGCTAATTTGAGCCAATTCTACTGATCTAGATCGATCCTCAAATACCTACAATATTTAGCCTGATGGACCAAAAGAAAAATAATAATATGCGTATGCGTGTTATCAATATATTTATATTTTATTTGAGATTACAAATAGCTACTAACATAACGTGCTAAATTTTGGTATGATTTGCAGACCATGTTGGATATTCCGTGTTGTGAAGCCGCATCCCGAGTTTCCAGATCCCGAGATCTGCGTTTAGATCCCGAGATTTCGGAATCCCGAGAACTCGGCCCGACCAGGTGGGGTTTCCCGCCCTGCATCCCGAACCAACCACGCCCAAGATTCGGTTCGGGCTTGGCGGATGTGCGTGGGGCATGCAGCCTGCATGAAATGTCAAAAGGCCGCCCGATCATTCCCCCGCTCGGTTTATAACTTCCATGCCATGTCCACACCTCTGCGCCATGGTTCAATGGCTAAGCTGGAAGTGTTATGGAATCGCTGCCATAGTCAAGAGCTCTAGAACGGTCCTCCCAAAGCTTGTTCTTGAACGGAAGACCGGGGCAGGCTATTCGAATCAGGACTGACATGTACCTACCTACTGCTGCTAACCAAGTAGATACTTCAGTATCAAGGTACTTAGTTTAATTAACCCAAGGAGGTGATTCCTATAATTAAACATCGTCGTCGTCGTCTGAGGTCGGGAGGAAGCTCGGAGTGACATGGAAGCCGCGAATATACCAATCTCCACCGACACCGATATCGCCAAATGCGACATATAAAGTCTCTATTAGAACAACTTAGTCCCCGATGAGAAGACGGTATGGGAAATGTACCAAAGTATCCCGTACGTATGCAATGCGAAGATCGAAGACCCTAATTCACCAATCACAGCTGTGATTTCGCGATATCCTTGCCGTTTTCTGTTGGACTGTGCATACATTCCGCGAGCTGTTCTTGACTTGAATTTGGCGATAGTGGCTGGTTGATCTCCACCAACTCGGCCAACTACCCAGCTACTAATTATACTAGTGAGTACATACGTCCCGAACCCGTCTTTCCCCTCTTTTTTTTTCTCTTCCTGTTGAATGAAGATTCTTCCCGAGAATCTCGAAAGTTTCACTCTTTTTTCACCACCAATTTCCCTCGTTTTCAAGCCTATTTGCTGTCATTGTTGTTGAGTGGACTAAAATAAAATCTGTTGTCCGACCGAAGCTTTACTGCTGTGTTGAGCTCAACTACGTCAGGAGCTCAACTACCATCAATTGCTACTCCAAACAACCGTCATCATCATCGCCATCATCATCATCGCCATCACTGTCATTGTCCATCAAGTTTGAAAAAGAGGAAGGAAGGTATGACCATTCAGCTATGGAAAGAGGCCGAGATGAGACTTCAAGCCAATTTCGCTAACAAGATGCCTTTTAATAGAAATTCCTATTAAGGGAGCACGTGCTGTTACTTCCTCGACAAAGCCACACGTGTCGACGTGCATTCCATACAATACCCCTTGCTTGGACCACAAGACAGCCTCGAAGCGTCGCCACTCTCCTTCAATTCCTTGATATCAAAATATATCCAAGACTCTTCGGCGTCATATCCAGGCCCTGTTTATCTTTTGACAGCCTGAAAACGTCGAATCCCGACCGTCCGTTTTGCTACAAGACCTGGACAGAAGTCAATTTCCGTTTGCATTTCCTCTCGAGCTTTGACCTGCTTCAGCACCGTTCCTCTCGCAGACCGACCGACCAAAAGACTGATATTAATCGAAAACTTGCCGATACCTTGTCCCCCAGGTTCCTGAGATACTTTCCCCCCTCAGGAAGCCATAGGAGGGACAACAGGATTTCGCTAAGATTATCATTACAGTGATTCATTGTTCAGTTGGTTGGATGTCAAAGGAAACCTAAGAATAGACAAATATTCGAGGCCTTTTACCTCTTCACGCTCGTTTCCAAGACTAGGTCTTCTAGCAGGGGAAATAAAAGATAAAAGATAAAAGATAGAAAAAAGATCATCCGGAGTTTCGCCGTATTACCACGGGATCATATCTTGCGACTGACATCGAAAGAATAATCAATCGTTCTTGGAATCCTAACCGTGGTAGTACTACACAATCAGGGAGCTAAAAAGTCCCGCAGATCGAGAAACACTGCACCTGCATTGACAATAATAACGCCACTCCTTGAAGAAAATCACATACTGTTATCAATATTAGTATCGTATCAATCAATCAATCGATCAATCAATTAATTGATCAATCACTATGCCGTTTGTGCCAGAACTAGTATCGACGACAAGGTATTCCAACCGGTCCACGGACGCAAGCGCACAATCGACGTCTGACAGTCGCCCTTCAGATGCCGCTGGGACCCCTGCTTTGAAGCCACGATTCTTGCCTGAACCCATTGAAACTACTAGGAGGACCAATCGGGCCGTTCCTTCCATCGAAACTTCTGTATCTGGCCCCAACTCGCCGCCATCGTCAAATTCCAGTACTCCCAAAGCGACTCTTTTAAACAGCAACAACACAGAACCGGTGTCTCAAGCGTCGGCGAGCAAGTTTCTGCCAGTGCCCGTGGAAACCACTCGCCGTTCCAATCGGACACAGCCCGCGAAGTCCGTTGATAATACCGATATCAAAAGAAAAGGTTGGGGACGTGACAGCTGTGACGGTTATGCAGACAAAGAAGAGCACAAACCTGTGATTCTCAATCGGGCACATCGCATTCCTGTTCCAATCCCGGGCCCAGGAAAAAGCAAATGGTTCCCGGATGAAGCCTCAGGATGGGGCCAACAATACAACAACCAGCCTACCATCAAAAACGCTCAGCCTGCGAATGGAACCTTTGAAGGCGCAAACCGTTCGTTTTTGCCATTGTCGTCACCTTCACCGCAGCCTATGACTGCCGCCTCTGGCCATGACAGTCATGCAAATGTCAATGATGCTGAAACCTATTTTCAGTCCCTGCCAGATTCCACTTTCCAGCCCGAAAAGGCAATCTCGTCCCAAGTTCGTGACCAAAGCAATTATAGAAACAACGGTGACCCTCGTCAATTTAATCACTCTACCAATGAGACACGTTCTATTGCGGGTGTTCTGGGCTCCACTACAACTTCATCAAATCCCGCAAATGCTAACTCTCCGACAACTGTTCGCTCTGGGGACGAGCACCAGGAAGAAGTGGCCGGGACTGCATCCTTGTCCTGTTCTCCTGCTTCGTCTCTCAAAAGCAATGCTTCGGGACCAAACTATCTTCTCGATTCCTCGTCTTCACAACAGCAGGAGCAGGAGCAGGAGCAGCAACGCTTGACAGGTTTGAACGCCGCTGCCCCTGCAATAACAAGTATTGAATATCTCTCACCTTCTTCATGTGAAAAAGCCCCATCCGGTCTCAAACACCCAAACGCAATCCTCGTCCGTGACTTTGGCTACACCTCGAGTCGTCCGACCCTCCTCAAACTCCCGAAGGCTGACGCTAGTGCATGCAGCTCGCCAGGGGTTGTTCCGAAGGTCCAACAGATACCAGTGCAACACAACGGTCCTCACACGAATATTAATACTGGGTCATATCCCCAATCTGGACTTCTCGATCCTTCAACTTATACCACCACATCATTAACATCATCGACATTCACTAAACATTCCGCTGTCGATCTTCTTCGTAATCAAGTTCTCGCGGCTCAATCACAATTAATTAAGGATAAACAATCCTTCCTCTCGCCTACCTACACCCCAAATAATAATAAACCTTTACAGCCGCTAAACGGCTCGAATGAACCCAAGAGGAAGAAACCTCTCCTCCCATTCAGTTTTATTCCTGCCGCATCCCGTCCCGTGAATTCAGGATATTTATCACCAGGTTCACCATATCAAAGAGTTCTTTTATCACCAGGAACTTCAGTCACTCCTCTCCTTTGCGAGTCTCCAATGGCGACAACACTCTTCTACGAGTCTTCCAAGATGAGCTCTCACGGCGACTACTTTACTGCTAAAAAGCAGGCATCGGGCATGTCGATTGCCTCGAATGCTGACTCGGTTGTCAGCAGAGATACCGCGCTTACTACACCTTCAACCCGACCGTCCTCCCCTGGACCAAGCAAATACGGATATCCATGTACATCAACCTCGTCGCTGGTGGCCATGGTCTGCCAAACTCCTCAACCAATATGCTCGGATCCACCAAACATGTGTCCAGAATCTAGGGAGGACGTTAGCACGGAATTTGTGGTCGCCGTGTTTAATTACCTCAGCCTGGGACACGAGAGTATCGCGCGCAAATTCGACAAAGAACTATGCGAGGCTACTGGGTGGGGGTTGGAAAGAGTAACTACCGATCGATTGGGTGCGTTGAGGGAGTACGTTGAGGAATATGTGGATCGGAAGCCTAGATTTGGTAGCGGCATGGCGGGCTGGTAGGCCTGTGGAGCAAAGAGGGGGGATAATTGGTGATGTGGATGGGGGTGGTGGTGTGATTGTGGGTATCAGTGTGGGTTGAGTTGGCCTTTCATGCCTTCTTGCATACACAACCTACATAAGTGGCATAATATTTTTACTATTGCCACGGGTAGATGATGAGGGGGGCTAGACATCGACGCATATACTCTTTCATCGGCGTTCTCATTTTTCTTTTTTATTCCCTCATTACATCGTTATCTTCAGTTAGCCTTTTTTTTTGACTGCGGTTTAGCGGAGGGTCTGTCTGTGTCGTCTTGTTTAGCATGCGTCCCTGTTCAATCTTGCGATTCGTTAGTTTCTCTTTTATTCATTCTGTCGGTTGGCATACATACATGCATTACATCCTTACATACCTTTGCATACATACATACACTGCTACGTTACTTGCACTTTTATATTAGCATGCCCTTGACATCTTCGTCATCGTCGTTGACTCTTGTTTAATTCGGCGTGTTGTGTGGTTTTTTTTTTTGTCTCCTCCTTTTCTTAGTCATTCTAGTTAGCGATATCATAGAACAGAAGAGACCGACAGTTTGGGAATAAATCCATCATCATCATTATTACTACTACTTTCGACCATTTCATTCCAAATTCCATAATTCGTCATCAATTCTAGATAATACAATCCATAATCCAAGTAAGAAAATAAAGAAAAATAAACCGAATGAAAAGGCAGCGTTTTTTCGATGCGCATAGTAAACGTTTCGAAGTGAATCACAAAATTCTCGTTTCTAGAAGAAAGGAAGCAGAAGCGAAGGGGGCAGAGAGGAGTTGTACTTGTTGTCAGTACAGACGTATAACACATGTGCATGCAGCGAGCTACTGCATCTTTTATTCATCGATCCTAGAATATTCACTGCAGGCAGGATTTAAAGTTGGTTAGACGACTTCAGGTTCTGCAAGAGTTTCCTGCAGGTTTATTTTCGAGGTTTTATGATGTGTAAAAAAAGGTTTGAAGAAAATAAGTTAGTGAGGGGCTAAGTGAGAGAGAACGAACTCGAGAAGAGGGTGGTGATCGTTAGGTTGTTCGATTTGATTCATTTAGTGGTATTCGTGTATCCCGAGACATGAATCCCACCGCTGGCAAAAACGATAATAGTATCGCAGGCAAAGAATTCAAGCTAAAGTAATCAAGCGAGAGAAAACAGTGGGATAAGACACTTGATTCAAAACAACTCTTGCCTACGGTACGATAATACGATATGGATATTCTGGGATATCCGAGTCAGGACTAAGTATGAATCGATGGACAATCTAGTAATATTCCGGGTTTCCGTAAGAAGAGTTAGTTAATCAGTTTATATTAGTTAGTTAATTTCGTCAGCTTTTAGCACCTTGATTCTTTTTTTTTTTTTTTTTTTTTTTTTTTTTTTTTTTGGCTTTGCGAATTTAAACTCATTGCCAACATCTGGACGTGGCATAGCATGGCATGGCATAGCATATGCATTGCATTCCGGTGAAAGGTTATGTTATCTACTACCCTAGATGAAGTATGTGGTAAGTGTTACTCTTGTGTGACGATGAGGGAATTTTTCGTCTTTCTCTTCGTCTTCTCCCTCTTCCCTCTTCCCTCTCTCTCGCCTTTTTTTTTTTTGGCCTTTAAGATAAGTCAGGGAAAGTCCTGAGTTTTAGGACGGTGCAGGGGATGATTGTGGTGGCTAGGATCTAGGTTTTAGGCGGGTTCTTTTTTTTTTGTTTTCAGCGGTTCGAACCGTTTCCCGCTTCCCGAAGGGATTTTTTTGTTGCACGTTGTAGACGGTGGATTTTTGGAACCCTCGCTTTTTTTTTTTTTTTTTTTGTCCCTCCCTTTTCTCCTTCTTGTTTGCTCGATGATTTGGCTTGTGGACAGATTAGTGGAATGTAAGACTATATGCAACCGATGTTAGGCTGTCTACTGGGTTATAGATATCGATTTACCCTGAATCATCATTTTCCGTCGATGTGTAAATGCCGGTAAGGCTGTTAGGATGGGAAATCCCAAAAGTATTATAATCATATATATGCGAGTCATAATTGGCGCTTCAATATGCAGGCCATGATTCGCGTCCTAATATGCGTCCTAATATGCGTCCTAATCTGCGTCCTAATCTACGTTCTAATCCGCGTCCTAATCACCAACCTTTCGGGGACGACTTAATCGATGATATCCTAATATGGATCGATTACAATCGATTCTCTAGTACAATATGCAGTCCAAATCGAATTAATACGAGCTGATTGGCGAGCTGATTGAGACCTCGGCCCATATCCTAGGCTTATCGATAATATATATATAAGTAAGTATATAGATCCTAAGATCATGATGTCATCGATTGATATCCTGATGTGTACGTAATTTATGGTATCGATATATATATATCCTAATGTAACCGATAAATTTAATACCCGTTATCATGTGATCCTGCTTAACGCATTTAATTTACCTTTACAAAAGTATTATGTTTAGGATTTCAGGATTGAAATCGAAATATTATATCATGTTTTAATTGATAATTAATTATAAAGTTTTAACTTTGCAAATTTGATCGAGTTGCCACTTATTCCGTATCCGGTTCCCTTCCGAGCTCCTAGGCTAGTTCGATTCCGGGATTCCAGAATTCCTAATTGACATCCTAATGAAAGGTTTCAATTAGAGCCAATCGTAATCAATGCTAGCATTCTGATGTAGTCCTATTCCTAGTTGATTCTCTTGGTAGGATAGTATCTGAGCCGTACTTTAATGCATACAGCACTTGTACTTTAGTCGACGTCCTAACTAATTGCAATTGGCATAATTCAAGTTTCGATCTATATCCTGACTAGCTAGTCTCGGAGCCATAGGGGTACCAGTTGAAATCCTCTTAGGAACGGTAAACGACACCACAAGGATTGGAGATTCCAGAATTAAGTCTTAGTATTTTAACTTTCCTAATTGACATATCGACATCCTAATCGATGCTTGGACATATAATTAGGACCTAATAGCAACCTAACTTCCCTGGTCTAACCTAAATGCTTAATGATATATATAATAGGACACGATCAAACTATTTGCGGATCCTAATACGGGCCTACCTAGGAATACAGGTATATGAGACCTAGCTAGAACTCTATACTCTAGGAACATGCAACTTGGCTAGGAATTGATTATATTCTTAATTTATCATCAAGCCGTCAGAGAGTTTGCGATTTAGGATTATAGAACCTAATTTTCGCTTTGATTAGCAAGGTGTCCTAGTCACCTAGGATCACTATGCATCTATGGAGTAGATATAGATGCTATGTTCTGGTCACGGTAATTTTGGTATCGTATTCACTGCGCAGATTTTATGATATACACATATTCAAAGTCAACGTTTCAATGTATTCGATTCATTCCATAAAACTGAAATCAATTACCACCCTAACGAAAATTTACTTGCAATTCTAAAACCTGTATCTGAAGTCTTGGTATCGTATCTAAATCAACATCCCGATATCAGAATGCTTCTTAAATGGCAACTAGGGAGATGATGTCAATCTTGCGCTGCAGAGATGATGAATAGCATAAATATTCACATTTCGGGATGCATCGAGGCTAGCACCCGTTATTATAATTTGTATTTTAGGGCACCTATGACGCCAATTCGTATGCAAAATTTAGGATGCCTATTTACATTTTAGGATACCAATTTCCATTTTAGGATACAAATTTACATCTTAGGACGCATGTTCAGATATCAGGAAGCCTATCATATTAGCCAGGATTCCAATCAGGAACGCAATTCTATCTAGGCCGACCAACGTTGCAACAGGCGCGCACAGTTTTACAACATATAATTAGGTTGCATATTAATTCAGTCGCGTCGACATCTTGATTGATATCGGCAACCTCCAATATGCTGACTAAAATCCTAATTATGTTAAAATATGTCTCTAGGATCCTAGCCGCCGTCCCAAACATGACCCAATAGCCGTCCTAGAACACAACCCAATTAGGTTCGAGTTGATCAATAGGAAACCCCAATACACTTATACTATCTTAGGTATCCTAACATCATAATTAAACACCTGATACATTTCCTAATGCTGTATCCTAGACTAGTTTTAGGATTAGAATGATCACGCTACCAAATCTCAAGCGACACATAAATACCAAGCATATCAACAATTATAAAACGAGAAAGATTTTTCGATTACAAAGAGTTGTAGGTGCACATCTAATCCAATACAAAAATACCACAAAACTTGGTTCCAACCTTCGACAACTTAGCTGAGATCATTTCCACACAAAACTTAGTCTCGTAAGCAGCCAATTGCAGTTCTAGCCTACCCAAACCCCGCATTCTCTACAGCCATCAGATGACGCTCGGACTTCCAAGAATTTGGCATTAAACTAGCTAGAAAACACATAGCTTTAAAGTTCAAGCCAGGGATCGGAATCTCTGTTTCTTTGTCTTGTGGCGGTTGCATTGACGAAAACCAAGTTAAGCTAACCTAATACTAAACTGGGGTTGCTAGATTTCGTGGGGAAAACCCCCCAAAATGGAATCTCACACCCCCGTTCGTCCGGTAAGTCCATTTCATAATTATCGTGGGGAGCTAGGGATTTCGGAAGCATGTGAAAGCGGGGAAGCGAGAAGCTGGGGTAATTTTTAGTCACTGACTCGGTATTTACAGGTTTCAGATTATCGCTTTGCAGACTCGCATACGCCAGGGCTTTCTCGGGACCTAGCATGCTAGCAGTGGTTTGTGGGGTGGGCGATGTCGGGATTTATAATGTTCAAACCTAGTGGCGAGCTGCCCCATGGGTGGGGAAGCTTCAGGTAAGGAGGGGCATTCCGGGCGGGATCAAGGGGATGAGAGGTAAGGGCAAATAAATACCTTTCGTCTCATAGGGGCATGAGTGCTCCCTGGGCGGCCTCGGAATCAATCGTCCTTAACAGTAAGTATCCGTACTATCAGGATGGCCTCGTAAATTTAACCAGTTCCCTCGTAAAGCTATCCTAATTTGAGGAACTAATATATTTAAGTGGGAAACTTAGTCGAAATAGTTTGACCAAAGTGTGTAGTCGTAGATCTATTCCCGCTACATTTTTTTTCTTTTTGTTAAATACATATTTATCCTGTACGTTTGGCAAATGGGTTTGAGGAGTCTGTTCATTGCCGTCTATTAAACGTCGCGAATCGATATCTACTTCCTGTAAATAAGCTTCTACGAGCATGTATGTATGGTTAGCTTTGATGGTATCTCTAGATGTTTAATTGGGACTATAGAAGGAATAAGTATTGATATAAAAAGCATACAGGTCTTCAGAGCATTGCAATTGGTGGATTAACTAGCATCATTGGGATAGGAGAAGGTTTACGTGTATAACTGCGTATCAATAGCTATGGAATGATGGATCAAGTAGATATCTCATGGGTTAGGACTCAGATCTACCCTACACGAATCTAGCACATTTGTATTTTGTATAGCCTTAGAGAATTTTTACTCCGTATATACACTAGCTTGCGCGGGATACCTCTGTAACATCAGAAACACACGATATACAGCCATTGGTAAAGCGTAAAGGCTACTGAATAATAGATCGTAAATTGGACAATAACGCGCACACATTCTCTCTCTATATAGATACATACATGTGTCTGTATGTATGCATGCATATGTTCTAGCGATGTATTGGTCAACGCTCAAGGGAAGGTAGCTTCCAACGACCTCGTAAGAGCGATCGGGCATATTTGCTATGATGAGTTGGTAGAGGAGGATCCTAAAGGGTTTGAGAAGAAGGCGAGAAGGCAACAAAGGCCATTCACTAGCGCTATAGCTTCAAATCTGATCAACAGTAACGCATTGGTAACTTGGACTGCTTCTTAAACAGTGTCGATATGTCCATCCATCCACTAACGCCCACCCCCGCCGAGCAACCTTGTTTGTTCTCACAGTGGCCCTGATAGACATGATCTATGAAACTATTTCCTCTTAGATTCGCCTCAGAAAATATTCACTACATGGTTTTTCCCTAGAGCCTCGAGGATATGCATATATATGCATCCTGGGAACGTTAACGGAATTCCTGTTAGTACGAAAGGACCTTGCTACGTACCTGGGTGACAAAATTATAGAAGCAAGTTTGTATGGCGCTCCCATACAATCTGCTTCTTTATTTTGTCACCCGGGTACTACGGTATCATGACAATATAGCCCACAAGCTGGCCGTAAACACATTTTTCTGAAGCCATTGCTATACGCCGCGATATTAGCGCCCTGTTTTAAAGCGATTGATGTCCAAGTCAAATACATATTCGGATATATGCAAGGCGAATTTTCCGGTGTCATGATCGGACGGTTTTGGCACACATATGTATGATGACCTACCGTGAATACTTTCCGTAATTATAACTTAAAACATGCCGCCGCAAGCTATGGCGCGCCGTCGACCCACGATGCCATGAGAATACTGTGATTTCAGGTTTACGATCGATATCCTCGCCTTGAACTTACGTGTGACCAATCAAGCTATGCACCATGCATATGCTATTATAACTACTGAGATACAACTATATTCCGGTTTCAAATGAGAAGTTCTAAACCGGTTTAAATATTAGAATACCGCCTCGAAATTCTCTACCAAAAGGCATCTGCCGATCCAAAGATCAGCATGCGACAGGGTTACACTCTCCACCTGAAGACGAAACGACAGGGATCCTCATTTCAACACATTTAGGGCGCAAATTCTGCAACACTTAGTTTTCTCGTTGAAAATGTTTTCCTAAGCTTAGGCAAGGACGGAAAACTATTAGCAGAACCTGCGCCGTAGTAGAAAGCTCAACCTTGGGATGTTCAAGTAGATCCTTAAACGAGGCGGAGATAGTACATTAAGGTACAATGCTACAGATAGGAGAAAACCGCTTTGTCTCTCGGCGGGAAAATATATCAAGTCCAGGGTATACTATGGTTGGGGTCTGGATCCGGAGCTCCAACTGAGAAGTGATTACATCATTGGCATTCAGCTGGGGTGACGACGAGACAGGTTCTATGGAGTCATAGGGGATGCATGTGCATGAATTTTGCATGCATAAGGGTTCTTTCTTTCTTTTCTTTTATTTTATTTTATTTTCTTTTCTTTTCTCTTAAAAAACCGTCTATGAGCTCGGGTTGTTTCCGATGTTGAGATCGATGAAAATTCAACAACACTATATCGCTATAGGTGACCTCGCCCTGCCGTTCAATATCAAACTGGGTGAGCGAATACGTGTATATGCCTGCCTAGGCATTTTTTTAAAAACTTCTTGCAATTGAATAGATTCTCATATTTCCAAACCTAGGTAATCTTATTGAAGAGAAATAATAATCTCTTCACGAATTCATATGATCATTTATTTACACACTTCCCAGAGCTAGAGTAAGTCAACGCGTTTTCCCTGCAACTAACCATTCATTAACATCACGGTCGGATTCAGTTAGGCCCTTTTCGAATTTCGGGTAGCACTTCTCGAGAGCTCTGGTCAAGATCCAAATCTAAGAGTATAGAAGTTGGCTGCTCAGCTGAAGTAGCTGCTGTGTATTAAAAACAAGATATTCTGAAACGATATCGAATAGCATATTCCCCTCAGCTCTTACTCATCCCTTTCCCCACATTCTCGCCAGAAGCGAGGGCCGTTCCGTCCCAGATCGATCTAAACTACTTGCAGCCGAGGGATGCAAAAGTTCGCAACATAATCCAACAAATCACCAACAAAGATAGCCAACCAGGCTTGATAAAGCGAGATTGAGGGATGGACGATCGGTGATCCTATGCATATTCTTGTGCAGATTGGCATCTTTGTTGCGAATGCAATGCATATGCTTCCTGCTCGGTTTATCTAAACGGGAAACCTTCTTCGGATCAGTTCTTATGATAACATTCTATCCTATAGCGCTTTGCAGATCGATCCCGTGTAACATCCGAATCTAGAGTTCATGTGCAACCGCATGCACCCTCCGTGAAAGGAGAACTGATATACGAAGTCCTATTTTGTGATTTCACTTCTTCGAGATCAACCCGGTCTCAACCCAAAATGCCAAATCGATACCTCAGGTTACTCCGCTTATATTCCGTCTACGGTATATGTGCGTATACATCTACCAAGGAAAGACACCGGCCCTAGTGAGAAGTAGGGCTACTGATATCTAATTGACTTTATGAAACGAATCTAGCTGCTAATGTGCCAGCTGCTTGGGCTTGCATATGTGAATCCGGGTCTGCCTGTCAGTAAATACCTCATCCCTGGAACGTCGGGACTTTCATGAACCAAATCTGCCACCGTATCCCAAAAGCTGTTACACCTGAATGCTGAAAACAGGACCGACTTCGTGGTTGGTCAGAATTGTAACAGATCTCGGGCTTTGGTAAGTGGTGATGCAAATGTGGCTGACAAGTACCCCAATTGATCGGCACGCGGGAGCATTAATCTAAGCTTCGAAGGGTTCGCGAGAATGCTGAATTTGAGTTACTGTGATCAGGACAAAAAATATAAATATGAAGGGTTTCGCCAGTTGAGATCATATGTCGGAATGTACCGTCCAAGAAGAAAGCCACAAGCAACGTAAAAGGTACACATATACATATCTAGGTTCATTTTCTACCGATCTTCTCTCAAAACAACCTTACCCAATTGTCTAGAAATGACTAGCTTAGCAAAAGGCCACCTGTGAGTCCCTTTCCACATCTTTTAACCCTGCGACAATCTCTAGAAACCAGGAGCGTCAGATCAACGATTACGCAATATTATAGTTACTCATACCAATTTTGCGAATTAGTGGTGTCTTTATCCAAGCCCTAGACTGTAATGTCCACCATCGAGGATATGAAAACACATGGTCCGCTTGGCAAAATATGGACGGCGTCAAGACACGTTACGATCCTGTCGTCATTCCCCGCTCTGCTAAGACTAGAAAGTTCGACGTCTTCATTGTCGGGTTTGACCACTGCCTCTATCATCGCGGATGGCTAGCTGGCCAGGGATGGGCAAAAGACTGGACCAAGATTGCTACCAACTGCCTTGGCCCACCAGCCATAGTCTCTCGTGACAGCGACAAGTTCATCGAGCTTGCCTACGTCGGTACGGATCACTCGCTCAAACACAAGCGATTAGAGGAGAACCAAACATGGTACCCTGCCGGTACCGAAACCATGGATTGGGGTGGCAAGTATATTTATAACCGTGGTTCTGCATGTAGCTGGAGTACCGACCATGTCAGCTTCTTCTTCATCGGTATGGATAGTAAATGTTACGAGAAGCGTTGGGTGAGGGGTATTGAGGGATGGAATGATTTCGAACTCCCAGGAACCTGGACTATCCCTCCGCGAGCACTCTCACAGTACAAAGACGAACAAAAAATGACCGTCTATGGATTGAATGAGGAGAGCAAGCTCTTCTATTGCGGACGTACCGGCGCAGGGGATGTTGGTGGATGGAACCACACCGTTTTCGACGACGGTACTTACTCGAAAGAGATACCGGAGGCCGTCTCATTTGGAGATTCTGGTCAGAGAATAGATGTATTCGTTGTTGGGCTTGACAGCTCCGTCTACCAAAAAACTTGGACAAAGGCAACCGGCTGGAAAGATGCGAAGAAAATTGGAGGCAACACCATCTATGCCCCGAGAGCGGTCAGTTGGGGGGACAGCAGTGTGACCAGATACGACTTGTTTGCTGTTGGTCGAGACTTCTCGATGTGGCATTTGTTTAGTAACGATGGAGATAAATGGTTGCCCGGCGATGCCACCTGGGAAAGTTTAGGAGGCAAGACGGCAACGATGGCTGGTGGCAGAGTTTGATTCCTACTTGAAATCTCTACGGATAATATCTATAACTATACTAGCAAGGGTACTAGGTTTCAAGCAACATACTATTTTTTTTTTTTTTTTTTTGATTTCTGAAGATGCACGAGAGATAGGTCTCATGATTGCGCGAACGACTATTGGAGGACACGAACTTAATGTTACCTTAGAAATTAAGCTACCGCGATATCAAGACCTAGAAATCAAAATATCGAGAGCCCAAGGCTACGGCTAGAATCTCGGATTATCATTCCAAAGACAGCTTTGATACCCATGACCTGTAGAGAATGCATTGTGCTATCGATCGTTACCAACGCCAAGGTAGGAATGACTAACAGGAATTTTTATGATTTGGATTTAGGACGCCTTGGATTTAAACCTATAACTAGGATTGCGAGTCCGCAGAGAGACAATATTGGCGGCCGGACGGCTCAAGTCCGCCTCGTTCGCTCAGAATATTAGCTATAATAAAAAGCAAGATATATAACAGGCACATTAGAGCAGTTCATGCTTAATAGGCCTAATAAGACTGCATATAGTAAAACGAGAGATCAAGTCTTTAATACCCTGCTAGGAATATATGGCTTGAAGTTAGCAGGATGGCTAGATCCTTCTGGTGAAACAACCATTCGTATTGAACTCGAGGTTGTGTTCGGAGATCTTGAGTTAGGAGGGCAGCTCTGTACGTACACAGCTATGCCCTGGTAAAAATTGCGGGAACACAAGCTTGGATCCTACACTAAGGTGCCTTCCGAAGGTAACTTGAGGCGATGCAATCGCCAATCGAACATAGATGCATAATTAATAATGCTATATTCGTACCTTGGCCGTTGGATGCATGTCGAAGACTCATCGCGGGGAGGGAAAGGCCCAAGAACCGGACTAGCCACTACATCAAACTTTAGGTTGAAATAGAAGAATTAGGTTTCTTGCTCTTTAAGCTTTGTGCCGTGTGATGCATCCCACGAATCCTAGACTTGAGGCGTGTTATTCGAAACGTATCCTGCAGAACAAGTGATATCTGAGCCCACCATACTAGTATATAAAGTACCGAACACACAAATGATCGATTAAGCTGTACACGTAGACACGTCTCCTGATAAGGGCTGTAGGGCGCAGGAAGTTTGGTGTTTTATCCGACCCCGAATTTTCTGACGGGCCTTCTAGGATATCGAGTCATCAGGGTACATCATCGCTCGCTCCCCGGCCCAGAACGGATCGCTTCGTAAGCAAGTGCTGCGCATTCGTATAATATTTGAATTTTTGTGACCAAGTACTATATAGCGAAGCTCGCTCCTTCCCGAAATCGCTAGAAGAAATTATCAGTCATTTCGAGAGCGCCTAATGAATAACTTTTAATGGTTTAAGTCTCGGGGTTCGCGATTTATATATTGATGGGAGGCGGTGGCCATTCATCTTACCAGCCACATGCTGTGTAAAAGTGTGGCGAAATTTATAAATTTAGAAATGATTACTTGGCCTGCAAAAACGAAATTTAATTTAATTGAGTCATACCTACAGCTCAAAATCTATCCGTCCATGGAGCCGGTATTCGAAGTCGCGAACTGAGCTAAAGCCTGAATCAATATCTATTCTCCAGATCTTGATATATTGTGTTGTGCGACCTCATTTGGCTGCATCCAGGTCAGATCCTTGATTATTATCGGGACAAATATCTCAGCCTTCTGTGGTATATTCCAAGATAGTATAGTCTGAGTTCTTTGGATTATGTTGCACCGACGCCAAGGATTTGTGCAAGGCCGGCATGTTGCATGCCCAAGGTTTTCCATGAGATTCTAGCTCAACCAGGATATATCAGGCGTGCTTTTGTAACACGCATGATAAATACATCGAGTTACATTGGTGAAATACTATTCGTTGTATAGAAAAATTCAAGTGAGGGGATCTTCCTCAAAGAACGGCGGGCCTTAGGGCGACACGCGGTTCTCTCGTGATGTATTAATTTCCGCCTTCTTTTTCTTCCAGCCATAGTAATGTTGTACAAAAACCGAATCATGATATACACACCACTCGGGGAGTCGAATCGTACACCACAAACTAGCTCTACTATCATACAGGGATTGTTTCCGTTGGTATACAGCTAATCAAATCACATGTTAGGAAAATCTATCTTAGAGGGGAGAACGGGTACATTTTTTTTTCTTTTTGCCAATATACGCGCGCAGAATACTCCGAAACAATTGAAGTCGATGGGCAATATAATGAGACCGATGAAATACCTTTGAAATGAAACCTTTCCAAAATAAAACAATATGCAACGCTTACACCGTGCGGGAAACCATTAAGCCTGCCAAAAATAAGTAAAAAGCATGTGAGGTTTTGAAGAAACAGGAGGCATCAAAGCAATGTAGCAAATCGGAAGAAATCGATTAATCATGAAACCAAGCGATAATATATGGAAAAAAGATAGGAGATAGGGAGTTGGTAATAGCCAATTGGGTATTAAAGAGGATGTTTCAGTAGAAGGAAATGCCGCGAGCTGCAAAATGATAGGAGGGATGAGAGAAGGGAAAAAAAGTAAAGGAATGAAAAAAAGGATAAGGAGGGGAGAGGAAAGGAAAGGAAAGGAAATGAAAAGAAAAGAAAAGGCAAGGGGGAATAAAATAGAATGAAGGAATCAAAGAACGTTAGAAAACTGGGATCTAGCAATGGAGCATCGTGGACACCTGGAATGAGCTGGGTGCTCGTTTGAAGTGCATTCAGACTCCTTCCCAAGGTTCATAACGTAGACGAAGTTTGGACGGTTTTGTGCGAGATGCTGACATTCACACTGTGGATAATTCAATTAGCAAATATCGTCAACGATTTAGGGATAGATATGGAACTTACGCATATCCAGAAGTCAGGTGCTACGGGCGATGAACCCAAGGAAGAGGCGCTGAAGGGCTCCACAGGACCAAAGATATCCTTGATAGGAGGTAATTGCCGTTGTTGATCCAGTATTTCGAGTTCATTATCTAAAAGATTGATTTCCCTTTCGTAATTTGTCCTAGCGACTTCTAAAGCTTTAGATGTCTCGGCCAAGTTACAAACGGAATACTTAACCCAAAGCCGGATATCTTTCTGTTCTTTGTGGAAATGGTCGGCAACATGATTAACGCGGATTTCTTTCCCACGTCTGCCAGTCATTTCTGTAGGTATTGCGATGAGCTTTGCGCAAAACCCGCACCAGAAATTATCTTCAACGTAGTCAGTTCCGTTGTGATGCCTCTGGAAAAAATCTTTTTTGGTGTCTTCGTTGATTCCGCCATCGAGAAGAGTCCAGCTCGTGACAATGGCTTTGTGGTGCTCATCAAGATGTTTTTCAAAGTCTGATTTTAGAGCCCATGCACCACGACAAGACTCGTGGGGACCGCCTGGGCATTTGTAAAATTCGCTTTGATAGTGTCTATGTTCCTCGTGACGGCGCCAGTCATCTTTGCTACCAAAGCGCTGTACTTCGCTTCGTTCTTGCCAATGGAATGTACAAAAGAATGGTCGACGGTGTCGCTGCATGTGTTTCCTAGAGCGAGTTAGCTTTTTTGGTGCCTTCTGAAGTGATTGTAGTTGCCTATAAGGCTTAGATAAATGTATTGGGGGCATGGCAAACTGTTCATGATGATATCGAAAACGGAAGGAAGGGTATTGACGTATATAAAATATATCGCGGCCTTATACACCGCATTCCACAAGGTGGCCAGACTTTGGTTGAGGCCAACCTTGATAAAGCTGGCGACGGAAGCCCAGCCTCAACAAAAACAAAAACAAAAAAAAACATGCATGAGGAACAAGGCGGATTGAACAGTGATATCATCAGACAGGGGATAGTTTGAAGAGGATCAAACAACTAATTGGCTAGGAGTACATACTTCCATTCAGATTTTTTTGTAAAGGTCTTGTTGCATTTTTGGGTAGTACATCGGTATACTTCCGCGACAGGCTCGGTGTCCGTGGCGACGGCTCGAGGGGTAGGCCTTAAATCCTCGATTTTTATGGTAGTAGATTCCGCATTGCTCCGAGGAACACTAGGTACCACAAAGTTGGACGCCTCGTTTCGGATGGGCTCTTTACCGTCCCGATGCGGCTGAGGGAAAAAGCTATTCCCGGGCCCCTCGAGTCTGGTCGGCGAAGTTACGCTTATGGGGGTCAACGGGCTGCAAGCCGCCTTAATTTCGGGCGGAAAGGCCGGCGAAGTTACACTAAGAGAGGACCTGGAAACTACAGCTGCTGCTGAAGGTGCAGTGGAAAATACCTCTGAGATCTTCGTTTGTGCGAGCCGGTAGCCTCTCGAGAATCCAGCGTCGAAACCAAGGAGTGCAAACTTTATGCAATCCAGTCTTCTCTGTGATGAAATTTCTGGATAACGGGCTTTGAGCCCTTCAGACGTTAATTTCGTGGCAACTTCGAGCTCGTCTGTTTTTAGATCCTCGAGAAATCTCAGGACCCATTCCTCATCGACGTCATGACCCCGAGACTGATTTGTCCCGTTATTCTTCACGAATTCATGCATATTTGACGAGTTAACAGGCTGAATTTTTAACTCCGGGAGCGGCTCCTGCATTTCAGGCACATTTTCCAACTCATGCGCCGGGATTTTTGGGGTCAACATAACAACGTCTCGAGATTCTTCCTGAGGTGGGTATGATTTTTCTTGAGGTAGTTCGAGTTGTTGGTTGTTATGTTCGATAGCCCGGCTTTTTCCCTTTTGTTCGACCACCATCGAGTCTTCGTCATTATCAATATCGTCTTGTCCAGTCGCTATTTGTACTGGTGTTCTAAGTTCAACTCGTTCGCCTTGCGCATCCTCGATAGTCTCATCGATGGACGTCGGATGTATCGAAAGATCGTCTGAAAAGGGGCTTGATTCACCCTCGGGACTCCTCGAGGGATTTTTGTCCGTTTGGGAAAACCCTCCGTTTGGATTTCTAATCTCATCTAAGAATTTTTTGTCGTGAAGTTGTAAAATATGCTGGCGAAGGTTGTCTCTGCGGGAAAATGCTCTTTTTGGGTTTGACCTGGGACATTCCGCTACCGGGCAGACGTAACTCGCAGAGTTCTCTCCGTGAACCGTATCGCGATGCCGAGTAAGATCTTTTTTTGTATGAAATTTCGCGTTACAATCTCCGCATATATGCGAACGCTCGCCATGTATCTGCTTATGTTTACTGTAGCAATAAATATTAGATTTTATTCAAATTACGCGAGTTGATTCCACTGAGATTTACCTAAGACTGTTTTTGCTTGGAAAGCTTTTTTTGCAAGCATAACATATATGTTGTTTACGTATTGGCGAAGAATTGGAGGCGTGTGGATTTTCTGATGCATTAATATATTTATCAGTATTTCGCTTTTGACCCAGACCTAAGAAATAGAGAGAGTTCTAACCTGAACTAAAAGCTATCGGAGGGATAGGGTTTTTGTCGTTTGGATCGTCGACTGAAGATATTAAATATTTAAAAGACGGTAAAGAACTAGAATTTTGTCGAAGTAAAGGTGGATGGAATTCCGATCTGCCGCCATCCAACGGCTGGGTTTCCAAAGGTCCCGAGGTTGGACTTCCTAAACTTTCCGCGATACTTTGACTTCTTGCATGATTACCGGAAGGGCCCGTTGTACCGATAACTTGAGCCGTAGGCTGGTTGCTTGCAGTCCAAGCTATAGCTGGTGTATCCACTATTTCCCCTCCTCCCTCCGCTTCCAAAGGATATACACCGGCCTCCTGTGGCGACTTGACCTGTGAGTTCATGGGTTCCATCCATAACAATATTCACAGGTCCTTTCTTGAAAAGGTTGAAAAGAAGCTCTAAACATTTCCAGAGTACAAGTTAGCGATTCAGTGTCTTTCACGAGGCTGCATTATCTTCAGAAGAATGTCGCGACCCGTATACGATGCACAATAGATGTGGGGTTATTAGGATCAACGAACTTTCAGCCGGATACGGTGAATTAAGACAGCCGACCTTGAGGACCGCCTGTCTATCGAGCCACTATTACTTGCGGACTATTTTTTCTTGCGTTTGTGACTATAAGCCTGCCATGGTTAGTTTAAGTGTTTAATCGAAGTGGCATGCATATAAATAATTCAGGATCCAGGAAACGTGCATGCACAGTCTAGAAAAATGAAAGAAAGAAGACCGGGCTTTTTAATCTAGCATACCTTTCGAGTCTCTCTTTATAAACTCGCACTAGTACCCATCTGATTTTTCACAGAGTTCTAAATTTTGATCCTTTCTATCTTGTAAGTCCCAATTCCAAAATACTTCACGTCCACGTAATAGTTTTCCTAGCAACTAGCCTCGATATCGTTGATGGCAAAATGCAAACAGGGGAGAAAAAAAATCACTTTTAACTCTGAAGGCCGCGTCGCGGCCTCGGCGACAACGGGGCCGCCTTTTATAAGACTCGCGACCGACCTAAATCACTTACCTCGAATCAGGCGCCTGTTACTAAGCCGAGTCCGAAAAACTTCAGGCCCAGGTATGTGCCGATACAGGTAGTTATGACTCCCACCGAGTTAGCCGCAGGGTGAGTCTATTTTGTGGATGCGTTTTGGTGAATTGACAAGCTGGTTTAGTTGGGTGTCAAGTTTATGGAAATATTCAGCGGAAGAAGAATCACTTTCCAACGTGGGCCTGACTGATGGTTAAAGGCATGCCCGTCTGCATCCTTTTTGCGAGACCCCGCCCACCCATTCTTAACACTTTCAGCTCGACGTGTTTCCGTTCAACTGGCTTCTCAAGGTTCGGCGGACTAGGCTCGCCTGGAACCAAAATTTTAATCTCTCGATACGTACTAGAATGGGCTGCCCCCCGAAATAACCAGCTGCGGCATAAGTTTACGCAAACGTCAGAACGACAGTCTCAACGTAATGCTATTCGAGACGTTCACATCTGATAAATATCGCAAAGGCTCAAGGGGGCCAAATCAGAAGAATTCGTCTTGAGAAACTGGCCTTACGCCCACCAGCTGCCCGAGTTTTCTTCTCCCCATTTCTATTCAATCTTTCCCTAAAACAGGTTTCTTTTTTCTTCCCGATACCTGCAGGGAACAAATGAAGAGTCTACTTTTTGGACAAGGGATTTAAGATGTCAGGTTAGCGAGGCACTATTCAAGGCGGCACTCGCATCGGGTTGGAAGTTCCATTTCCTTTTTTTTTCTTTTTCCCGGGTGTTAGGAGGAGAGCTTTAACGCCTTTCAAATATTATTTTCTCTCCTAGGCCCCCCTGGGTGTATCTACATATGTATGCCGTCCGGCAGTCAGGCCCCATTGTTTGGCGTCTCTTTTGATTTGCCACCTAGGAGAGTTTGCCCCGAACTGAATTTAAATGACACCCTTCCTTCGTGGAACCTTGATTAACATGTTTCGCCAACGAAGAAGGCACCGCAGGCGGCCTTCCTCCTGAACTTTCGATCCGACGTTACGAAATTCGCCCGCGTAAACTCCGACAAAGTCTGAAAGGAAAAGAAAAGAAGAAAAAAACTTATATATAGCAACTTACCCAGCTGCTGACTATTATTGTCACCAAAGGGTAGGTAAGGTGTGCGAATGGGCAGTGGCAGTGGACTCGAAAAACTACTTCAAGCTGCGACCTGAACGCCGAATCCGAATTGCCATGTTTCTGATTTCGGTCCGGCTGCGGGCGAAAACTAAAATCAAACAGGCCTGGATCCAACGAAGCACCAGAATCCAACAAACCACCAATCACAGGCCAAAAAAATCTCAGTCGGAGGCAAAGATAGAGGTCTGCAAGGTCTGCCCCTAAAATCACCCAGACAGCTGGAGAAAACTCCCATGACGTTGATCAGTGAGCAAGTGGAGACAATTATGTACTCGCCGCCAATATCCGGGCCGGGGTTTGGGATTGCATGCAAGTGTCATGTATGTATGTATTGCAGGTACTAGCAGGTACAATGGCGAAAACCGGCCAGTATAAAATCTCTCACGACCTGTTCAACCCCCTTTCTGTGGAATTCCGTCTCGAGTGAGCTCCTGATTCTCCCAACCATTCGAGAACACACTCCATTTGATATTACCTTTGGTCCGCCTGAAATCGAGGCTACATACTCTATCTGACAGTAGTAATACAATCCAACAGTTCATGTCGTATAGCATGATGTTCTACGGCATTCCTCGTATCACATCTAATCCGGCAGGGAGGGCCTAGTTGCCTTAATCGGACGAGTACTACCGTCGCAACAAACAGCCGTTTCTTCCAAATATCCTCCCGGCTGTGATAGGTGAGAAATATATATTCGGTTAGAATGTGTCTTCTGGGTATGAGTGTGGACAAGTAAGAATAAATTTAAAAAGAATTCACCACTATACATGTAGGAATCCTCCCACCTTCATCGGCGACATTACTTGCCTAGTTTCTGGAGTGCATCAAACAGTCGCGGATGCAAAAACCCGAACCTTCCTTAACAAGTACCCCGTTAGTTGACGGGATTGAAAGAGAAAACTAGATAATTGTACGTCTACTAAGAATCTGCATGTGCTTTCAAACAGAAAGTCAAACGTCGCATATAGACCGACACAAACGAGAATTTCACGAGAAAGGAATGTGATGTCAAACAAGGCAGCAACAAGACCGGCTGTAGGTTGACGTTTGGTAACTGGCGGTGCAATGTTAACATAGCGCTTGCAATCAGATGTGCGAAAGGATTAATCATTAGACCAATTAAGACGCAAACAACCCCATTCAAAAAACTAACGGCTGGACAGGAAAAGGCTTGTGAAAATGAAATAAGGATAGTATCTAACACGAAAAGGAAAAAAAAAAGAGATAGTCTGACAGAAACAGCGATAGGAATAGGATTTTTGACAAATGTTCGGAACCTTGCTGTGTGTTGTCAACTGCATGTCAGCCTATGCATGCGCCGAGCTAGGCGTGAGTGTGATAACCTGCATTGAGATCAGACCAGGCGACTCATATTTCCGCGACCCTTCACGAATGCTGCAGGATCCTCAGGCCTGAAAGTGTCATCCATCGCGGCTGACAGCTGCCAAATTTGCAGCCGGAAAATCCACCTTTTTTTGATGGGGTTTCTCGATCACCATGGGTGGTGGTTCGGCCAGTTCATGAATCGTTCGGTTTCATCCTCACCAGACTGCTGACCCCCTTGGTTCCAAGCTCCGTATTGACCCGGATTTGTTATGCCCAAGCCCGGAGCTACTATGTTGGGATTTGAATAGCCAAGGATGCCATCGTGCCCACCTATCCCATAGCCCATGTTGGGTTGCATGCTATAGCCCATAGGATTTTGTTGCTGTGCATGTTGGTGCTGGTGCTCCTGCATAAGCATGTTCAAATCAGTGTGCATTTGGAACTGAGCCTGAGGATGTAGCGTCGCAGTAAGTGACGGATCCATCACATTCGTGTAGATCCTATCTCCGACCACGTCTCCATTTCTTTGTGGTGTGGCATGCGGTGACGGGTAGACGCCCTGAGGAGTGGGCCTGGTTGGCGAATAGATAGAGGATTGGTGAGGCGCCATCCCCACATACATACTTTGGAGGTCAGGTAAAATAGGTGTAATATTTCCTGGCCCAGCAGCTGAAAATGCTGAAGGATTATACGGCGTAATTGGTGTTACCGTCGTAGAATTGCCTCGCCGCGTGCTTGCAGGACTTAAAACAGCATCCTCACCAATCAAAGTGATCACGGGCAAAGATATCGCTTCCATGTGTCTAGCCAAATGAACTGTCAACTTCTTCCAACTTTGCAGTCTGCACCCGCAGAAACGGCAGGGCTCAGAAGTGGGTTTGTTTGTTGTCTCTTTATAGCAAGCGGTAACGATATCCCATAATTTGTTAACTTCATCATCTTCCGTGCCACCTTTGCCTTTCTTCGTGCCACGCGCCCCGGCTCCTGACTTCGTAGCGCCAGATTTTGTCGCCTTTACTTTGACCTCTGGCATTTTGTGCTCTCGAACAAGATGCTGAACGAAATTGTCTTTCCTGTAACACTTGTGGTTACAATCAGGCAGATTGCAGGTCCACCATTCCAAGTGTCGGTGTTTTTCGTTTTCATGGCGCACCCAATCGGCTTTTCTCTTGAAACTTTTGGGCTCTGTGCAATCAGGGAACGTGCAAGTGAAAGGTTGGACATCCTCGTGGACGTGCTTGGTCCAATCAGAGGGCTTCGTGAATTTCTTGACTTTGAAGCAGAGTGTACATTCAAATTCCGCGGGCAATCGATGCACAGGCGGCATCGGGACACCGGGGGGGAACTGGGTCGCAGTTACCCTTCCATCTGTACTAGGGACATCCTCGTCATCTGAATCATACTCTTGCATCGAGTATGATGCGTTGTTATTAGGGCTTTCAAAAAGGCCGACGGGTGCGTTGTTCTCCTTTCCTTGATTGGCGACGGCACCGCACTGGTGGTCATTGGTGCATTTACCTAAAGTTTGGACGGTGGCATGATGTTTGAGAAAGTTTTCCTGGAGTTTTCTAAAACGCTTCACCTGTTCAATCGCAATCCTATCGATCAACTTAGGGTGCAACTGTGGATTGAGTTGGAGACAATGTTTTGCGAAGCCAGCTCGGTTAGGGGTTATTTTATCGATAGGAATCTTCAACTGCGGAGGAGCCGTAGGAATGGGATCTGCTGGAGCATCCTCTTCATCTGAGGCTTCATGTTCTAGAGGTTCGAATGGTGGGACGCTAAGAGATCCTTGACTCTGATGTCTACCAGTTGTTGGTGATATAAATCCTGGAATACCAAACTCAATCTTGCCCTTGCTCAGCGAGCCGAGCCTCTTGATCTGAGGCGACATTGGATTACTAGAGCTAGCAGCTTCACCCCCACCGATTGACATTGACAAGCCAGCCATGCTAGCAAATGCCGAAGTTGTGTCCTTTGAAGGATCAACATCGCTTTGCTTCCGCTTTTTCGAAAGCTTGCGTGTTAAACTGCTTAGCCTGCTCGGCGAACGTTCCCTTCCAATTTTTGACTTCTGACTGTCTTTCCTTAGAGGCTTAGGTTCCTTGGACGCCTTATCAGAGAGATTCTGAAGCGCATGGAGTGCAGCATTCTTATGCTCGTGACCTGCGCTTGAAAACCTCTTGAGGACGTTTTTGACTTCGAACAAACTGGGTTTTCTATCTTGGTGAGCGTGTGGTCTTTGCACGACCGATAGATTTTCTTCATTAGGTCCAAACGACATTCTCTTGAATAAACCATCCATCTCTCCAATGGAGTATCGGCGGCTTCGCATAGTACCAAATGTTGCCACTCGGCTAGCAGTTTCAATGTTCTCATTGGCCCTCTTCCACCTTTCAATTGCTGCATTTGAGGAATTAGGCTGTCCGCGTGTGACCCCCTCTCTGACATTGAGCGTGGAGATCGGCTTTGGTGGATCATGCCACGGCCCAGGCCTATAGAATGCACTCGGATGTGGATCGCTATTGACCAGAGCCATCTCCTCTTCTTCTGTCATCCTTTGGATGCTGTCGATATGTCTCGGCGGGTGAATATCATCGTCGCCAATATGGGATATATCCGCAAATCCAAGTTCGTTTTCTGGAATCTCGGGAAGTCCTTCCTCATCTGAAGTATGTCCGTCTGTGCTCTCTTCCTCGCTATCATCAAACAGTACATCACCCTCCCCACGAGGTGTCCCATCGACCGGTGAGTATCCGCTGGGTTCCTCGAGTTTGAACGTTTGCGCTGGCGCACCCTGTGCTCCATCGGCCGGTTCGTTAGAGGCGTCCATCTGACCGACACTTCTGCTCCTTGTTCTATTGGATTTAGGGGCATCAAGATGCCCAGACCCTTCACCAGAGAGCCACCGGAAAACTTTCATATGGTTCTCTGATTCCTTAGCTACCAGTTCTTGATCTCGAAGGCTTGGAATTTCATCGTCTGTCGCCGCTGTGTTTCTCCCGGCCGGAAGAACCCGGTTGAGAGTGGCTTCATCATCGCTAGCTCGCTTCTTAGTACGCCGACTAGATTGGGTAGCATCGTGATCATCAACCGTGATATCGGGATTAGATATTATAGGTAAAGTAGTACTAAGTGGTTCTAGAACGTTAGGTCTGTTTTGGGCATTGATACTGGCATTTGTCATTGCTGGGCTCGGGAACACATTATCGCTAACAGCAACCGTCGGCGTCAGCGAAGTTTGTGTCATCGGTTGGGTGTTATTCCTTGATGGGGGCTCATGTATAAAATCCTCAAAATTAGTATCTTCCTCTTCCGGCTTTGGGGTATTTATATCGAAAGGTATATCTTGATCGTAGCCTGGCGTAGTGCCGGATGAGAAACCATGGGACGAATTAGGAGAAGACATGGAAGTTTCGAAATAGTTATGAGGAGACATGGAGAAGTCGGAAGAGGACGGGTGATTCGAACTCGCATTTGATATCGACGTTTGCATGGGGACCGCAGAATTTGGGGTGAATCCACCTAGCTCATCGGTATCGTAGACTTGTAAAGCCGAGTTTCGTGGAGTAAACTGCTGATTTTGTGGGCTGAGTGGTCCTCGTTCGCCTGTAACACTAAATAATGCGGCGAAGGGGCGCCTTTTGGACGATGGTGATTCCGGGTTCCCGCCAGCCATTATCGCAAAATTGCCAATGAAGTTGAAATTGTGGCGCCGTATTAAATCTAAAGGGAGTTGATGTGCCTATAGTCCAAAGGCTTTACGAACGGATGAAAATGTGAAGATCACTTTTACTATTGCGTTGCTTTGATTTGAAGCAGCGTCGCAATGTTCATTCGGGGCAGGGCGAAGCTGGCCGTTGGTTAGCTGACAAAGGCTTAAACTCAGAACAAACAGAGTTTCTCCCGAAAAGCTTACCACTGAAATAAAGCTATCAAGGTCGTGCGAGACTCGCCGAATATACTTTTAGACGGACTTCGAACAGAGCGAGACGGTCGCTTGTCGTTGTCTCACGGTGTTAAGACTCGGAGAGAAGGCAAGGACTCGATCCGGAGAAAAAGGAGGGGGAATCAAGAATCAGTAAGCTAGCAGGCGGGGCACTGGCAGTGTTTTGAAGTATCAGCAATCCAAGGGCTCAAAGTGCTCAGCGACAGTTATGATAGGTAGGTCAAAGGAAATGGACAGATTCCATGATTGCGAAGGCTTTTCGGCAGGTTGGAAGGCAGACTCTTGTGGGTAGGCGTGATGGTGATGGGCTAGCAGGATCGAGAAACGGTTTGGCAGAAACACAAGCGAAAAGGCTGGGCGGATGAAGTGCTTACCGCTCAGTATTATATTCGGTAGACCGGCCACGTTGGGTCTCGAATCAATCAAGAAAAGTGAGCTAGCGGGGACGGATTACGAATGGGTCTTTGGGTGGGTGGGACAGCTCTCGAAGCTTTGGACTTTGCAGGCAAAGCGTGGAAAGGAAATTCAGACGGTACGATCAACGACCTTTTGCGAAGCTAAGGCAAAGCAGACGGCAGAATATCTCGTATGATGATATAGAAGAATTGAATCTCAATATATGCTGTTACAGCGGATTATCTCCCACGCCCATTGAAAAAAAGCTTAGCTATGGCCCCGGCTTTGTCTCTTCTCTAAGCCACAAAGCCGCAGGATGATGATCAGACTGCTGGAAAGCCTTCCCCAAACTGCAAACCCGGCCCAACTTCAATGTCAGTCTCTCTGATGCATGCATGCTAGTCATTCCAGTGCAGTCTCTCGACTTGTGAGCTCATGGAGGCCCAATCAAGGTAGAGTGGAAGAGAGTTAACCCTCGGAATCTTCCATGATCACAGGCTTTAGCGAGAGATGCGATGAGGCTTAGCTCTCTCTCTCCCACCATAGGGCTGGCGCGAGGAATTGATGCATCTGCGGTGATGAGTAAGAACGCTTTTGAGCGACTCCAATCACTTGCAATTTCAGCTTCTACCTCCCCATACGGATGTTTTCCCCCTCAAAGTCCCCTATGTGAATTTCGGCGAGAACGAGTTTCGTCAGCTTTGTCCCATGTTAAAAACCCGGATGGAGCGACACGCACCGACACAACGAGACGAGATTTCTAAAAGTAAGTCGCAGTCCCGGAACAACCTCACGAGGAACCAATACCATCAATGCATTGTGAGATTTCACAGCTGGTTGAACTCATACACCCGACCCGGCAGAATATCCCGACCGGAGGCATATTAAATTAACCTGCCTTGCAGAACATGAACTTAATGACTGGCAGTTCGGTCTTGGCGATGAGCCACCCTAGTACGTTTGTGGCTGGGTCAACATCAAGTGACGCGGCGGTAGCATCCTTCATGGAAGAAATCTAGTCGATACGACATGTAACTATACTCAATTTTTAGCAGTTGTCCTGTCGGTTTGAGGGGTTCTCAACCAAACGGATGAAGAGAACGACATTTCGAATGCATCAGGTTGTCGCGATCTTGACGGCTCCATAAATTCCAAGGCTTAAGGTAATGTTGATGTCGTTGATTACGAGACCAGGTTGGGTGCTCCTTCATCAGAATGTGTTGTGTGTGGTGGTTATGTTGTGCCCATTCGCAACACATTCGACTTTCAGTGCTCCCTCGAGGCTCCCAGCTACGCGGTAGCTACCTCAGAAGCCAGCTCTCTGTGGTATTGATCGATATCCTTCCTCGCAGTACACTCAACGACCTTATGCTCTATACCTTCTACTCGATTCTATATACACCTCAAAGTACTTTTGTCTCCCCATGCCTAGATAGCCTCACTTGACAATTTCCCATGCGATATATCATTGGCTTCTTAGCATTGACCGACTTAAACTACGTGATCTCGTCCTCCTGCTCAACGGAAATCGATTCAGGAGATACAATACATGTATGTACGTAGTACTTAAAAACAAATTTATTGTTTCGATCGAACGAGCAAGGGGGTTCGCATCGATAAACGGATATATCATCTTTCTAATTAATTCGTTCTAACTACTGGGGTATCTATCAATTTAAAACATCCAGGTATATGGCAAATGCAAGCATTGGGATCGAAAAGGCTCTAACTTTTAAATTTCTCAATTAGCGCGGTATAGGCACGGCGAGATCGGAAAGTACCGTACATGGTTGAATGAATTTATATCTAGAAGACTAACTAGAAGACATTCGATACCAAATTACGTCTCTAGATCGGACACTAGTGAATGCTAATCTAAAGCATCGGATATTCGATCGATCCTCAACATATACTTAAGCATATATATACATGGCACCGAAGATATATGGATCTTTCTTATAAGATCTTATGCATCAAACAGATTGCTGACACTTACTCACCTATAAAGCTGCCTGATATCGCGGCCGATTTAACCCCCATCGACGGAAAGAATGTTCTCTTGGTGTTCTAAACAGCAATCGAATCGTGAGCTGACCTAATGCATCCAACCCTAATCACGACGCATGCACACCACTGCACTGCAGCCTGGACGTTGATATTCCACGTGTGAATAAGGTTTGCAATTTGGAGTTAAACATCGGGATTTGGAGCTATTGGGATGGTAAACCTGGCCATAGCACGCGACCTTTGACCAAGTCTATCTCCTCAAAACGAATCCAGAAACCGGAGCCTGTTATGGGTTCAATTTCGAGATAGACTACTAGTCTTTGAAGTTAATTGGGATGCAGGCAAACCCCTCGCGGTAATACTGATGCTGCCTTGTCATGGCGTTCTGATTGGCATTGCAAAAGTGGGGCACACCTAGTTTTATCTTGAGACCTGCCTGAAGAAGTCCCCGTTCACGACACCCATCTCGCAACCATTTCTCAGCTCCAAAGCACCATAAATCCTGCTAGGATCTTTTGCGGGCCTGCGAGATACAATACCATTTATCAGAATTATATTCCGGCGAGAAAAGGGTTCAACAGGAATATTTACCACGTTTTCTATGAATCTCAAAAACCAGCTGAATTCGATACTAGCGCCGTTCCCGGTCTTCCGTTTGCCAATGTCCCCTCTCCAAGTTATGAATTATGCGTGCTTGCGAGCTTGGTGCCGTCCCGAACCCCCTGTCAAAGATAGCGCCACAAACTAGGTTGCTATCAGCGCGCAATACACACCTCATCTAGCCTGCAACTTGAGATGCTCTGGAAGGGAACTGTAGCCGTTGAAGTCTCAGCGAACTGTTCCGGTGCCCTGCGGGCTCAAACATTCGATTTCCTGGTTGACGGATGACTGTCTGCATTGTCGATATGGACCCCTTAAATGATCGAATGAAGCCGCCAATTGGCTCCTCCCCGCAGTATGTATGCCGTCCTTGAAGCAAATGCGGTCAGGACCCAATATAGCCATTCAGAGACATAGTGTCTCAAATTCTTGGATTTCTATCTTGCCGATAACGTGGCGCGAGGTCCACAAAAGGGCTCCACTTCCTGCTGCGAACCTGATTTCTCTCTTTTGCGACCAAGGCAAAAGTCACACAATCATACCAAAGGAACCCGTCGCATATGCAAGTCGATTCCATCTGGGCGACTTAATGTATCAACCAGCAAAGTTATATAAAATCACTCACGTGTGAGGAGAAAGGGTTAGGCCACCGAGGTCTCAGATAGCTCCCGTCCTCACTTCGCATCCGAGGCGCCTCGAGAGCTGCGCTGAAGAGTAACTTATAACACCTTCCTATTTCCTTAGCTACCCCGTTCGTCCCATTTTCTATGTTCCCAAAGCCCACACCCTTGGATGTCACAACTTGCACTCCGATTCCTCCTTGGCTTTTCACCTTCTTTGTCATGTACGGTATTTCTGACCACAGCTACTGATCGCCATAATATGATTAGAGGTGCTGTTTGATTATACCCTGACGACATTTCAACACACACATTCGCCTCACCGACGATGGTTTCAATACCGCATATAGCTGCGAGACAGCTATATCGCGAAGATAATGACCCGGCACCGTATAGGACAATATTAGCGGATAATCCGACACTGCTGATAACATGGTGGGCTACTGGATGTTCACTCTTTGTCATCCTTATCCGCTGCTTTGGCCGCTACGTTCGGACAATGCGACTATTCAGAGACGACCAGTGGATGCTACTCTCTATTATTCCGCTCTTGATCCGGCTTTCGCTCGCCCACGTTGTGCTAAAGTATGGGACAAATAACACCCAATCGGAACTATTGAACGACGAAGAGATAAGGCGTAGAGAGGTCGGAAGCCAGGCTCTTTTAGCAGCACGAGTGTTCTTTGCCATCTACATTTGGATACAAAAACTTTGTATCACGGAATTTTACCAGAGACTAACGACCCAGTTTTGGAAGGGAGTCTATGATGTGGGCTTGAGGGTCGTTCGATGGGGTTTGCTGGTTACCTTAGTAGGATCGATAGTATCCACTTTCGTTGAATGTCAACCTTTCAACCAGTAAGCCTATCCCCCCTTCAAAGCTATTTAATGTATTCATGCGCTAACGGTTATTTTTTATAGTTACTGTAAGATTTTCAATAGTTCGAATTATAACCTATATACTGAGTATATACTAACATGACTTTAAATTATCAGGGCAAGTCGTGCCAGATCCTGGACGTAAGTGGCCAGAAGTCAGATAAGATTCGAGGAACACTCAAAGCTAACAAAATACTTAGCGGAATGTCGGAATGGTGGTATCCCGCTTTATGTAACAGGAGTCTTGGATATTTTCACCGACTTTGTCCTCGTCATCTTCCCGATCCCGGCGATCGTATACTCGAAAATGGCCAATAAAAGAAAGGTCCAACTGATCGCCCTTTTCTCTCTTTCTTTCCTTCCAATATCTGTTGCCTCTGGACGTATCCCTGCCACGATAGACAGGAACTATTCGCAACCATTCCGCACTCTTATGGGATCGCTTGAAATTCTTGCCGCGACATTCGCTTCCAACGCCTTAATTCTGTCGAGCTTTCTCCGAGACAAAGGCCCCAAACGTGCCAAATTCAAGTCTAGCAGCGAGGCAGGAGAAAGCAGAATTGGACGAAGTATCGCTGCGACTACTAGAGGAAGAAGCGAAGCTGGTGCCGCTTACTGGGGCAGCGACGAAGACCTTGTGCGAGATACTGGTTTTGCACTCGAGTCAGATATAAACGTAGGCCCTCACGTAAGCATTGCCAGGCATCCTCTCGGCTCTTAAACATTCTAACCCCCCAACCAGGACCGTCCGCCATCCCGCCAACCGCCAAATATGTCGAATCTTCCCAAGAAATCCCCATCTCCAACAACGGGACCCACTCGGCATTTTGCCTCCTTATCAAATCAGCCTCGCGCTCGTAGCAATACAGCAAATAATAACAATCACAACACCCGCAATATCAGTCCGACTCTCAGAGCACCCCCAGCGCATTCCACTTCGGCTAGCGTGAGAGCCTCAAACTGGGGATTCCCGCTGATGAGTAACGGGCTAGTGTTGGATACATCACAAGGAATTGCCGTGACCACAATCGAAACGCACTATTCACCCGCCGAGGTAGAGATCCCTGGTGGTACTGACCAGGCGTTTGAACTAGGGCCCGTCCCAGGAGCCAGAGGCGTCCATACTCAGATCAGCCCGAGACATAGCATAGGTGGCGGTCTGATGTCCGAACCAGAAGGTCGGACAAGTGACTCTTCCTCCCGCTCAACAAGTAGTCGGGATGGAAACCCGAATGAGAGAAGTACAACGTCCGTGAGTTTTAGAGATGTTGGTGGGCTTCTAAGGTAGTCTGTTGTTTTTAAATTAGGTTGCATGTGTGGTATATAATTTTTTGTAATCCTTCACTTAACTTTTGTCTTCTCTGTATAAACACGTAGAGAAGAGATAAATGGTTAGATGTGTCAACGATTTGTATGGGTAAATTGCTTCTGTATTTGAAGGATCTGGAAACTTGAGCCGGAGTTGAAGCTACATATGGGTCCGCTTAATTATTAGTTCTCTGCGCGCAATTACCTAGTGCAGCCAGTTTCGTGCTGTTTTAGAAACCTACTTGTATATATATACTTCCGACTATATGGGTTTAGATTGGGTAATAAAGATATATTGGTTATATATATACAAAACACCAAGAAAGGAATTTCTTGGGGGTTCGTCGCTGTGCACATGGTTTTCTAATTTTCTAAGCCACCAACAATCCTAAAAAAAATCTCTTGCGAGACACAAATTGAATGATATACAAGGATCCCGTCCTAGCGAAGAATGAATGTACAGAGGACGTTAGACATTACACAAATACATACTCCTTCGTGACACAAAAGGTGAAAAGAAGCCAATATACGTCATTGAATTGCCCCCCCCCCCCAACAGCCAGACCGACCGACACTAGGTAACATGAAGCGAACCATTTACCTAGGAGCGAAGCCGGTAGCAGCCTCAACAATCTTCCTAATCTGTGCCTCAGTGGAAGCGCCCTTGACTCGTCCAACTTGTTGGTCATATCGTCCAATGATGTTAGGAACCGGGGAGTAGTTACACTTCAAGTACAATCCCATACCATGAGAACCACAGTTTCTAACAGCACATCCAAAGCTCTTGACATCCTTCCAGACCATAGCAGTCATATGACCAATAACACCATCGCTATTGCTCGGGTTATCGAAGTTATAGTTGACAACCTCATTAGCGTACCATTGGCGAAGAGCTTGGTCTTCGGGGTTGCCATTGGTGTTATAAGAAATGTTTTCACCAAGCCCCTTACGCTTGGCAGATGGAGTGTGTGCAAAATCACAGTTTGGAGTGTTTTCTTCGGCGAGTTTGGCAATGCTGGAGTCCCAGGTGATTGAACCGGCGCCTTCGTGGAGAGAGCGAACAATGTTGTGGGCGGCAAGAAGGTATGGTTTGATTGCGGACTCGGACATGAAAGTGCCGTCTGGGCCGACGTTGCGGACCGAAGATCCCCTCTCGAGTCCAGTGGATGAACCAGCTGGCATAGTTAAATAGCTCGTTGGGGTATCATCTTCATATGATGGACTATTGTTAGGACTAGGACTAGGGCTCGAGCTCTGGTATCCCGAATCTCCACCAGTAGAAGTCTCATCATCCGTTATGGTCGGGGTAGTCGTGCTATTGTTCTTCGATGCACCATTCTTTCGACCACCACGGTTCCTGCGACCACCGAATCCGTTGGAGGTAGTATAATTATTCTTTGATGGACGAGATGTTTGGCCATTTGGTGCCAGATAGTCGGTGGGGACTTCGTAACCGGCTGGAGTCGGGGATGTTTCATAGGAAGCCAAAGTTATAGTCCTGGTGGTAGAATCGATGGTGCTAGCTCGGTTCTTGCCCTTGTTGCACTGCTTACGCTTTTGGAGGAGTTCTCGGAATGAAGAGCGCTTGGAAAGGTCTCTTTCGTATTGAACCGTGGTGCTCTTTCCTTCCGCCTGTTGGACGGGTACCGCCAGGGCAGAAGTGACAGCAAGGCCAACAGAGATGATGGTTGAGAAACGCATTTTGTAGAATGTATTTTGTTTTTTTTTGGGCTGAAGATACTCGGAAAACTTGACGAAATGAGATGTAATGAACGTTGAGCCAACCTGGGCAATAAGGAATGAGTTCGTAAGCAAAAAAAAAGAAGAAGACAGAGGAAGATTGATAGATGAGGAAGACCACACTCCTGGTGGGTTGAGAGGATAGTTAGATAGAGAGGATGAGGTGAGTTTCAATGCGCCTGGCGAACTGAAAAGAAAAGCCCTATGATGTGGAGAATAGAGCCCCATTTTATATTCCACTCATACTTGTCGTCTAGATTGATTTAACTCACCCTCTGTAGCTAAGATTGGAGACGGTTCAGTAAACCTAGGTAGAACCTAACTTAGGCGGTAGCCAGGTGCATCCTCACAGGCGGCTATGGAAGCACGGACGTTTCCACGAGGGCAAATTTGTTCAGTATCTGGAGTTTCGGTGGCATCCTTTTTAGGAAAAGTCCCATTGCGGCATATCGACGTTAGATGTTGGGTTGAAAATAGGACGATTGGGCGTAGATCTTCATCAGAGAACGTGATAATTGGGAAGAAGTGAATTAGTGTATTGCTACCTAGGTACCTTAGAATAGGGGCAAGGCTAAGTACGCTCCCCGTGCGCGATCCTTTGTTGGGATACATCCAATATTGACTGTCTTCGTAGACGGTGAGGGCTCCAACCGTTTCGTGTATCGCCCACTCCGGCAAGATGTTACCCCCTGGCAAATATATCAAGAAACCCGAGGGCTTCTAGAGCTGTGTCGAAAGAGTCTAAAGGAAAGAATTGACGGACAGAGATGTCCACCAGTTGGTACCATTGGCGGACGGCGGACGGCAAAAGTTGGGTCTCTTGACTGCATAATCGCTTAAGAATAGCTTTATTCTCACGATATCTATGCCGCAATTGGCCTTCTCATTTGCCGACCCGGTGAGACCAAGAGCCGCTACAGGAACCATTGTTCTCCACCGCCTTCCTCTTTGGTCGAACTCTGGAACGAAGATGCGGCTCGCCCTTGTTGGACTTCTTGCGTTGCCCTCCGGCACCACAAGATTTCCACGTCGTCTTCTAATCCGTTTCTGTTCTTTCTCCAAACGATGTCTACTTCTTTCTTAAATTAATGTTCTCCGTAATTCCAACTTATTCTGAGCCCGACTCAATTATCTGTTTCAGTATACGATATTCGAGGTTGGGCGTGGTAGAGGGAACCGAACCTCGGCTGCTCAAATCCCATTGTATATGTATTAGTATGTATACATGCACGGAGTAAGCTGTACACGATCCCCTTTAACTTTACAATTTGTTGCGTTCAAGTGGATAAGTATATAGACCCTCAGACTCTACCAGTGTGAAGAAGCGCGATAAAACCAGTAGAATGATGCCAGGAAACCGTACCAGCTCTACTTTTAATTGATCAGGGGCTCTAACGTCGGAGTATATCAAAGTTAGGTTTGTATTTACCTGTCGGATGTGCATTTGGTGTCACAGTCAGATTGTGTTGTTCATAATACAACAGATTCAACACGTCTTATGTCTTCTGGAGCAGGCGTGTCTTGAAATGCCAGCCGCGGACCAGAAGGTTCCCTCCATAAACTGGCCCTGGGCTAAGAAAACACTTCTATGATAGGGTTGCCGTATTTCTGGCCGGTCGGACTTTTTGCGATGGTTCTAGAAGTCTTAAGACTAGTTGCCACAAACTTCTAGGTGCTGGTGCTGGAGTAAGGCTTTGGGCGATTGGGCTACAACTCGACAGAGGGATCAATCGTACTATTTGGTTTGGAAGCAAACTTGTGCCAAAAAAAAAAAGAAGGAGGGAGAATCGATTAGGAGATGTCTTTCTAGCCTCGTGGCTTCGTAGTATCTGATGGTGGAGGAGAAGGGAGGGAAAGTAAAAATAACAAAAAAATATAGTTTATGCGTCCGCCGGGAATCGAACCCGGGGCCCATCGACACTGAACTGGATCGGAACCCAGGATGGCAACGATGGATTTTACCACTAAACCACAAACGCTTGTTTTCTGATGACCGAACCTAGACCTGGATGATTATGTACTATCTCGATAATTACACCTTTCCAGAAACTATAGGGAAAGATCCTGATACCAGTCCATATCCTAGAATTGAATTACCATCTATTTTTACCCACATTAAAGGAAATAACAAGATTGTGGTTCACTTTACACTAGTGTTGCTGATGGATCGGTATTTGCCAGATTGATCATGATCATAGGTTTTGCAAAGCAAGGCTTAAGCTTCGGTGTGTGCACTTGGGCCTGTCGGTTTGCGGGCACAGGTTTTCGATTGACGAATATTTCTGACTTGGCTGACAGGAGACTTTCGATCTATGATCCTATATTTAATATTTCTAGGCTGCATACGGCCATACATTGAATATCCATATTTAGATACTGAATATGATAGTGACTGAAGCTTATGATTGTCATGGCGCGGCCCAACGATCGTATCAGGCTTTTGGGCACATATAATATATCCTTTAAGCTGTTGGAACCAAGATATTAACTAGTATAATATGTATTCCTAGTATATTTTTCTAGGCAGTTCTCTGAATTGACAAGAAATCGATTTAAATTGCAATTGAAGGGCATCCATCAATCAGTATCGTAGTAATAGGAACTAGGTAAGGCTCGTTTAGCCGGCCGGCTATTTAGCACGTGCAGCTCGGTTCCAAACTTTTGTTTTGCGAGGAACATTCACAAAGATTCCACCAATGGAGATCTGGATACATCTTCCTTCTAACTAAAAGGCTTGTTGATGGCCTGATGGCATAGCTCCGTTATTCTTCTTCTGGTGAAGCTTCGATCTCATTTAGCCGATATTCTGGAGTTACAATATTGAATTCACTGTTTCTGTATGAGAAACATCGATACCGTGGAACATGCATTTAGCCGGAATTCAAGCAAGGGGCCTCCACACTTATCCCCGCATTCCATAAATACTCGCTTCCTCGGCATATTCAAGCATTCTCTTTGGTAACGGCAACTAAGTACTTATTCGTGATGTAATAAACTGGTAGTGTATTCTACTCCGGATTTTTCCCACTCTACGGACGGAAAAACTAATGGCAGGCCAGCTCCCGATCCCAAAGTCTACAAATCTTGGCGCTGTAGATCCAAGCATTGGCATTCTGAAGCTCTTCATAGACGTGAGAGCCCTTAACTCAAGTTGTCCACACTCAGGATATGCAAAAACAATGCTTTCATAGTCATAGGTGGGGCTAATATATGGAGCACAGGCGCCACATTGTGTTTTATTTTTTTGGCCCTATTTCGCCGTCTCCGTTTCTATCCACTTTACGATATCCTATTCGAACGTTCACCGGAAATAATTTTCGCACCGCCAAAGTTTCAATAGTAGATCCTAGGGTTCAGCGACATGGAAATAGTTTCTGCGGCTGGGCATGCTCGTAGCATGGGCCCTCAAGCCAGTGCCATGGCCGCGGATTGTATTTAAGAAGCGACCAGGGACGAGGGGGAATTCTAGTCTTTTGTTCGACAGCAGCGCCGGCTCATCAGGGACACAATCGATATCTCAAAGCTCTCTGCCGCAAAATAGCAAAGATGGTTGCTATGAACTTGCTCCCGATCGTCCTTGCTACCCTTGCGGTGGCCCCTACAGCCTTCGCTTCGCCTCTTGAAGCAACTGCTCTCGAGGCCAGGGGTAGGACGCACAATGGAAAGGAAACAACTGATAGACCTGTCGTCTTTCCTTACCCATTGAACACAGGAAAGAAGTTCAAAGAGACGCCAAGGACAACAAAGACCTGTTTTGTCGATGCCCTTGGAAATGGACTTGATGATGGTCCCAACATTCTCGCTGCGGCAAAGAAGTGCAACAATGGCGGCAAAATCGCCTTACTCGACGACCTTTATATGATCCGAACGCCTCTGGACCTGCAGTTAAACAAGGTCGATATCGAGCTTCAGGGGACTTTGAAGTTTGTTGACGATATCCCGTTCTGGGAGAAGAATAGCTTCAAGTACGAGTTTCAGAACTCGTCCTCGTTTATCCAGATCGGTGGAAAGGATGTCAATATCGTAAGTTTTGACAATTGTACAATAGCCGTCTATGTGAAGCTCTGTTCGATAATATCTAATCAATTTTCATTGAAATTCAGTACGGAGGAGGCACTATTGACGGTAACTCCCAGAAGTGGATTGATGCACATGCGGCGAACAGTTGGACGTGGAGACCAATCTTGGTGACTTTCTTCGATCTCGACAATGCCTACATCAGTAATATCAATTTCCGCTACAGCGCCAACTGGTACATCCTTGTTCATACCTGCAAGAACATGATATTCGACAACGTCAGCATTGCCGGCGGCACCACCAGTAAAAACGAACCAAAGAACACCGATGGTTGGGATACTTATCGATCCGACAATATTGTCATCCAACACTCAAAGATTGACAACCATGACGACTGTGTTTCATTCAAGCCAAATTCGACAAACATTCTCGTCCAAAGTCTTGATTGCAACGGGTCTCATGGTATTTCCGTTGGATCTTTAGGTCAATATCCAAAGTATTACGATATTGTTGAAAATATCTATGTTTTCAATACTACCATGACGAACGCGACTAGTGCTGGCAGAATCAAGGTCTGGTCGGGTGAATATGCGAAGCCCCCCTCGTGGGTTGAGGGTGGCGGTGGCGGTCATGGTCGTGTCTTCAACGTCGTAAGTATCATTTCTTTTGCTAAAGCGCCTATACTCTGTCGATTCGATCAGTAAACCCTAATTGTTATCTGCGATTCCAATACAGACCTGGGACGCCATCCGCCTCAAGAACATTGACTACGCTATCGAAATTACGCAATGCTACGGCCAAAGCAACTTGACTAGATGCTCCGAAGTCCCAGCCACCTTGAAAATCAGCAACGTTCTGTTCCGCGGTCTATACGGAACCGCAAGCAAGAAGTACGACCCTCGAGTGGGAAGCTTAGTCTGTGGCGGGCCTGAAAATTGCAACAATATTTACGCAAGAGATATCAATATTCAGCCCCCAAGCGCGAAGAGTCCTACTTTCACTTGTAGAAATATGGACCAATCGCTTCTTGATATTCCATGCGCTTGAGGTGTACTGCCATATGATTTTGAAACGTTGCGCTGGAATCGGTGTAGTTTAGATTAATTTATAGTGTCTTGTGCACCGACCCTAATATAATAAAAATGAAATTTGTTCGTGAAGGCTCGAACAACGTACGGAACCGTCTCAAGTAGCCAGTAAATAAGCGCGCATAGGAAAAGTTTATAATTTAAACTAGTTCTTAGAAACAAATTTTATGAAGCTATATATAAAACTTCCTTCTTCTAGAGCCAGTTCATCGGTTCGTTGAGCATGAGGTCGCTTCTGCCCAAATGAAACCAACAGTGTAGCCTTGTGCTAGCTTTAGCCTGGTCTCGTTTAAATATTTTGAGTTCGAGGTGAATGCCTCCCGCGGATCCCGAAGCCACAGACGGTCGCCCATTTTTCAAGCCGAGTTAGGACCTAAGCTAAGCTAAGTCTTTTACCATTTTGAAGCTACGGGCGGCTACGCTTTTTTTCGAGTAACAGCGCATCTGGCATTGGCTACAGCAAACCCCGACGGGGCCCGGCCGGTTGCGTTCTCGATTTCGCAAAACAATAATGGGAAAGATACAATATGCATTGGTCTGGGACAATTTTGTACAGCACTCAGGTGCATCAAATCCACTAGCACAGTCGATTGAACAAGATCTTGTACACATACACTGGTACTGGTACCAGTTTATGAGCGAAGCTGCCTCCCTTTAATTAATGTGCCGCCTGGGAACGAAACCAGCTTGATCCAAAATTGCCACATTTACAACACAACGGCTTTGAAGTACACCGAGCTTGACCCCTGTGCTTGAAATTATTTTCTGGGAAAACCCAGGTTGTAGGAGTTTTTCATGAGAATTTAATCGAAAGTGTAGTAAACATATTTTTGGAAGGTATTTTTCTGGTACTAGTATAATACTAATGTAACACGAGATATCTTCGAGTTTTATGGGGACTTCAATGAAGCTTCAAAATGATGGACAGGTTTAGCACATAGTGCGGACGCAACTGCATTTACTACGGCTATTTCTGCGCAATAATGTTGACGACGTGTAACCTTAGTAGCTTGTGGAAGACTATGACGACGGCACAAAAGGCGGCTTTCGTTACTACAGCGGCCGGGGCAACCCTGGTGATCATAACCAAAGTTCTCCAAGGTGTCGTTAGACTCGCCTACTTCTGGTCCGACTTTTAAACTTTCGGGCTTTTGGGATGGCTTGAAAGTATTGTTCGGGGTCGAGAGGGTATTTGCTCCGATGCCAGGTGCTTCATGCAAGGTAGGCTCGAATTTCATTTAAAGATTTTGCTTAAGTTAGTGTCGGTAATATTCGAAAGGCTAACAGATGGTATCTAGAATGTAAATGCCCTTACGGAATGGCTTCTTCGAACACGCGAAGAAACCATGTCAATTAAAGGAGAAAGACTTACCATATGGAACAAAATTTTCGGAAGAAATATAGGAGAGTTCCTAGCAAATGTTGTAAGAGTGATTCTCGCAGGCATATGTCTTGATCTAAGCGCCATGGATGCTACAAAATCCACAGATCCACTACAAAAAGCAATGGATACAATGATGGTAATTTCTAGTGGCTTGCAGATACTAGCTATCGCTACAGGTTTGCTTTTGTCAGTCGGTTTCTTCGCTGAAGAGTCAGTTGCGATTGCTGCTACAGTTGCTTCATGCCTTGGAGCAGCAGCAGCTGTCTTCGCGGTCGTCGGCTTGGTCATCATGATCGTTATGTTTGCACTGCATAGGAATCCCCCAATCCCGTGGATAAGTTTATCGACACCTACGCGTCTCCAGCAGGGCTCAAGATGCCTTACAAGCCAGAAATCGACTATCTCGATCAAGTCCCTGCCGATAAAAACACAATATCGTTGATGGATGTTGATTTTGGAGGAAGAGCAAGCTCTGGAAGCACAACTGTGGCCGAATTGCAGCTTGGGCGGCCAATTCGAACGGGACTTACGGGATCCAAACATGTGCGACTGTCACACAGCTTCCTGGCACTTGTTGGTCGGTCAAAACGGACTCTACTGGGATTACGAGGGTATTCACTTCCGTCTTGACTGCGACGGAGTTACTAGAATACGTATACCTCGCTGTCCTTGACGACGGATCTGTGGGATTTGCTCCACCAGCAGCAAAATATACAATCGATAGTAATGGGAAAGAGGTACCAGTTGACCCTGCTGCCTATGAAGCACAACTAAAACAGCAGCAATGGCAGGTTGTCTGCCAGGCAGAAGGAAGCGTAACAACCCGAACATTCAATGGCCAAAGCGAAAGCTACGCTCTTTCCGCCTCCTTTGGCATCCAGAATTACCTAAGTACTTTGAATATTTCATTATATAGTTAAAGAACTGAAACGTTTTTTTTTTTTGAAAATCATATTATTGGATATTACGTCTGGGCTTGACTCCATTGGTAGCACTCAAATTAAATGTCATATTGGACATGACTTACCCTTTGACGTTTCCAGGGCAGAGCTACCCACTCTAGGATAAGGCGCGGGTTTGGGGACCCGGTGGCGCCACAACGTCAATCGAGATGGCTGGTATTTGATGTCAAAGCTTGAAACCGGGGTCCAGCACGGACATTGACCACGAAAATCATCAAAAAAAAGCCGTTGGCCGGGCCGGGTTTGGAAGTATTTTATTAGATTGAGGAAAATATTGCCTGGCGGTGAGAATGAAAGTGAACCCGACCGAGCCAGCTTTAATTTTGCCAAGTGATCGGATATTTGGAGTTGAATGATAGAATCGGATCATCCACAAGTTCTCCTTACGTATACCACTCAATTTCGGTATTTCATCATCCACAGAATTAATCTTTTTTTTTTTTTTTTTTTTTTTTTTCGCGGATACATGCTCCTTCAATTGGTTTCCAGCCTTCCACAGAGATCTCCGCTGTCAGGCCAGAATCTTCGACATGCGCAGCGGTTCACAGCCCAGAAGTCCAAAGGCCCCACAGGCCCACTCAGGCTGATAGGGCCTAGTCAGAATAAGTTAGTTCCTAAGAGACTCGCCATTTCTACCCCTGTATCAACTATAAAGTTTAAAAAGAAGGGATCAGGTCCAAGTCTTCTAGCTTCTTGCATTCATGGATTATTGGTTCGATAGACGGCCAAGCTGGTGATTCAGGATTTGCCTCTACCAAATGACAAATAAACCGCCAAAAAAAATCGTGGTTGCTAGCACATCCACACTATAGTACTATTCCGGAGTCGTCATTTCCCCCTCTTTTTCTTCTGAAAACCCCAAAAGTTTCTTGCATTTATACGGCCGTAAATGTGGAAAAATATTTCTCCTATCTCTATCGAGCTCTCCGAAGCGGTTCGGAAAGTGCAGTTTCGTTTCGGGCCGGTTTCTGACTAGGCAGTGTTAGAATGATGCAGCTAAGGCCAACGATTTGCTAAAACTCGCCGCAATGTTGCGCGGTTCGTGGGAGATATCTGAGAGGTCAGCTCTGATAACGGCTCGGCGTACAGACGCAGGCACGGCCTTTAACCTCAATTATGTTCAACTTGACAAAACGAGTAATAGAGTCAGCGTTAACAGCTGACTCGCTATCAAAAAAATATCAAACAGCCTTATGCAAACCTCGGATTAATTGAGATGGCGGGTATTTTACGAGGGTATTGAGCAATGAAGAAATAAAATATGAGACGGAAGTAGTTAGTAACAGCCTTATACTCTGGCTGAATTGCTAAACTGTAACATCTTAGTTGACATGATCTTTGAAAATAACGATTGTAACCTCCACATATGCAAGAATATTCGTATATACGATGCAGTCAAAACCCGAACTCCGATAAAAGATCCCCCTCTTTTGAGAAAATAAGACCAAATGCTGGTAAATTCAAAAACAAAAAGACGCCCACCCGAGATTCCCGCTAATATAATAATGCACATGCAAAGGAAATATGACCAGGAAGGAAAGGTGCGAGTGTAAATTGATGACAAGTATCTTTAGCCACCAGGTATTGTTGTCTGGTATGATGGTCCGGACAGGGAAGTCCCTCTTGAGCGAGAGAGTGGAGACGCCGCATGATTACTTTAACGACTAGGTTCGAAGCTGTTAGATATGCCGTGCAATTTTCAGGGCTCAATCAGATTGATGTACGCACATGATTGCGACATTAACTCGCGACTGATCCAACAATGTGGACTCTGCCACCTTGACCTGCAACCTTTTTGGCGTGCTCTTGCTCCATAAAATGTGCATTCAACGTGGCCGGTTGAATTGTAATCTCTGAGGACATAGGCCTCATACCGAATGGAATTGGGCCTGGTGTTCTGGCGGGCGTAAAATCTTGTGATAGGGGCCTCATTGTGAAGGGAAGCGGGGTCGTCGTTCTGGCATGACTATCCGCAGCATGCTGAGGAATGTGAACGTATTTCGGTTTATCCTTATCAGTCCCCGATGTCGAAGCCTCTCGCCTTTTCCTTCTAAAACTTCCAAATGATCGTGTACTGTTTCCATTGCTTCTCGTAGGGAAAAAGCATCCGATCAATGCAATTGAAGAATGTCTTCGTTGCATCCTGGAGCTTGAATTGTGGGATATAGTCTCCATTTCTTCACCGGGTTCCGAGGTTGAATTTGATGTCTCTGAAGCCTTTTTTCGTCGTTGAAAAAGTTTAGTATAAAAACGCATACCGAAGAGAGAAGAAAGAAAAGATTGGCAAGAGGGGAATGTCTGGATTCTTTATAGAGCGAGGAATTTTTTCCAACTGTAAATGGAATCTATCAAAAAGCCACAACGGAGCTTTAGACTCGATCCGTAGTAGCGTGGAAGCAATGGTTGACAAGCCACGGAATTTTGTGGGATCGTGATGTTGAGAGGAGGGGGAGCAGTTCAAAACTTAGTCCATATAAGTAGGTATAACAGCAAAGAATTGAATCTTGAAACCAGATTTTAGTTTCGAAAATCAAGATTTCTTCAACCGTGCGGAGAAAAAAGCCATTTCTCTCTTGTTTCTTCTTTCGTAGGAAAGTAACTACATATCACGAGGTACATCATTGTACTAGAAGAGACAAAAGACATCTGGCGGGGTTCCCCATAGAGATCTTAAATTCGTTGGTCTGGCCCGGCACTCTGGTACACCTCCTCTGGAGATTTACAAGGATATGGAAAACAAGTGCGTGTGGAGTGGCAAGGGTTAAGCTCATGTGAGGGGCAAGAGGGAAAAAAACACCGCAGAATCGAGCTTTGAACCTGAACGTCAGCCGACAGGCGGTTGAATTGAAAAGTACTCACAGATGAACAAGTCTCCAAAGCCATTTCAGTGCCACCATAAAGCACGAGGAGTGCGGCGGCTGCAAGAACTATAGTTGACATGCTGAATTGGCAAATGCCTAATTTGAAAATTGGTTCCACAACAGGCGTTTTTAGGAATGGTTTTTGTGTGTCGTGGGGATCAAAAACCGTGGTCTAAAATTCGAAAACTGGAGGCTTAAGTTCGTCCCCCGTTCTTTTTAAACACGCTGTGATCTCACATTCTCACTCGATTTAGCTTCAATAATTTTGTAAGTTAAGCTTCGACCCTATCGGAAAGATAATTTTAGTTGTAGTCGCAGTCGCTGCTGCGCATCCCAGCTCCAACTTAAAACGACTGCGCGAAGCTTCACTCTACTAGGGTGGACTTGTCAGCTGAGGTTTTTAATCGCTTAGTCCCTCCCGGCGAATACAATCCTTGAGCCCACCCTTGACATCACGACACATCAGACGGCGGTGGCAGGGAAGAGAAACTCGGAGCTGGAGTTCTGTTTAGCAATCCCATGTCTGCTCGAAGCGGTATGGTCCGAATGTAAATTGGAAATTTTCTGGAAACGAAGATGGCCGCTCATTGGCTCTGGTGGAGACCTGGCTTTAACCTTCGAAATTTTACAATCAGATAACGTTCCAATAGTGTCTGTCGTGGTAAGGACGATCGGAGAATCGGAATAGGTGCCAAAAAGGTTCTCCGAATCTTGTACCAGAAAGCAATAGTATGCAGATTGATGGTGGCAATCTGGATTATGTGGCGCCCACGCCGACGAAGGTTGAGGCATTGGCATTCATTCCATCGTTTACATACAAGGAGCCTAGGCCACGTGCGCAAGCCATCGAAGGGATCAAGTTTCTCTTGCGAAGCCCAAACAGGTCTTTTTTTTTTCCTTCTCGTTTAGCAAGCGAATCTATCTTACCGGCAATTCCCAGCTCACAGCATCGTGATTAAACCTGGCAGGCGGATCCGAGCTAGCTGTCGATACCAAAGGGCTGGGTTTGTCAAACACCAGTCGCTGTATTTAGAACGAAAGACTCTCCATGCATAGCTGGCTGCACTTACTAGTTCTCAAAAACCTTGCAACTGAGGGATGCGTATTCTAGCTATCTAGCAGTCTGCGAATTTGGCGCACATACTGATATAATTTCGCACTAGCTCATTGTTGAGGGAATGTAGCTGACGAATGCAGTCTCAAACTCACGGATATATCGGCATACTTAAGTTTGGTCTCCAGACCATTGAGAGATATTTCCAACGGGCACCGAATTGAATGACTTGGATTCATGTACTTTCTTCGAATTAATTAGGATTCGTAATTTGAGCTTTCAAATTTAGTGACAACATTAATTGATCAAAAGACATCTTGTATCAACCGTTATCCGTATACGCGTATGTCCTCAACAAAACGATCACCATGTCAGAATATTGAACGTACGTACGTACTTAAGCTCGTAGTTAATTTGGCGAATTAACCCCTGAAATAAACTCAACGTACAATTGCTAGTGTCGTGATTTTCGCATCAATATCCGCCTCAAACATTATAACGCCGGCGCCGCCAGTCGATTACACCGCATCTGTGCCTTGATTATATCCAACGGGCAACGCATAAAGAACCAAGATTTGACTTTTCTTCTTCTTTTCTCCTTTCTTCGAAATCCCATCTGCTTCTATAGTTCGGCGATTATGTGCATGTTGATTGCTACAATTTGAGTACAAGTCAGCTTTCTTAGGTCAGCATACCAAACACTTTGCAGAACTGCTATCAGTGTTGTGTTCATCAACTAATCAGCGCTTGTATATCTGTACATCTATTAAAGTAACTTCACTGTATATATTTTTGAGGCTACAATGAACCCATATAGTTGTCAACCAAGCTGCAAAAGGTTAGGGGTAAATGCATTGTACTTACTTGAGCATATTATAACTGAAATAGTTACGCCATGGCCAGGGGCAAATGCAAACGCTGAGCTACCAATACCACTTACCTAGTATATACACCCCTAAGCAGGCTTGTCAGCTAGTGGAAAATATCCTCGAGAGTTTAGAGGAGTGCTAGATGAAAGAAAATCGAAATTTGCGCGGTTGAACACGTCAACCACCAACACGTACTCCTAGTCTTAGGACCGAGCGCTGGCATGCACTTCGATCAAAGTTTGGCCAGGTCTGGCTTATTGCTCCGTGGAAAGCGGTATAAAACGGCGGATAGCTCCATATGCTTCTTCAATATTAAATATAAATCAACTTTTAACCTACATGTATACAATAACCATAGCCTTTGTTTAGTCTCATTCCCAGACGCCGGTTGACCACAATTGTAGTGGCCTTCGCCCTGCACAAAATTAAAACTAGCTTTAATTCAGGGAAAACATTTGTCTCATTATACTCAGACCTGGAAGGAAAGACATGACTCTCAGTAATATTCTCATCTTTGAACCGAATACTCCTAATACTAAAGTTACTATAGTACAAACGTTAATATGGTTTCGTAAACATGGTCGAACCTATACCACCCGGTGACGACCATTATTGTGATGAGTACTGATCGAAAGAGAAGGCTAGCCTCGAATCCGGGCTATACAAAGGCTTGGCAGTGTGCGGAGCTTATATTTATTGTTTCATTGAATTCTCTTATGCAATTGGTCGCTCGAGAATCGTAGTAGAGCTATAAAAGTGGGAGTTTCCGGAATATTTAGAATTACTACATGAGAGGCGATATGCATATAGTTTGAACATGATATTTCACCAATACTCTGTGAGCTCGAGCCCGAGCTGCTACGCCTTCGCAGGAGGTTATGATAACAAATGCTTAAGGCCGATGTGTATTTATCTACTTTGACCGGCTTGATTCTGGCAGCTTTTCGTGTCAGCTATACACATATACAATATATTCCTAAGACTGGTATAGCGGACCAGCCATAGTTACAGCTATACCCATTTATCCCTCATACTAAAATATATATTATTGGCCGGCAAAAGTTAAGTGAACTATCATGCATCGATCATCAACCTATCAATTTTGCTAGCTGCTGTAACTCGAATTTGGCACAGGATGCTACGAGCTACAGGATCTAGAAGCTGAAAATTTACATTGAGTTCCCTTCGAACAGGTATTGTAAGTTACCGATAGGCTAAAGAAAGAAAGAAAGTATCCAATCTAGAAATGTAATCTCTATGACGAGTTCGATATATTCTTTAGAGAGACTAGCTGCAAAAATGATCATTACGAAATCCATATAGTATATATAACAACAAGAGCTCTACTATCGGCGCGATTGGCATGCCGATGGGGTGGATTGATAAACAACCTTGAAATCCTTCACCTACGTGGTCCGATCGATGGGTGGAAAGATGGCCTTGAGCAACTGATACGCAATTCCGCTGACCCAACTGTGCCTCTATTTTGCCTTGGGTCCTCTGGAGCAGGTATATTGTTAGTAAATCGGTAGCCAGGATTAGTTTTCGGCGAGGTGATCATGTGTGCACAAGGTGGTGCAATTTTCAGTACCGATATCCTCTTTAGATTCGATCGCCCGGACGTTCACTGCCATGATAGCCAAGAATGTTATATCTGCCAGGACAAAGGAATAAGCGTCTAAGCTAAGACTGCTTGTTGGCCTGTCGACCTGCCGTCAATATCAAGGATCGTAAGCTTTGGTGGGTCTTTCAAAAATTTTCTGCCTTATTGTTTCACCACAAATCTGTCCCGCTATCGCTAGTCATAACTACTATATGCGGGAACGAGTGGCTTAAGTACATGGATGCCCCAAACAATTATGGGCTTGGAAAAGCTAAAGGAAGTTTTTTATCGAAGGAAGATACAAATGCAGCCTTAGACTGCGCCGGCGTATGTAAACTATTGGCCACTCTGATGTATACCAGAATGCATTCCCAGTATTCCTCCCACGACATATATTGATTGGTCCATTAGGACCGGGGTTAAAGACATCAAGGATACCTTTGGAATAAGGGAGAATAACTGTAGATCTTCGCCGTCTACCAAACTAGATGCTATTTTAGAGTACTAAATATATCAACATTATTCAACAATCCGTAAGGGAAACTCCGGCCGGGAAGTGATTTTGTATGCAATAAATTAACGCCCGGCCGGTGCGAAAAGTGTAAAATAACCAACAACCTGGGACTCGCGATCGATAAACAGCAATCAAATTGTTTGCTTGGGGTTCGATTATTTGAATGGAAGTACCTAGCTGTACCGACGGATGCATATGCAATGCGTAAAGATGAGTTGAAGTGCACCGGGCCTGCGCCTGTGAGTCAATTGCCTGCAAAGAAGTCACGCATTAGTATCTAGTTCACGATTCCATTCTGCGGTTAATGATACACCTTGCACTCCCATGAAACAATTTTGTAATCTCCACATGCATGGTCTCTACATGCACGCTTAGTCCACCGATCAGATTTGCGAGGCCGAGTAGATGGTAAGCTACCCGACTCGAATCGCCCTACGATCCGATGATGAAATTAATATTCCCCAGGCCCAAGTTCCTGGGCAATACGTAAGAATATATTGTCCTTGCCGTTTCATCCAATTACCCTACACCATTCCGCATGCAAACTGTCACCCGTTGTCGGTTGTTTAGCCGTCCCAATTCGATTCCAAGTCCTAAATAAATTCTTGTGTCCAGAAATGTGTGTTGGATTTTGTGTCTAAAAAAAGAACCACATTTGCGAATTGCGTGGAATGGGGCGCTAGAACAATAGTTTTGGTGAACGATTGACTCCGCCAGACCGCCATCTGCATCTGCATAATGTCGGTTATTACAGCTCGCATTTTAAGGATTTCTAGATGAACCGGCCTAATGGGTATTACCGTGTAGTTTTGTTCTTTTCTCTTATAAAACTAATATACATACACATTCGAATACATTTGTTGGGGATTCCACTGGATTTTTCCTGATCGCACAAACTACAGGCAGCCGTTTCTATGATCGAGCAACCGCTCGATTTTGCATTTGCTGTGCCTCTTCCCCTCCATCATCGACGGAGTTCTTGAGCGGGAAAAAGATATGAACTTGCAAGTTTGTAACTTAATAATGATCTAAATTATCAACGCCGATATACCCGGTCGGGGAAAATATTTAAATTGCATTATACATGCAAACAACTTTTGATACTGATATCGTTTCGGGATCATGCATGGGGAGATTTCGGAACCCACACGCCTGTTTGCTGGGTTTGCTGGCTGAAATGGAAAGGTGTGCATGCTGTTCATCTGACCAGAGCGGGGTTACAAGCCTGCAACTTGCGGCTCAAAAACCAGGCACTCATTGGTTATTCAGTGACTCTTTTGCTGATTGGCTTGAGAATCGGTGAGCCAGTTTCCCGCCGCCGCAAGCCATTTGTCACTGTTCTCGGTAGGAGTTACTTTTGAATCTGGCGGGACAGTTAAGCTTGCCAGGGCCTGCAGGACAAGTCCACGATCTACGACGTTTTTGGGTCCAGGCACCCGCGAAACAAGGCAAACCCTATGCCGCGAAAAAGTGACAGAGAACGGCCTTAGCTCCACGCAGAACCTAGTGGGGTTTTCCACAGTTTGATCCACTGGCGATAGAGACGGATGTCCTAATGTCTCTTGAATTTTTGTCTTTCCGCTGTCGAGATTTTCAGAAAATTTACTGATTGACTAAATTTCGAAAAGCCTTTGAAAATTTAATTATCTACTGCATTGGGGCTGGAATCAGGCCGCAGATACATATTTGCCTCCACCATGTTGAAGGCTTCTCCCCTGCCAGTAGCTGAATTACATATGAGAGCCGGTTTGCAACCTGAAAAGCCCGCCGAGAAATTGAGGCTCCTATGCCCGCATTGGGGCCAGCCATCAGACCATTTGGTGGATCCTGAGGAGTTGTACGACCAGCCCATCCCTGTCGTTTTGTTCAAACAATCCCAAATGGGCGAACTGCTATCAATAGGAAAGACGGCTTCTTCCATTTCAAGCGGCTATGTTTCTAGCTATGGGTGCTTCGTACAGTCGTTGAAATCCTGTTTCGAGATTTACTAAAGGAGCTGACTAAATTATCAGTGTAGTATCAACGGTGGAGCGAGCTCAACATTTGCCCTTAGCTTCGCAATGCTAGAGATACGGCGCTGGCACTCGTTAGCTTGTCGGTTGGGGCTACTTTTGTTATCCGGGGTCGTCGTCCATGTCGCACAAACTATTGAAGGTGTCGGATAGAGGTAGAATGTCGCAAGCCTCCGCGAGAACAACATTTTGGGCCTAGTTTGCTTCAACCCCCAAAACTCGAAGCTAGCGAATGGTCGCACTTGCGAGCGACATCCACTGCAGAGGCTAGTTACGTTAGAAGATGGGTTCTTCGAGTGCCTGCTGCGCACACCGCATTAACTCGTACAGCGATCCACTGATTTAGCCGCATCCTGTGCCTGGGATGGCTCCAAACTCCTCCCGTTTTCCTAGTACGTATTTCCTACCAGTTGGAACTGGCCACCAATAATAATTTGGCACCCGATTGTCGACGAACTTGTATTCTTCATGCATGGCGTCTGCATATCTGCAAGGAAAACCACACCCAGTCCGACAAAACAAAACAAAAAACGGATAGAACGCAAAAAGCTAACATACCGGACCCTGCGCCCCGAGAGTACCGTGGGGCGCTCGAAGTTAGGACATTCCACTTATATCGAGGAAGGTGGGTCCGAACTTCCCACCCCCGGATATCTAACCAGCAGTAGAACCAAAAATGTCTATAAGATAACTGCCCTCCTGACCTTCAATCGGTTTCCGTTTTGTCGAAGACCCTTAAGCAATCATCAGCCTTTCGATTTCTGTACTATCCAAGCTCCACTATACTGTGCCACATACTCTTGTCTCATCTTCATTTAATATCTTCATAGACAATCAAACCCTGTGTATGCAGCAAGCATTGACCTGGGTTTCCGACTTCAAACCTTGGCTCGCTTCTGAGCCGGCCCGTTCTGTTGATCTCAGTTTAGCAACGGCACAGGCTATTATACCAGTAGGTACATACTCCGGAATTTACATTCATTTGATACTTTTCCTGAGCGCGAAGGTGATTCCGCGGGACTCGCCTCTACTTATGTTTCTCTATAAACGATCGGGTTTAATTCAAGCTCGATTATAGAATCTTGCTTTCCAAGAGCCAGCTTATAAGAAAAGTCAAAGCGCTAATAACTATCATATATAAAAGCTCTAGATTTACTTATATAATCCTAAAACCTTCTTCTTTTTTCTGCCCTCTCTCTTCTAAACAATGGAAACTGCACCCTCCACTTTCTGGCCGCAAGGGTATCCACCTAACTTTAATGCCCACTCCCGGACACGGATCGTTGACATTGGTGAACATAAACTCCCCTTACCACTTCAGCCCTCATTACAATATCCAATTGATCGGTTTAACGCCGGAGAAAATCCATTACCAATGGGCCTAATACCGGATCCAGTCAATACTGCCTATGCAGGACTAAATGCCACCGCAATGCCAGGCCTTACCTTCAGCCCGCTGGACGGAGACGCAGGATCATCATGGCACTCTTCAATCCGGGACGACGACCAACGGAGCTCTTCAACAGATAGTAGTGCTTCTGGACGTGGCTTCCCTACCTGGGGTCAAGGTAGTCCTGTAATGTCTAGTTACAGATCCAATTCTATAGGGATGCCATTCCCGGACGCGGCAGGCTCACCTTGTGAATCTACTTCCTATTCCTACAAGTCTTCCGAAGTTATCGACCCAAATCTTACACTAAACTTTCAAAGCACCGATATTTACGAACCTACTATCAAGTTTGAATTTCCATTCACAAATACGATTCAAAACGCGGAATTTGACCAGGATTCGTTCCCGCTTGACACACCATACTACACACAGCCCGTGCTACCGAATTTCCACGATGGAAATACTTGGGCCCATAGAGTACCGGTTACTCGTTCACAGTCTCAAAACGACGGTCGAACACACTCTCAGAGCTCCTCAAGGAGCTCCAACAATGGTTCGTCTAGGTCCTCCAAAAATTTATCGAGGACACCAGTGTCTCCCATCTCCAAAAGGAGGGCCGAGAGGCGCAGAAGTTCTTCCAGCAGCGACGACCAACCTGCAAGATCAAGCAACCGGCCGAAGACCTACAAGAAAAAGATTCCATTCCATTATTGCCAAGAACAGGGTTGCAAGGTCGATAACGTTCGCTTCAAGAATAAGTCTGAGCTTAAGTATGCTACTTTTTGCGAACCCCTCTTAGTAGACGCCCCTGCTAATGATATAGAAATAGAAAGCACATTGAAACCCAACATACGAAGCCCTACCTCTGCATCTTCGGCTTCGTGGGTTGTAGCGCTCGCTTCGGTGCTCGTAATGAATGGAAAAGACACATCGCAACACAGCATCTCTTCCTATACAGATACATCTGCGACCACCAAGACTGCGTCGAGAAGAACAAAGCCAAAACAGCCTTCAATCGTGGAGATCTCTTCATGAAACATCTTGAACGAATGCATGCCATCCCGAATTTGGGCGACCGCAAACCAGGTGACCCGGAACTCATTGCCTGGAAAAAGGAGATGAGAGAAACTAAGCATCGCTGCGAGCAATTACGTCCTCCACCACAGCGAATGACCTGTGGATTTTGCCCTACAACCTTTGAAGAGGGGGATAAGACATGGACAGAACTTATCGACCATGTTTGCCTTCACTACCAGAATAATGATGAGAATATGAAAAGATCAAACGGCTATAGAGATGACCCCGATCTCATCGCCTGGATGAAAGACAATAAGCTGTTCAAGAATATTAACGATCCTATGGACGTTGAGTCTGAGAGCTCCTCAAGCAGAGGGAACAGAAAGCACTCCTATGCCTCGTCAAGCGAGTCTTCGAGTGCAAGGCAAATCAAACAGGAGCAGGTAGATTCTTTCTAGGCTGGCTGTCCCCGCATTTTTTTATTTTTGTTTTGCTATTTTTTCTTTATCTTCCATATTTGCTATGAAAATTTACCTATATCCTTTCTGCACCACTTGTATATTTCACAACAGTCATTTGCGATTTGATTACCTATACTCCCCTTACTACTATTATTATGCGACCTCGACGGACTTATTTTACGGCATTGCGATGGGAATAAATTGGGCTTACGGAACACTTTTGTTTATAATTATGGGAAGGACATTTGGATATTTAGGGACTATTTGGGGTTTTCTTCTTGTTCTTGATTTTTGCCTGGATGGCGCAAAGCTTTTTGGTTTCGAGTTACTGGCGCCATGGTATTCTTTCTTTCTTTCTTTCTTTCTTTCTTTCTTTCTTTCTTCTCTCTGCTATCGCGCAATCATTGCAGCATGTTGGAGGAAACAAAGAGGGAAGACGGGAAAAAAAAAAAAAA